GTTCTGCTTTCCGACATTATATGAATTTGAAGCTGAATTGCTCTCTGTATTTTCGGGATTTTCTTCACTTCCTGGAACCACCACTCGTGCAGTAGCGTTGTAGGCATTCGGCAGGAGAGTCGCCGAGAGTCGCTGTGATGCTGCTCAGCATCACACGCCCATAGGCTGTATCAAGTGTCAATCATAGAAAACATGAACCCCCAATAACTTTTAAAAATGGAGCTGCACAGAAAAAAGAGGACTTAAGCACAAACCAGTCTTACTGTGACTACATATCAATATTGCAACCAGGGAGGAGAAAAATTTATATTCTGTGTAATTAATTTCAAAATTGTATCCACAGCTCCATAGAGATTGCTGAATGAGGTGGGATTTATGACCTATACTGCAGCCCGTCACTAGAGGGTGCTGTTCTCACGGTGGCGTCACCCAGCGAGGAGGCAGACAGTGTCCATTCTATATACAGTCTATGGTTGGGTCTGTATCACTTGAACTTGGCATGTGGAAGAAGCTTCCACCTTCACCAAGTTTGTTAGGATAAACTTTCTTCCTCTTTGATTTAACTTCTACTCTCATTAGGGCCCTCTAGTGGATGTTTTGTGCGACGTTCATTACAACCAAGCAGCAACCCCTGGTCAAGAGACATGAATGCCCTGAAGAAATGTTAAAAACTGCAGTTCCCCAAGAGCCCAAACGAGACTGGCTCCATTCAAAAAGGCCCATTTACAGCCAGGTTTAAAATATGGTTTAAGTATCTCAGCACTTCCTTTGCAGGACGCAAGATAAGCCAAACCAGCAGCGCTTCTGACTTGACTAGCAGGCAGACATAGCTCTTGGCAAGAAGGCTACAGGTGCGCTTCTTGGTGACTCGACCCCAAGGTAGACCAGTCAGAATTTCAAATATGGTGACTGTCATAGGCTACGAATCTGTGCTTAAAAAGCAAATGTTGAATAGTTTCAAAGTCTGATGCAGGGTTTGGAATTGCAGAATCTTGGGGGACAATGAGCAAACAGAGGTGTCTGCAGTGTCATTTGTCTTCTGTCAGCATCACTCTCCAGAGATATTAAACTAAAACTGTATAACAGTAGTTTCATTTTAAGAGCTAGACCAATCTGACTGCAGGGAAAAAGTCAACCTATAACTAAAATGTATCAGAGTAGATGAAGCCAACATACCATAAACTCATCAGAGAGCCTCTGAATAATAAAAAAATGGAGAGTAATTTACCTGGAAGCACTTCAAATGGGCTTTTACAAAGTCAGCTGTGGGCAGGATTTGTATTTTTCTGAAGTCCACAATCTCCATGTCTATTGAGGACAGCAGCCTGTAATTTCTTTGTGGTAGAAATGCAGTCTGAGTTAAATTACAGAGCAGCAGAGAAAATATTTTATTCCCCACCACCCCCTGAAATGTTAATCCTGTCTGAATAGGACTTAAATGCTGCTTTATCTTCAGTGGTGTTGTAGAAATGACCTATTTTTGTAAAATTTGTTCGAATTTCTCGTTGAATTGATTTTCTTTGTGTAGTTTCAGCCTCACAACTGGAGCATTAAAAGAGTGAGTGAAAAACGAGGGAATCTACAGTCATATTCATGTCCTTATTACTACCCATATGAAATTAAGGTATTAGACAACAAAGGCAGTGGGGCCAAACCTGAAAACTCATCACTGATATTCTCACAATTGTCTATGATAGATTTTCCACTGAAGCCCCAGACAAACTGGACTGAAACAATGAGGACTATTGAACAGTGACGTTGAGCTCAAGAGCGGCGATGGGAGGGACTGAGCGAAATACTGGCACACAAAGATGAACACGTTAAAAAATGTACAATTGTTCCTCAAGACAGGTCAGCAGTGCTTATCTTCCTCAAGGTAAAACAGGTCATTGAGTAAACATACAGAGATTCAGTTACAAGATAGGATTGACTGCACCACTGTGTAGCTTTCATTTTCATAATGACAACCTTTATTTCAATCTGGAGACGTGGTGGTTTGTAAATTCACATAGTAACAAGTCAGAGCAAATCAAATTGTACTTCAGTAAAATGTTCTGAATATTTTATACTTTTTAGATGAAAACCCATAGGAATTAGGGCGATTGAGCAAAGAGCCTGAAGAACCTAATACATGCATCAACTTTACTTATAAATCCTCCTGACAAAGTTTTGGCAAAAAAGTAAAGTTACTGAACTTAGGAAACTACAATCTTTTCTTTTCTAACATAACCAAACTGTAACTTATTTTTGGTTATGTGTGGAAAAAAGTAGAACTTTTTTTGTTTTTGAAGGAACATCCGTGCAGGAAAACTTTTAGACTCTCTACTCAGACTCTACTTTAGACTCTCTTTTAACCATCCGGAGTTGGATTTCTGTCTGCTCTTTATTGTTACTTTACTTTAAGACTATTACCTGTAGAAGAAAAATGGACTAAGTCAAAATAACGTCAGCTATTAGTTTCCGATGACGAGCCCTGAGACAGCGTTGGATTTCCACATTGGAAATCCAGACTCTTACAGACTTTGGGCTGCTGTAAAAACAGGTAAACAGTTGGCACAACAGCAGTAGCAGCACACCCGATTGTCAATCAAATTATCTGCACCCCTAATTATGTTTAATTATGCATAATACCTAGTCCAATGACCGAAACAGATGAATCATAAAATAAACCAGTGGCTGCACAGCTGAACAGACCAAAGAAATCAGCTAAAGAGACTCACCAGTATTATATAAAGCTGTAAGCAGGTTAATTTAATACAGGCTTGGAACCAATATAGAAGTGCCACAAACTGCAGTTCTACAGGTGTCCACCTAAGGCTGGCTTTGAAAACTTGAGAAGCCAAATACACACCCATTCAAAACAACAACAACAACAAAAAAAAAAACAATCCAAACAGTTCTATCCCTTTTAAGTGATCCAGTTTATTTGGCTTAAGTTAGCAATAAGACCCAGCACTTCAAGCCCTGAAACAGCTCTTCATTGCACCATTCTGACTGACTGTTGGCTACACTATAGCTGTTAGCGAGGAAGCCAAAGGCCCGAACTAACTCCACCTCTTTGCTTCTTGCTCGGTCAACCAACAGTAAGGTTGAGTCCCCTTTGCTATTGATGGTTTTTAAATGCCCAGACTCATGGACGCTGGGACTAGTTCCATGTTTTAGACATTCTGTGGTTCAAATAGGGTTTCTTTGGCTTTTACAGAGAGGTTGCAGACTTACTGGTCTCCAGGCAAGCTCCTTTTTAGTACGGTTTCGGTAATTGAAAAAAGGTATCATAAATTCAGGGTACCCACACACTGACACGATCAGTTTGTCATTTTAGATACCAGTGAACAACCGTCTGTTTTCATAAAACACCCATGCTGATTGGTTATCGCGACGCAAATATTCCCTAAATTGAGATTTTTTCAGCTCCCACCCAATTCGTGTCATTCGCACTGCCAGAGTTGTACGAGCGCCTAATCCCATCTTTGCATTGACTTGACATGCAATTCAGTCACACAAATGATTTTACTTGTGCTTGGTGTGTGGAGACAGTAACAGGTCAATATTCTTGATATGTTATTAAGGAAATTATGTAATGATTGCAATGTTGCGCTCCTGTAGGGTGTGATCTGGAAAATGTAGGGCAGATATCAACAGCACGAAAGTCCCAAAGACATAAAACTTTGAAAGCTCAAGAGTAACATCGTAAAGATTTACTCTTCAGTCTTATCTGGTTCAAGCTGTTAGTCAAAGAAAAGAGTAGGAGTTTTTTTTTTTTAAGATGAGGTTAAACAACAGCCGAACAACTCAGCTCCCCAGCCAAAACCCATTAACATTCCAGGCTGCAGAGACCTCAGCCTGCTCTCAGACCAGCATACTCATAAATTACACTGACAACCTTGTTGACAGAGAAGAGATAAACTTGTCCATTGTGTGTGCATTGTGGCTGCACTGAGACACGTCACTCACAAACGCTATTTGATTTGACTGTTTCGGGCCAACAGCGAGGAAAACAGAACACAGGAGGACAAAAACAAAATAACACGCACATGAAAAGCCCATTTTTGTCATGCAGCCAACATTTTCCTTTACTTGTTTTCTATAATCAGGTGGGGGGAGGCTTTTGTGATCTCCCACGAAAAACAAGCAGTCCAGTAAAAGTGGAAGGAACAGCAGGCTCGTATTTGTTTGTGAGCTGCAGGTGGTTGTGTTGACCGCTCGCAGAAGTCCCCCGACCACTCACGCCCTTTTCTTCTTTGCTCAGACCCTGTTATTTTTTCACTTCTTCCACCACATGCTCCAACATTTCCCCTTCTCTCTCTCTCTCTCTCTCTCGTTCGTCCGTCTGTTTTTGCCTAAGCTGCGTTCCATTCTTCTTTGTCTCGAGGAGCGGCGTGCTTGTGACGCACTTCCTTCCATTGTATCAGGAACTGATACCTTAAAGCTGGTGAAGTTACTGTCAAGCATGATTGAAAGGCGGCGTGTGCTCAGGTAAATATGTGTCTCTACTCGTCTGTTTGTCTGTGGTTGCATGATTAAACAGAACTGATGGATAAATTACTGAAATAAGGCAGCAGCAGCGTTTTAAATTTTTCCAGCACAATGACGAAAAAACAAGTAGTAGCTGAAGCTGAGTCAGCAGAGGTCACTTGGTTTATTTTCCTTGAACAGCAAACAAGCAAGAAAACATTTGGTTGCTATGTGATGGCTTTTAATAAGATGCTCCAAACCTCTAATTCCCACCTAATGGCAAATCCAGTGCTGCTCCTTTTTTAGGGAGCAGCAAACAAATCCAGAAAAAGGATTTTCCTGATCCAGAAAAATTAACAGGTAACCTGCCTTTGTGGACTCTGAAAGAATGATCCACATTTACAAAAGATTAGGGACTCATTGATGGATCAGGATAATCTGATTTGTTAACAAGCAGTGATGGTCTTGCGTCAAAAAAAGGTTGAACTTTGCTGTAAAAGAAGGTTGAAAGGCTTCAGTCACAGATCATTTAATGACTCATGAGGGTTGGTGCTAAAAATACTTGATCCGACAAAGATTCAAACAAATCTGATGACGAATCAAGGCAAACCTTGATGTCATTGCTGGTTTCATTGTTCAAAAAAATGTGAACAGGCTGATTTTGGGGAAAAAATGTTCAAAGTCAAATTTTAATTCATACTGAGAAAACTTTGGGTGGGTTCAACTTTTCTATGGAGAAAACAAGACAGAGAAAAATACAGTGTAGGCTGTGAACTTGTACTTTTAATTCTTCGAGTTTGCATATCTGGGGGCTTGATTTTCCATGCAGGTCTCGTCATTTCCAACAATAATTGACCTCTGATTGAAAACCAAAAATCACTTAAAAGGACGAACAGTTGTGTCTCTTCATCTCATAATGACAGGATTGTTTGATTGCAGAACAGCCATAAAAAATAACTGACAATAAATTACCACTTAAGTGTAACTGTTGTCCTTTTCCTATTAAAGCTCCTGGGAGGAATTTTGATTTGCCTTGTTTATGGCGCCTCCTGTGGACAGATAAGTCCTTGCTTATTTTGTCATGTCTTTTTTAATTTGTCTTTTTTAAAATCTATCCATCCTTTGCCATGAAAAAAGCAGAAAGCATCAGCAGAGTGTAGGCCACCATTTCCTGTTGAGCTCCACCAACAGGGGGCGTGAGTAAGGGAGTTTAGGAGGAGTCTAGGTATTACCTTGATTAAAATACTATCTTGATTAAAACCTTGAAACTCAAGTTACCCCTGGCTGTGTTACCAAGAGTTGAATCTGCAGAATTCTGATGTGCGTAAAGCTCAGGTTCCATAAAGAGTTCATGTCACTGGATGCAAACAATGCAAAGACGTGTTCAAACTGGCTAAAAATGTTTGATATATATCCAATTCAGCTGAAATCCGTCCCTGAATACTGATGTGTTGGATCTGCCAGTTAGGCTAAACTAACACCCAAGCAGGTTGACAAAATACGAATGTATCTGATTGTTTTAGATGCAACCAGGATTGACTCCATAGAAAGAGGAGGAAGAGTCTGTTGAGCTGCTCAAGTGCTTTTTGCATACCTGAATGCGAGTGGCCTAATTGGATGATATGCAGCCAATGGATTCATTTTCTTCTCTGCACAATCCCACACTCCAGAGGTCAAGAATGATCAAATTATCCCTGTGCGCTGTTGTGTTTGACTGCTTTACATGAGTCACCACAGCAACGGCTAAATGAAATCACAGAAGGATGGTTACTCTAATTCACAGGCAATTTTTGGTATCTGGTAACTCTCTCTAAAAATGTGTTCTTGCACTGTGGGCATCCTGATAAAATTTCTATTTAAAAAGTCCACCACAATCTGACAGGAAACCACATGATCGTCCCTGCACTTCCAGACCAAACAGACGAAACAGGTTCACTGGAGACAGTTTTGGTTTAGACTACGGTGTGGGGGAATAGAGAGGGTCATGTTTACCAGCTTCTTGTGAACTCAGCAGACATGTAAAGATGCACATTAACTGTGTTTATGTGCCACCAGTACAACAGTAAATCCCACTGCCAGTCACACTGATGGTTCTTTGACCCGTCAGCACTTTGGAGCCTGCGTATGTCTGGCACCTGAGCTGGGAGATTAGCCAAGTGGATCATGTTGAGCTTTTTTCAAGGTGGAGGTATTACAACAAGACAGGGGAGGGACACTGCAGGGGAGAAAAGAAGATAAGAACGCGGTCATAAAAAAGAAAGGTGCCAGTAAAGATTGAGAAATCTGGACTGCGTATTTGCGATAATGCTAGAGTTTTATTTACAGGAGATCCATCAGTCCATCAGGATCACCTAAAGAAAGGGGCATGTGATGCAAAGCTCAAATCCTGTAGTTATGTGAGCATCTGTCCTGCTAAAAATGGAGCAGAAAGTACTTGGTAACTTATACGAGTAACTGATATAAATGCCCAAATCAGCAGGTTTACATTTTGTTTATTTTCCTGATAATGCTCTTGAAGCATGCTCCTTTTAATGCAAGGAAGACTTACAGCAACAAATGTTTTCTGATAAGTTACAACTATATAACAAAAATTGTATGTAACTGAAGGTGGAATTGTTACCAGAAGTATTTTGACTCAAAAATGATGTGGGAAGAAAATCATTCATCTATCTTTGAAAATCTTTGAAAAAAAAAAAAAAAAAAAAAGAGTCATATGGGCTCCTGCAGTGCCAAAAAGTACCCTGTTTATATTTTATATATTGTGCTATACTATATTAACTTACATGTACAACAAGTAGCTTGTGTGCATAATATGATTATTTTTGTAGGACAACAATCAATCTTGTGCACACCAGATGATAATTTTGTTTGCATAGATTTCTTCGTCTTTTTAAACAAGTTGTCTTAAAAGCACTAGTTACTTTTGTGTTAAGTTATATCTCGTGCACAATAGTCCTATTTTGTGCAGAAGATATGATATTTAGCCATATCATCTTGGAAACTCAGGAAATAACTTGTGCACATAAGCTGTCAAAGGTTTTTAGCTATCTTTTGTGCACAATGTAGCTCCAGTTATGACCCTATGTGCACAAGTGTTTGTCATGTCATATCTTTTTATTATCTTATTGTCTTGTGTGCACAGTATAATTATCTCCTTTACAAGTTAATGTCATGTTGAACAAGTTTATTATCTGAAATGCACAAAAATTGGAACAAGCTATTTCTTTGCACAAGAAAAAAAAGGGGCTCTGTACGTTTGACTTAAACAAATGAAGTAAATAAAAACGACAAATCAGACATTAATATCATTGTTTTATTTTCACTGATGGACAAAAAAATCATTACAGTTCAAGTAATATTTCAATATTGTTTCTACAAGTTTGGAATTCAAATCCTCTGCATGCAGGGGCAACATGCAACTTAAATCAGAACAACATTAGACTAGTTTAAATGTAAGCTTTGGTATTTCACTGTAAAAACAGTCGATTTGTTGTGTATTCATCATAAGGTACCTAATGTTTTTATGAAATGTTCATAAACTTGCAAAACATCCTTAAAAGAAAAGTTTTTGGACAAAAGTCTAGAAAGTAAAAACCTTCAAAAACCACTTAAAATGAAATTTAAATGAAGGGAGGAATGTTATAGAAAGCAATAAATCCCCTGCATTGCATTTACCTTTTAACCCGTTAAAATATCAACTCGGTAACTTGTTTTACTCTGAGTTTATTGCCTTAATAAAAGGTATAAAGTGTGGCTACAGACGCCACATTCTTGATATATTGGATATTTTTCAATTATACTCGTCTGTATTTTCATTCATATTCAAATTCTTTTTAAAAGGAGTCCTGGCATGATTATTTCTTTTTTATGGTTTTACCGTGTTTTAGGATAGCCCACATTTCCTGCCAACATGTGCATGTTGTTGTTGTTGAATCTGAGTGCCTTTTTGAGTCTGCATGGGGGATCCAAGAATATGTAGGCTTAATAGATGAATGCAGATTTTCTCCTCCTCTGCTCCAGCTGCACGCAGCTCTGCAGCATGTCACCAAAACCTAACAGCATCTCTCCACCTAAAAACACTTGACTGTCCTTAAATTATATAGTCTCCTTTTTGGATTGAGTAGTCAGAGCGTTAGAGCATCAAACTTCTGCGTCAGAAGCACCTGTAACACGGGCAGGTAAGCCTCTTGTTCCTTTCCTATAAGTCCTGTGAGAACTGGAGATGATCTGTGTGCCGCTGAGTCCTCATGATGTGTGATGGAGGGACGCATGAGTGGCGCACGGGCTGTGGATAAGCCGGCCTCGCTGCGCACGCTGACCCCGGCTTTTCTCGCTCACCTTACCTGACCTGAACTCCTCCTCTGAACTTCCACAACTTTCTCAAAAGCCCCTGAATGTGTCATTAAACATCAACATCCATGAAAGCAGATAACTTGGAGCAATGATGCCTGACTGACAGGCGTCACATTCGGCTGTTTGTTGTCTATTCCAATTTCTGCGTGATATCTCATTATGTACTTAAAGATCAAAATTGGACTCGTGTAGGAAGAGAACCTGTCACTGTGCCATACCTTGCTCTGCCCCAAATTGACGCCGGTGGGTGCATCTCAAATGATATTAGAGCATTAATTATAGGACTATGGCAGATTAGATTTCCCCGAGCAATTTAGCAGAAACTCTGTCGCTTAGCAACACCGCTGCGGTTCAAAGACAGTCTGGTTTGCAGATGATAAACATTAAACATTAATTAATATCATTCAGATCAAGATTTATTGAACATCTGCAAAGCCAGAGATCTGAATGACTTGACGCTGCACACATGTTGGAGCTACGGATCACTGCGCGGGTCAAAAGGTAATGTAGCGAAAATGACACCCAGTAACCTTGGAAAGGGTGACTTATTGGAGAGCTGGCAGAGTAATTGACGTGTTCATGTTATGAGCAAGCACATAAAGTCAGTCCCTCCGCGGCGAGTGGTCACCTCAGAAAACCCCCCGCAGATTATTTTCCCTCCACAACTTCCCCGACTGAAGAGCGCAGCCGAAACTTTTTGATGGGAGCGACTCTTTCTGGCAATGAGATGCGCGGCAAACAGCTTCAAGAGAGCTCAGCACAACCAGTTGTGGTGATAGAGATTAAAATAGGAACCATAGCAGATTGGATTAAACTTAATACGCCATTTCATATCGTGTAACGTGTCACATTCTGGGCGCTGCGCCCTTGTTTATGAGGTGCGTCCGAATTACAATTAGCCCACATTTCACTGAGATTCCTTTGAAGCAGTCGTGTTCGATGCTGTGTAGACTGAACCAGTGGGCCACATTAATTTGACCGTTTGCATTGGCTCGTGCTGCGCTTTGTGCCATCCCTTTGCGCTCCATGCCACCACTCCAAATTACGCTCATTGCACCGCCGCCAGATTTCACAAAGAGTCATTGTGCAGAAATGTCGCATGTCCAATCTTTTCAGTGCTCTTTATTATCAGGATAGATGCGTGTAAAAGGCAGGAGATGGTGAGCGTGGGTGCATTGAAGCTGTAGAAATAACAGGCAAAGAGAGGCATGCGGCACCTCTCTACTCTCGTTTTAGAAATCGCTCTTAGTTGAACACAGATGCGGATGTTCAATAAATCTGGCGCAACGAAAACTTTTACAAGATCATTTTAATGCTATAAACCCTCTCCGGATGTGTGTGCGCATGTGCGCCGAGCGCCTGTGACCGTGTCAAGTCTCTGTTTTCTACATTTATGCGTTAAAAGCTGTTATGGCGTCGTTTTCCTACACTGATGAGGAACCGAACCGGGACCCGCGCGACGAGAGCTCCGAGTCCGGAGTGCAGTGCGCGAGGGGAGGGAATCCCTCCAGTGTCTGACGCTTCCTTTACCAAGGAAACCCACACGCGCTCTCTGACGCAACTGCCCATTTTAGGAAACATGCGTCAATGGACCAAAGCAAGTCAGACAAATAGTGAACTCCACAGCAGGCACTGACGTCCGTATCAAAAAATAAATCTCTCCACACACATTTGGGCTACTTTGACTGCATCCCCGCTTTTCGGTTATGTCTCCGGTGTCCGCTTGGCGCAGGCTGGTCGAAGCGGATCTTTCCTTTTCACTGCCTTATCCAGTAAACGACCCCTCCCTGGATGAAGTCGCAACGCCCAGGCGTGACGTGTGCAGTTTCGTTGGTGTTGAAAAGCAGTTGCAGTTCTTCATAGTGCCATTGAAGTGAGTCATCTCTAGGAAGTGTGGTAAAAAGGAAAAGAAAAAAAGTTAGAACTGTTCCGTGAACAGCAGAGAGCTCAGTTAGAGTGTGTGTAGTCGGCAAAGAGACGGAAAATACTCAGAAGATTAGCCAGGCAATAGGCTTTAAAGCGAGTGTGAACCTGCGTGAGTCACTCTCTAACTACAGGTTCACTTGTCTCAGCTGGATTTGACTGCTGAAGGTGTGCTACTGACTTTAGGTTCAAGTCCTCACCTGAGAGGATCTGCGATAGTGTGGTGTAGGTTTACCTGCGGCAGAAGAAAAATACAAGCACAATAGCCTTTACAAGCAGGAAGAACACGTTTATTAGTACTCGTAATACTTTGAGATGCTTTAGGTGAGTGTAGTGAAGCATATTTGCACTTTTCTATTTGCAAACTTTTTCTGGATTCCACAAATTATCAGCGTCTCGAGTCAGAGGATTTTTGGTGCCTTTTCGCAGCGAGGATCTTAAAAAAAAGGAAAGGGTTTCAGCAGAGCTCAAACAGTCTACTGAAATCTTCCTCTTTCCTGGATCATGTACCAGGACTACTCCGGGAACTACGACACCTCGTCCCGCGGCAGCAGCACATCTCCGGCCCAGCCAGAGTCCTTCACAAGCGGCAGCAGCACGATCGGGAGTCCGATCTCTACCTCAAGCTACCAGGTAAAACTGGCACACCGATACACCATTAATAAATCATTATCCTAGATTTTTTTTATATATATTTCTAGAGTGAAAACCCTCTTGTAAAAGCAGCTTATCTTTTTGAATATTCATCTGGGTTTAAAAATACATATCTTGGTTCTCCGGCTACACGGATGGCACTAAGGGCACAGCGCGTATCGGTGACTGAAAAGATGCCAGATTACATGTATGCAGAGTGAAACAGACTTGAATAGTGTTTCATCTGTGATTTCTATCATGTGTCAAGAAATCCAACAATCTGTCCTTATCGTTAAACAAAAATGTAAAGACATCCCACAGGTTACACTGACACATGTAAAGCAACCTGTGCCCTGAAGTGGAAGGGGGTCACATTTAAAGGGATTTGAACCTCATTTCTCCCCCATGTCACCTCGCAAAGCTGTAGTATTTTTTGGTCTTTGCGTCTGTGGCACCGCGCTAGGGACGCATTTTACGCGCATGCATTATAAAGGCGATAAACCCTTTAGGACGCCTACATGACATACCCTGAGCTATTTACACATTCCTGTAGTCTGGCTACAGATTAAACCTTTAGTGGTAAATGCAACAGGCATGTACTGTTTGATACCAGAATTAGCACCATGATGATAAGGTGATGTTTAGTTTCACGGGTCTGCCATTTCAAATATTTAAAATTACAACATAAAAATGCAGAATGTGCGGAGCTAAAGTTTGTTCTCATGGAGGAGGTTAAGCTTAATGGATCATCAGATCTATCATAAGACTGGTGTCTGATTTCCCATTCGGCTCTCGCGCTTCACATGGCTCATTTCCTCCAGTGGGAAGCGGGCACAGACGGAGAGCGCAGAGCAATCTCCGTCTGTCGCAACTCCTCGGGAAAATGCCATAAAGTGAAGCCGCTGCGCTCGAGACCGCCTATAAACAAGAATCTGTGCACTCGATGTCCTCAATTCACCAGAAGATAGTGTTCCAGAAGTTCCTATTATGATATACATTACTGTAGGCGTGCCAGGGGAGCGTTATAATGAGGACGCCTTGCCTGTAGATGCACAAATAATAGGATACAAATCCGGGAAGAGGAATGTTGTTTACCCGCTCCTTGTCTTGTGCTGGTGCACTTCTGTGGAAAAATCCGCGTCAGGCTCACGCAACCTGACGGTAAACGACTTTTGGCCGGTGTCTATCATTGCTCTGGTTCCCTGTAATCACACTCTGGTTGTCTGTTTCTTATTACAGCGGGCTGGGACATGACCTCAGGTTTATTGAGATCAAAACAAGGCATTTATTCTGCTTTTATTAGACTAAAAGACCCAGAGTTTGATCTGTTAGGCCGAGACTGGTTTGAAAATGAAGCCAAACGACTCCACTAGTTATCCTTACACTCATGCACATGCACACACATTCTTTAAACGGGAATTTAACGCCTCTATATTGACGCCAAAAATATAATTCTGGTGAAGTGTTTGGCTTGTTACAGCTGGCTGCTTCCCTCTTTACTGGAACTGAGCGCGTTTCACATGTGCTTAACAAATCCCATACACAATGACTCACCAGATAAACAAAGTTCCAATGGACTGCCGGGATATCCGACGGAAAGTCGGGAATAACGGGGATATGGGGACGTGCGTAATTTACGCACACTGGCAGGCAGGCTTCCCGGCTCTCTGTGGACCCCAGGGACGTGCAGAAACACACATCTGACATCAGTTCCCACACTGGGATCGTCACTTACAAATGCCAATCTTGATTGGAAATACGTGAAAATATGTAATGTGGAGGATCTGCAGATTTCCAAGTCCTTGGTTTAAAAGGCTTGAAGTCATAATCTTGTCACTGGATGAGAATCACAGCATACTGCATCACAGCAGGGCTCTGATATTTCCATAACTGCAGAAATTTGCATTATTTTTTCTTTAAATATTTTTTTCATCCAAGAAAGATTGAATTTAATTAGTCAAAAACAAGAAATAATTTATACCACTTGAAAAGCATGCAGTAGAGCAGTTATAAGAAGGATGTTCCCTCTGTCAGCCCCACTTGAAGTACATATCCAATCAGAGGGTAAATAATCTGTATGTTTTACCGTCCTGCCAGTCCAGACGTGTCAAACACTTCCTCAGCTGTGTGTTTTGTCTCATGGTTATTGTAGTAAAGCGAGATACACTGGACACCCTGGGCTTTCCCATGATTCACAGCATGTGTCACTGTTCCACTCCAGGGGTTACATACACACTGTTTTGCCTATGTGAACTGAATCATTACTATAAGCTCAAAATGTGGAAAAATGTGTGAATTTGATAAAGGTGGGCGGTGGTGTGTGCGCGTGTGTGTGTTTCTGCAATTGTGCTGACAGCAAACGGAGGCAGAGCTCATGATGCTGACAGGATTAATCTGCAGACATTCATCCATTCCCTCACAACTCTTCTCCTCAAAGTCATCACATTTCTCTCTTGGCTTCTCTTCCTTTCCAGAAGTACAGGGTTGACATGCCCGGCTCCAACAGTGCCTTCATACCCACCATCAATGCAATCACAACCAGCCAAGACCTGCAGTGGATGGTCCAGCCCACCGTCATCACCTCAATGTCGAACCCATACTCCCGCTCTCACCCGTACGGCCATCACCTGACCAATGGCCCCGGGCTGCTGGGACACAACACGCTGGCTCGGCCAGGGGTCATCCGCTCCATCGGGGATGCCAGGGGCCGGCGCAAGAGGGACGAACAGGTGAGGTTAAACAACACCCACCTGAGCAAAAAACAAATTATTTTGATATTTTTCAACCAACAAAGCTGCATTTTAATGGATGGACAGAAAATTAAATGAGGTTTCTTCTGAAATGAGGCAAAAAAAAGTCTTTTCATTTGAGTAGAAATCTGGAAACAATCATCTCAAGCATGTCCGTCAGTTTATTTTATTGTGCCAGAAAATGCCTCACATTTTTGTTGTTGTTCTCCTGCAGCCAGCCAGTACCAAGCTTTTGTTTATACTATTGCCCTTGATTATATTTGCCTGGTAAATGTCTCATTTTATCCCTCCTGTTCCTGTCTCTTTTTTTTAACCCTCAGCTTACACCAGAAGAAGAGGAGAAAAGGAGAGTAAGGCGTGAGAGGAATAAGTTAGCCGCCGCCAAATGCCGCAACCGCAGGCGAGAGCTCACAGAGATGCTGCAAGGGGTGAGTCTAAAAAACCTGAAACCACTGCCGACAGATCGAGATCTGTTTACTTTAAAATAACACAAAAATCAGAGCTAGTCCTGGAGCATCATGTTCCTCTTATGCGGCCAACCAGCGCTTCCTGTTTTGGACTCAAATGTGCAGGGCTTTGAGAGTCAAAACTGCAACCAAAAAAAAAAAAAAAAAAACAGAGATAGAAAAAGAAAAGATGTTGCACAAGAAGGAAAACTAAGTCATTCTTCTTCAGAAGTCAGAAGTCTGGCTTAAGTCCAGATTTTTCGCTGAGTGATTGAACTCCACACCTAAATTTACAACCTCACATTACTGGTTCCACTCTTGCTGCGTCTCTGAGTGCAAGGTCTGAGTGACGAGCTGACAGGCGATGAAAAGCTTTTTGTCTCAGGCAGCTGTAGACAGAGGTAGGGCTGTCTGCAGCGGCCTTGCCTGGCAGACAGTAACAGCAGCTAAATGGACTAATTAGCCGAATTACAGTGAGGTTGAGCTTGTCAGGCCTTAAAAAACCCCCAGGAATGGAATTTGCTGTAGGCAGCTGTCTCCATGAATGCGGGACATTTGGTAAAAAGGGGCCAATTGCTTGTCTCACAATCCTACAGAGGAACACACTGCACACACGCTCACACATAGATACACACAGACACACATCACAGCCTTTCCTTCCAGAGAAAAATTTAAAAAAAGGGCGGCTTATATCTTCACACGCCTGTTTTCAAAACCCGAAATAAGGAAGTGTCACTTTCCAGTGAAAGAAGGAGCAATATTCCTGCAATGTGTCCTCTTTGATCAAACGATAATGCCTCGGCTCCTTGTGTGCTACTTCCTCATACCTTTGCCCGTGAGTCAAAGTTCTCAGACAGCATGTCAGCTTATCTGTGATGTCTACGGCTGACAATCGGCTTTTATGGGATCTGCTTTTGTCCTCTAATGTGATGCATTAATGACACACCACACGCAAACTATGCAGACTCATTTAGTGAAACTCAGATCGAAGCAGAAGGCTTTTCGTTTACAAGCTGTGAATCCAACCGCCTCATGACTGCTATGTTTGACTTACTGTGTCGTTTCTATGTTATGTAGCAAACAAACACTGCCCTCTTTTGGAGCTCAAGGAAAACAAACAAACTGAGCTCCTTCATTAGAGATTCTGGCTTCATCCAAACTTAAAGATATTTAAAAAAAACTAACGCTGTGATGTGTTTTCTTTATAAGGATATAAAAAAAAATATTAGTGCTGAGCCTTATATGTACACACATGAAATTAAAAGTCAAAGTCTGCTTTTCCTGACACTCAGCTCAGCTCTTTACCAGCATATCTGACTCTAGATCTGAAAATAAGTATATTCTGTACCATGACCCTGTTCAACGTTGTTCTATCTATAAGAATTGTGGTAAATAAACAAATATTAAAAAGTGCTTACAAACTCAAATATCTCCATTTCTATTGTCTGTCTGGTGTTTGTCATGTTTTAAACATTACCCATGTTTGCAAAAGCATTTTTTTAAATCATTAGTTAATGTGAGGGGAGCTGACAGCTGGCGGCACCACAATATTCAGGCTGCTGCCTGAGAGGTCAGAGTGAGAAAACACTGATTATATGCATCAGATCATTTTCTAATTTATTGCAAATGCTCCAATTGAGATTTCTTATTTACCATGCAGCCCCACCACAAGCTGAGAATGAACTGCAGTAATTTGAGTCTGGATGTCTGCACTGCAAAAAAAAAAACTCGAAACCAAGCACACATTTCTGTCAAAATTTTTGTTAGAAAATGTAATCTGAAAGACTTCATATAAACTGCGCTCACCAGACAAATAATAAAAAAAATCACTTATTTCAGGATGTTTTGAGCAAAAAGGGGTTTGACTTAAGATACTAACCGCAGATTTTTCCCTCCATGGGAATTGGGGTCTTTTTTGGTACACCATGTCTTAAACGAAGAAATCTACCTGAGCGTGTCAGGTTACTGAGTCTGCACTGCAAAAACTTCAGTCTTTGTTCTTGTCTCATTTCTTGTAAATAATCGCTGTAATTTAAGCCATATTCATGTGACAAGTCCAAAAGAAAAATACCCTAATTAGAGATATTTAGCCCCAAACAATAAGATGTGAATTCCTTAAAATGAGTAAAATGTGAAACCTGAACTCCTATTTGAAGAAATGTCTCAGGTAAATTTTCTCTATTCCATCGACAGATTTTTGTACTCTTGATATAAATAATCCAGGTCTTATTTTTGGCGTGTGATAACTTAAAATGAGATTTTTGGGGGTAATAGTGGCTTTAATTTGTCTACTGAGTTATTTTAACCAGAAACAAGACAAAAATGTTTAAATTTGTGTTTCTGCAGTGACGTCTCTCTATCCTAACTCATTTCATGGGGTCTTATTGAACCCCAGTTATCCCCTAAAAGTGATTTAATAGATTAACCAAAAAGTCTGCTGTTGCTAAAATAATTCTCAGGATTATTTTTACAGTAAAAAGTGGCAAAATTTAACATTGAAGAACAAATGGCTTCAGTCTATGCAGCTGTATCCCTTTCCTTGTTTTCTTATTGTTTTTACTCCTCTAGTTTGTTCAACAGTGAGTCTTTGTTTTGCAGTTTAATGTCACCATTCTAATACAGACGAATGATGGTTTATTATTTGTTTAAAATTGTGTGATGGTTTGAGATTATAAAGTGAAGAATTATATAAAAAGTAAAGCAGTCAAATATTCAAAGACCAAATCCAGTAGAATAAATGCTAAACCATGCTGCCTGTTTCTCCTTACAGGAGACTGAGAAGCTGGAGGAGGAGAAGGCCGACCTGCAGAAGGAGATCGAGAGCCTGCAGAAGGAGAAAGACAAGCTGGAGTTCATGCTGGTCGCCCACAATCCCGTGTGCAAGCTCCCCATGGACGAGCGCCACCAGCCATCCGGGCACCAGCAGCACCACCAGCAGCCGCAGTGCGCCCCTCTCCCCTTGACCATGCGCCCCACCATGGCCCCCCGTGCCCAGATGAGCCAGGTGGTGGTGAAGCAGGAGCCGGAGGACGATGTAGACATGAATAAGCAGCGCTCCGTCATCAAACCAATCTGCCTAGGCGGAGGCGGTGGGATCAGCGTTGGGATGTACTGCACAGATGGAGACAGCCTGAACACACCGGTGGTGGCGGCATCCACCCCGGCTGCCACGCCCAACGCCCCCAACCTCATATTCACCTACCCAAGCATGCTGGAGCCCGACAGCCCCTCACCCTCCTCTGAGTCCTGCTCCAAGGCCCACCGGCGCAGCAGCAGCAGCGGGGACCAGTCCTCAGACTCCCTCAACTCGCCCACCCTCCTCGCCCTCTGAGCGCGGCTCTGCTCGGCTGAGAAACAAACACTGTGGCTGAAGGCATCACGAGGATCAACCGCGCCCTCCCTCCCCCTCCCTCCCTCCCTCCCTTCCAGTGTCTTTAAAAGACTTAAGAGCAACAACAGTCCAGACCAAGCTGACCGTGTGAGCCGTTCCCCCTCCACAGGGAGACCCACAAGGGCTACGCCATGTGTTTCTTCTTGTTCTGCTTCATTGTACAAGTTTCTTTTTTTTTTGTAAAAGTGTGTGCACCGATCCTACAAAGTGTCACGCCTTCGCCATTTCAACTCCAGAGAGTCAACTTGTTTACTGAGCAGATGATTCTGAAGAGAAGTTTTTGCCCAAATCTGGCAAATTGTGAGTTGATGTGACTGACTACAACTAGAGAGCGTGTTCTTAATATATATATTTTTCAAAAATGTTTAAAAGCCATGCGGCCAACACTTGCACTCCGCCAAGATGAATCAATAAATCACTAAACGAGGTCAGCGTTCGACTGGAATACCCCACAAGAGAAAGAGACACTGAGCGAAGACTTCCTCTTGGCGTTTTTTCCTTTTAGGTTTTGGACCTTGATTCAGGAACCGTTACTACGAGTGTGTACACATTTCTGACGCTATTTCCATCTCTTTAATTGTATTTATGGCCTGTGCTGATGAAATTTTATAAAGTGTTTTGTTGACGACATTGTCTTCTCCTTTATCTGCCTGTAGAAAAGCAAAATGGTCGTCCTCACAGGGCGGCCGAAGCACTCCTCAGTGTTGCAAAGGATACGAGCCAACTTTCAATCGATGACTAGTTCCTCAATACTCTATACCTTCTATTTTTGCCATAGTGGCTTGACTTTACAGTAGTATTGGTGTGCTTTTCCTCAGTGATTCTGTACCTGAACTTTACAACCTGTTTATGACAAAGTGTATGTGATTTACATTGATGTCAGGGATATCTCTCATGTGTAGTAGAACCCCCATCGTGAAGAGCGTTTCAAGACTGCCGGCTGTCGGATGGTCTAGCCAAAGTGTTGCAGACCTGGTACTGAAGGTCGTCGCTTTATTGTGTCACTTAAAGAAGGTTTTGTCTTGCTTTTTTTTTTTTTCTTCGGCGCAGATGATGTAAAAGTTTGACCAAACTCCTCCTGACACTGGATTCTGTTCTTTGTTTTTATATAAATAAAGGTCTAACCTTTTTCAACACTGCCTCTCAGGGCAGGTCAGGTTTCAAAAAAGCCAAAAAGGGTTCGTGTGACACATGTTATCCTGTAATTTGTTCGTCTTTGTCTAAAAGGAGGGAATTTGCTCAAATTTGAAAAAGCCACTGTGGTCTAGACTGTCGCCAGCTGCCAATGATGTCAAGCTTGTTTCTACTGTGTTTTGTAAATCTGTCACTTTTAGTAAAGAAACATTCAAATTCAACTCAGATGTGCTGATTTATGGTTGTATGAACATTCGCCGACACTATGGTACTCAGTGTAAGGATGACTTTTAAACACAGACAAAGTTCACTTTTCGATGATAAGGAAGGGAAAACTCTCAACAGCTGGCCTGACGTGAAAGAGGGGACATGTTGAGGATATTTCTGAGGTTCTATGAAGCACTTCTGCATTATTTTTACAAGTGTGTAACTTAAAGGGATGAGGGTTTTCAATACTGTGCACTGAGAGGGACAAAAGCGATATCTGGGAGTTTTTTTTTGTTTGTTTGTTTTGTTTACTTCAAACATTCCTAACAAATATAATGTTGGGGGGAAATGTTAAAGAAATAAAAGTTCTTATTGGAAGACTTTTTGTTTTGCTGGATGCAGAAAAAAAATAACGGACTTGCAACTCAATACAAGCTGCTGCTACTTTGGACAGAACACGTCGGCTGTTTCTGGGGAGAGGATGTCGGGTTTAACATCAAGGGTTGTGGTTTTGTCTGGATGCAATAGGAAATATTTCATCCACACATTAAAGAAGTGACCAAAAACAAAACTGTGGGCGAATCTGACATGTCTGTATGTTGAAAATAAAGTGAAGCCCCTCGACACACATAGGAAAGCCATTGACTGTAGATCTTCTGCTGTACATGTCATCTACTGTCTGTCGCCTGTTTTCAACTATTACTTCTTTTCCAAATGCTTTAACTGTTTAAAATGATTCAAAATGAATAAAAAACAGCAATATGTATAGCAGTGTTTGTTAATTTAAATGAGTAATAATAAAAGAAAATCATTTTCAACCCGATTCTGTTGTACGTCTTTCATGGGAATACACAAACCTGATTTTATCAGACTGAAGTTCGGAGTGATATAAACCCTTTACCTTTATTATCCGAAAATAAGGTGTCTGTTTTAGGGCCCTGGCCCTGACCCTGTATAAGCAGCAAATAAGTAGGTACTTTTGATAAAAGCTGTGAAGCCCAGATAATAAGAACTTTTGAAAATATAAATGATAAAAAAAGACAGTATTCAATACAGTCAGATAGATTCAATAATCACCCAAAGCCCTTGAAGCAGTGCTTCAGTTTGACATAATCAGAGATGAAATGTACTTCACTGCCAAACTCAAACACCAACCAATTTTAAAATGCATCCTCCTCTACGATAAAGCAGTAACTTTTTACAGTGTAAATCACATGTGGAGCAGTTGATAAGAAAAAAAAAGTAAATATAATAAATCCTCCATCATTAAAGCTGTTCTCATTACTTTATACCATTAACAAAATAGGAGCTGATAGATTTAAATGAACATTCAAGATGATGCTCATGGTGCTGATGGAAAGCTTTACACAGAAGTGTCTGTTATCAGCCCTCATAATTATAAATAGACCCTTTTTATGAGAGTTGAAAAAAGAGAGTTTATTATCATGTGTGTCAAATAAACTCATATGCAGCTTTAGCACTATAGCATTATATGATTTTTGCCCTTTTGTCTTGTTTAACAGTTTTGTGTAAGAATCAGAAGTAATCCATTTAACCTTAGGGGGGACCAGGTTGCTTTTATATGCATCATTACAGACTTAAAATAATATAGAGTCATATCAAAATAATAAAAAAATAAAATTCAATGAAATTAAGCACAAAAAGTGCAGAAAGGTTAGAAAGTAAAGCTGTGAACACAAAGCGCAGCGTGTGGCGTTGAACAGTGTGGGCTCAGGTCTCTCAGTGTGGTATATCACTGCAAACTGCACTTATTCGGTCAATTAGAGAAAGAACAGTTCAATCCCTTTTATAAATATATAATCAATAATATACCTCATTTTTCAACACACCACCTGTTCATTACAAAGTCAAATTTACACCATTAATCCTTTAGCTCCTATTACAGATAAAAAGTGGAGTTAGATTCAGTCTTGATGCTCATTAAGTCCTCTAAATTAAAGACTGAATTACTGAAGGACTTTCTAATAAAACGTTCAGGCTGTGCAGTGCAGTCGACTTAAACGCTGACCTTTACTAATGACCGCTGAGAAGTATTAAATCTGAACACAACCCCTCAAACCCCGTTAGATAAAAGGAAACACAGCAATAGATGTTACCTGTTTCTGATTTGATCAAAATCGCCCACTCTGAACTGACAAACTCGGAGTTTTAAAGGCCTGACGTGTTGAAGTGGACTGAGCTTGTTCAAATCGTAAGTGCGTACTGCCCCCACATGGTCAGGAAGGGGAATTACAACACCAGGGAGTCGAAGCGTTTGATTGGCTCCTCATATTGTAAAAGTATACTTGATGTCATGTACAGCAAGGAAGCTATCATATTGTAATTAAATATTATATAATATAATAAAGTTCAAGATGATATAATTTTCAACACATGATAAATTTAGATATTACAAATATAAGAAACAATATAAACAGATGATACAATGCAAAACATGAAATATATATCATGATATAAAATGATATAAAATGATGCAATAGAATATAAAACTAATATATAAAACTAATACAATTTCAAATAAGATACTTTGATATAGTATATCATTAGAAATTATGATGTACTTAGTGTAAAATTAGAAATAACAGTATTTTTATATAATCAATTATGTTATATAACAAAATATAATGCTCTATAATTTAAGAAATAATTTCAATAATTTCAAAGATGTACAATACATTATGGTATGTAATAAAGTGTAATTTCATAATATATTATCATAGTATGTATTTTCTTGTAATATAATATAACAATATTACATTATATTATATTATATTACACTGTATTTACTTGATTAAATCCAGGTAGAGCCTTTTTTTTTGCCAGGCAGTGCATGATACTGTATAATATTATGTGAAATATGTGGTCCAAAATATGACACATAAACAAAAAGATGGAAAATTAGACTAAATGTAAAGATAAAGAATACATTTTTCGGAAAGACTTGAACAACCCAACAGTAACATCTATAACAACTGATAATCCTTTTATTTTGGGTTGGATAAATAAGAACCTGAGAGGGAGAGAAACAGTTTTAAAACTTTGGTGAAACGGAAATAACTCCAGATCTGAAGCCAACTCAAAGAGCAAACTTTTGACCAGAGGTTCCCTAAAGGAGGGTTAAGACACACTGATAGAGGGGTCACTAGATGCCTTCCCAAGAATACATAACATTTTCACACTTGGAAATACAGATTTTATCTGTTTTCTTAAAAGTCATAATAAATGTTGTAGGTAAAGCAGTCATTTTTCTGCTTTTCTTTGTTGCCCTATAAACTCTATAAATCCCGATGATTGCTGATTCAGAAAGTATCAGTTGCATCAGCTGATTTACAGCCTCATAGGCAACACAACAGCATGTTGATGCAAAGTGAATCTAACTTAAGCAAGCTACTCTCTGAGGTTGGATAAAAAGCACTGAACATCTCAGATGAAGTGTGTTACATTCCTGCAAACCTGCTGAGTGGAAAATGAAGCTGACCCTCTGTTTCTCCTTCATACGGCTCACTGTGTTGACTCTTGGTGAGGCTGTTTTAAGAGCTGGAGCAGTCATCGTGTTGATTCAGGAGAGGATCAAACAAACAGAGATGCTCCCCTGCAGCCTGCTCTCTGCTCAGTTTCATCTCTGCAGAAACAGACTCATTCAGAGACTTTATAACATTACTTCCTCCATCTGTGATCACTTTCTATTAAACATTTTTGAGGCACATTTATTTATGTCTTTATCGAAAGGATTTGTCTGGTCTCTCCTCAAACCCGATCCCTCTGCAGTGTTCAGGTTCAGTTTTCCACGTTGAGACTTATGCTAAGTGATAAAATTGTACTGAGGATATGATTGTATCTCTGAGACAGGATCCTGAAGCTATCGATGGTGGAAATTTAAGCACTTTTCATGAAATCAAACTCTGAGTTTCTTGGGTGTTTCAGGCTGAGTCAGATGGTTTGCACAGACATCCTGTAATCTGATAGTAACAGTGAATGAGCTTCCTATGCAGAGACAATGGTGTTAATAGATGCAGTTTTGTTCTTTGTGTTACATTACATTACATTAGTGGTGTTATGATAGGAACACATACAGGGACCACATAGTGTCACCCTACACACTTACACACTATGAAAATCAATAAAAAAAATAACTATAATATTATTTTATCATAAGTATAATATTATAACAACTAATAATTCAACCTTAACTAATGATAATAACTATAATTATCATATAATGTATAAAAACTATAATATTATTTTCAACTTTTGACCGAAAATGTCATGTTTTTTTAAACTCAGAATTTAACCCTATAGTCTCATAATTATACCTAACTGTGATTTTTTATCTCATATTATTACTGACTCCTCAAATCTGGACTTACATAATAGTAAATGTTTGCTTACATCTTACCCTTTTCCTCATGATTCTCTCTCTGAATCTTATTACCACAACTTGATACCTCATAATTTTAACTTTTATTAAACATTTAAGGTTTGTTCATCCAGGTACCATCCATTTCTAATTTTTTGATAGATTGGAGCATCTTTCTCACACCTCTCAGTCTGTTATTAATTCTGGTGTCTATATGTTTTCATTTTAGGGTTCCTTCGAGCCTTTCCTTATGTTTTAGCAAGACCTTCAGAATATGCTGATACATACCTAAAGGGATATTCTGGAGTAAATTTAAGTTATGTTCAAACACACCATAACACAGCGTTAGACACCCCCTCGAGAGATGAATGTTGCCGACTGCCTGCTTCTCTAGTTATACCAATTTAGTAACAACCACACGAAAGCAATACACAGCAGGCTATGTCTCCACGTGCAAACCTCAACCAAAACGCCACTCTATAGCCACAAATAATGCTCAGAACAGCACCTAACTTCATCCACAGTATATATAGGGTCACAGCCATAATACTAGCTATCAAACATCTTTTTAGCTTTGCCTGATTTCTTTAACAAGGAGACTTAACACAACTCACCCACGCTGCTCCAGAAGCCGCTTGTTTGTCGGAGAGCCCTGACGAGTCGATCACTGAGTGCAGGAAGAACGTTTGTGATTATTACTTCATGGAAATGCAGTCAGACTAAGACGCTGAGGCAGAAGAACTACCGCGTCTGCAGTGCAAAATGATTATTATGATGATTATTATTTCATGAAAATGATCCACTGCTGAAGTTGGTATAACTGGGAAAGCAAGCAGTCTGCAACATTCATCTCTTGAGGGGGTGTCTAACTTGGTGTTAATGGTGTGTTTGACCATGGTTTAATTTTACACCAGAATATCCCTTTAAGACCTCCAGAGAGCTTTTAGTCCATTGATAGGCATAGCTCCAGCATCCTGTAGGTTCCTCTGGATTGCTGTTGCAAACGTTTTGCTGCCATGGACCTGCCTGCTTTCCATGCATCAGTCACTCCTCCATCCATCTCTCTCTTTCTTCATCTCCCTCTCTCCCCTCTCTAAACCCATCTCAGTCTCAGCAGATGACTGTCTAACACCAGTCTGGTTCTGCTCGAGGTTTCTGCCTGTTAAAGGAAGTTCTTCCTCTTCACTGTTACTTGATAAATGCTGTACAGTGTTTCACTCTGCCCCCACAGCTGTTTCATGGGTTAAAATGTCAACAGAGACATTATCAATCCTGTTGTGGATGGTTTTGGTCATAAAGAGGCATTAGCACCATATTATCAACCAATAAAAAGTCCCTTACCATACCTTTAAAAACCTACGAAGCCCCTCTGGTGACATCAGAGAAAAAAAATATTAATGCGTGGCCACAAGATAATAACTCATGGCCACGATTTAATTTGACTTTAGTAGCAGGATCTGCCAGGGGGATTTAGAGGACATTTGTTTGATACTTGCAGCTCGAGACCCTGACGTCTTAGCCATCCATCTACCCAGGACACCATACCTACCCTCATTCATTCAAGCATTACCAATGGTCCAGAGCTGCAAGTATCAAACAAACTTTCTCTAAATTCCCACTGGCAGATCCTGCTACTTAAGTTGAATTAAATTGTGGCCATGAGATACTAACTCGTGGCCACGAGATACTAACTCATGTGGCCATGCATTAATTTTGTTTTCTCCAATGTCACCAGAGGGGCTCCGTAAAAACCAAATACTACTTCACTTTTTTTTTTTTTTTACTAGCTGTTTTGTAGAGAGCTTTGGAAATATAAAACATGTCAGTAATGCCAGTAAGAAATAACAGTTACAGATTGTTTCACTTCATCATGTGTGTATGCTGTGATTGAATCGATTTCTGCCCTGAGATCTGATTACAGATCAGGGTTAAAGATGTACCAGCATATTTGTGACCTTGTTATTCCTCCGTTATCCTTTTTTTTCCATAGGGGGAGAAATCGTGAAAGTGCTGAGTGAGCAGAGCAGCTGATAACCCTCACAAGGGTAATTAAAGGAAAATTGATTTCAGTTTTGTAAGCTGCACAAGTGGTAAAAAACAAATAACCAGGCCGAATAAAACAACAACATGAAGACAGTAAGTTTTTGTTATTGTAGTGCCGAGTAAAACAAAACACCAAGTTTCAGAGAAGAGGCTTTAAAAAGTAGTCTTAGATTCATTTTTATCTCCTACTGTCACTAAAATGTTTTGTTGTCATACCTGATAGATAAATAAAAATGTGTGTTACTGATACACTGATGGCTCTAATAAGTGTCGCCATGACAGACTTCTGGTTTTTTAATAGATCAAATCTGCAGTTTGGCATAATTTGCGAAGAAGGTGCCTCTTTGTTCATCTCATTTCCCCCCCCTATCAGAACAGATCAGATCAGTTATCCTTATCTCTGCGGTCCTGTTTGGAAAACCTCCAGGGCTTCCTTCAGGTCCACAACATTAACACAGACTGTACATTGCTGACTCTGAGCTTATAGAGACTTAAGTAATGAGTTAAATCAGAGTGCGACACTGTGTCACTCTGAGCGTAAAGACAGGACGTTTGGTGGAGGGACCCAAGCGTGGAAGGTGACCAAACCCCTCAGTGCTGACTCAGACATTTGTTTCGGGTGCTTAACAAATCAGCAACAGCTGACGGCAGCAAAATAGCATGAATGTGACAGTCATCATAACCTCAGTGTAGACTGTCTGTTGATGCAGTGCTGCAGAAAAGGGAGATTTAGTTGTCCAGAGCGGTGGCATTTTTGGAGGGCAAGCTTTAGTTCTGGATGATCTATCTTCACATCCTCTCCAACAAAAACTACAGAAATATAAACTGTGTATACATGCTGCTGCAAGAAACTCGGAGAGTGTTAAACCACTGCCAACACAAGTGTGAAGTTTAACTGCTGCATGGATCATTAAAGACACTCAATACTCATCACAGGATAAACCTCTGAGTTCAGCTCCTTGATAAGATTTTTATTGACTTCAACTGTTGTTGAGGCGGTATATTGATTTTTACAAATCTTTACAAATCTTTACACCAGTGACCGAGCAAACAGCAAGCGTCCTCTCATTGGATTAAGCATGAAAAGGCAGGGACATGAGAAAAAGTCTGTCAGATCGATGGAAGGCACGGGGGACGAGCTTGGACAGAGGACATCCACAATGAATGAGTGTTATTCCAGTCAGCACACACTCTCAGTCAGAGATTTTAACTTGCTATAAATCTAAGAATAAATTCACATCTCTGTAAGAACAGATTGAAGACTGTTGCATTTGTTTTGATGAATTGAGCAGCGTTAACGTGCAAAAAGAAGTGCAAAAAGTAAAATGATACTAATTTATCAACTACCATAAATATATGTATAAATAATGTATATACATGCAGCAGACTCTGCCTTTGCTACTGCTGCTGCTCACAGGGGCAACAAATCTTATCTTGCAAGAGCACAGCCGCCATATTGGAAAGGAAGCTACACTTCTTACCGAACATAAATCTTTTATAGCACAACTGAAACATTAATCGACTATAAAGTGGTTTGTTTGGTCACATTTTTTAAGAGTGTGATCAGAGATACTTGAAAAAACATGCATATGATTCATAAAGGTGCAGTTATGTAAGCCATGACGCTACATTTTAAAAAGACAATCACTGAATCATTTCTTTCATAATGGTTATGGCTCTTCTTAGAAGTGTTTGGGAACCTGAGGAGCCAGTTCTTGCTGTGCCAATCGATCTGGATCACGTCAACAATAGTCTGAACTCTCATTATTTGGATTATTTACACTGTGGTAGCTTGCCTAAGAAAGGAAAGTCACTGCACTGCACTGAAATGGTAAGACGGATCACAAACAACTTGAGCAAGATTATACAGCATTTGTGGATATAAATTAACAAGTAGATCTATAATGAGTTTATGTTAAATCTTCTCTAGACTTTTTTCATTGCAGCAGGCTGTTAGACTTTTACCTCATATTAATGTTAACTTCTTTCAACCTTAAACAGAAACAGCAGCACCATTTCTAATAAAGTTAACCTCCTTGCTAACAAATATCTAGCATGTAAAACATGTATGTCTCTTACAACAATACTATACGTAATATTCAATGTCAGTCTTGTCAGAGTCCTGATACTTTAAACAATGTGGAGACAAAACAATAAAGACAATGCAACCAGATGCTCCACATTCTTCATTTTAGTCCAGACAGATGCTGCTCACCATGAACCAAAACTACCACTTTGTCAACATTCAGTAGTTATGATGATTTTAATCTTGTGATATTATTGCTTGTAGGTTTATTCCTGTAATGTGTCCTTTCAGAAAAAGACTTAAAAACCACATTTTTTTCACATGGCCCTAATACTCTGTTGTACATAAAAACATTGGCTTTGTTTAGCATCACTTCACAAATATCAGCTTGTGTTACCAAAACAATGAAAAACTCATAATCAATTTCTCAGTCCTGAGATATAAACCAAAGTTATTTAAATAAAATAATTAAAATCAATACCTCATAACTTTAGACATTTGAATTACTTGCATCTTTTGTAGACGACCCTTTCTTTTGGTCCTCTGGAGTCAGACATGCGCTTTAAAAAAGGTGCCAAGTTAATAAAGAAAGGACTACATGTCTTTGAATACTGAGCCTGCATTTAATTAAAAAGATATTCTGGCGTAAGTTTAAGTTATGATCAAACACACCGTTGTTTGTGGGGGAGCCCTGACGAGTCGATCCCTGAGTGCAGCAGAAAATTTATGATTATGACCTCGCAAAGGCAGAAGAACTACCTCGTCTGCAGTGGACATACAAAAAACACAAGAACTCTGATTGCATTTCTATAAGGTAATAATCATAAAAGTTCTATATTTAGTCTCTTTGCTAAAGAAATCAGGCAAAGCTAAAAAGATGTTTGATGGTTAGTACTATGGCTGGGACCCTATATGTACTGTTGATGAAGTTAGTTGCTGTTCTGAGCATTATTTGTGGCTATAGAGTGGATTTTTGGTTGAGGTTTGTGTGTGGAGACATAGGGCTCTATTTTCATGCCCGCTGTCAGCACGGCAGACGGTGGTGCACCCCGCGCAGTGGTATTTTTGTCTGGCGGAGCCCGGCACACAGCGAGTTTGGTATTTTTGTAGACTGAGGCACACCGAGGTGCGCCAAGCTGGGTGTGGTGGTGCGGTAGGGGGAGGTGTTGACAGAATCAACTGGCACAGTGACATTTTCGTGCTCGCTGGCGGCGTCGAAAGTGCTCTGAAAGCTCGCCGATTCAAACCCAGTCAGCTTTCAGCGCAGGCGGAGCTCAGCTGGTCTGGTGGTATTTTAGTAGGCCGGTGGCGGTGTGCGCACTGTCACACTACCCCCCTTATTTTCCTTCTTCCTCGTGCAGCTCGACTCGGACATGTCTCCGTGTCCTCTCTCCATCCTGCTGCTGCTGCGGGGGCAAGGCTGACTAGATTATTTATTTTAGTAATCAGACGAGTTATTCAATTTGAAAATTTGAACAAAAAAACAAACAAACTTTCATTCAAAATTACCCGTTTACCTGATGGTCTCACACCCTTAAAATTCTGTGAATATTCAATCCATAGTCAGGACTACATACAAATATTATAATATATAGTTGCCTGTGCCAAGTTCATTTTATATGCTAACAACTATGAAAGAAAGAGCCAGGCCACGGAGCGCGATGCGTCCTTCACCCGCAGGTGGTTCAGATTTTAATGCCATTATTGGAATTTATGTTGTGATCTGTGCGCTCAACCCACCTTTGTCACGTGAGGTTTAAATATATGCAACTTAATGTGAGTGTCTTTATTTGTGGAAAAGGATGTTTGTCTTTCCAGTGGGTACAACCTTACACACACCAAATCCATCTGTGCTTATATGAGAGAGTGTGGAGGATGCCCTCTGCAGCGCTTACCGCGACACTTGTTGAGGGGCTGCCTTCTGTCGCCATCGTGTGGCATTGCTGTCTTCAGACATCTCTTGATCTCTTGGACTACTTCACGAAAATTGTAATACGCCCTGTCGGTGGCGGATTTGAAGGTGAGGAGAGGAGCTGATGTGATTGATGAAAACAGGTCTTAGCTGTGTTAAACCCACGCCACGCCTTCTCTCCTCCCTCTCTGCTACTTACGCCGCTGGGAGGAGCTGAGTTAGGGAGGGGGGATACTTACGCTGGGCTGCGCCACTCACCAAAATACCAAAGTGTGCTTGTGTATGCCTTGATGGTGCGGTGGACCTGACTTAAGCCATGCCTGCGCCATGCCTGCACCACGCCGCCACCGAGGCACGAAAATAGAATCCATAGACTGCTGTGTATTGCTACTGTGTAGTCGTTGCTTAAGTTTATATAACTAGAAAAGCAGGCAGTCGGCAACATTCATCTCTCGAGGGGGTGTCTAACTCAGTGTTACGGTGTGTTTGACCCTTAACTTAATTTTTCGCCAGAATATCCCTTTAAGTTGTGATTAATACAGTATAATTTACAGCCTTTCCATTCCTGCACCTCTCAGTGCTTGTTCTTCAGCCTCTCATGAGCTGAGGAGTTTTTTAGGTAAGTTTTCACACCACATACTAGCACTATTTGGTATACTCAGAGGTTTCATTTCATGGTCTGTCTAAGATCCATGCGTCTCTGCCTCTCATAGAACTTGGAGAACTTGTTGAAGATGTTGGTGATAGGCAGAGCCACGATCAACAGCCCACAGATGATGCACAGAGTTGCTATCAGCTTCCCAGCCAGAGTCACAGGAAAAGTGTCTCCGTAGCCCACTGTGGTCATACTAATGGTGGCCCACCACCAGCCTATGGGGATGGTCTGCAGCTCCGACTCCTCAGATTCTCTCTCCACAAAGTGAATGAGAACAGAAAACATGGAAATACCAACAGACAGAAAAAGAACCAGCTGTCCCACTTCGTTGGAGCTGTGTCGCAGCGTGGCACCAAGAGAGCGGAGACCAGCTGAGTGGCGTGCAAGTTTCAGGATACGAAACACTCGCATCAGCCTCAAGATCTGCACCACTTTGCCCACATTCTCCAGGTCCGTGTTCTCACCTTCGTCCATTACACCACAGGCTAAAGTGACGTAGAAAGGCAGGATTGACAATAAATCAATGATGTTCAGAGTGCTGCACAAAAACTTCCTTGCTGATGGTGCAACAGCCAAACGGAGAAGAAACTCTGCAGAGAAGCACAGCACACAGAGGGTCTCAAAGAAAGTCAGGACTGGGTTTTCAGCCTTCTTCTCACTGGGATCAGTTTCACTGGAGTCTGGGATGCTGTGGATGCACATGGCAATAATGGAGACCAGGACAACACTAAGGGATGCTACGGCTAAAACTTTGGCTGAAGTGGAGTATGCTGGATTCTCAAGACGGATCCAAATATTTCTGCGGTAATCTGCACACCAGGAGCCCTCAAACATTTCCAAGTCATCTTCTACAGTCGACAGATCTTCTATGGACAATTCTGAGCTCTGGTGCTGCAGATCATCACTCCTCTGATCCCAGCTCTTGTCCTCAACCTGCTCCATTAGTTCATGAAACTTGTTTGTGCAGCAGAGATCCAAGTAGCGCTCTTTGATGCCCCAGTACTCAATCTCTTGAGAGAATGAAACAATGCACAGCCCATCTACCAGGTGCATTTTACCCGTAAGGTAAAAGTTGAGGACATAGCAGAAAAAACTTGGATTACGGTCAAAGTAGTATTCCATCTCAGAGGGACTGAAGTCATCACAGAGCTCCAGAATGGCCTCTCTGGAGCTGCAGCAGAGAAGGCGACCCAGACGTGTCTGTGGGAATCTTTTCAGGACCTCATGCTCCAGTCGTTGTCTGAAACCGCCAACATTGACAGTGATGCAGCAGTCATCAGGGCTGTGCGGACGAAAGATCTGCCCATACGCCATGATGGAGCAGCCGGCAGATGCTGTTCAGATGTCTCTGGTGAAAATCTCAGAGGCTTTCCTGCTTGCACACAAAGAAACTGAAATTAGCACACCTCATGCTTTCTTGTATGTCATCCGATCACATTGAAGTGCTTTATGTCGAGGCCGTTGAGCATCGAGTTGCATCTGGGTTTCTGTGACATCCTGCAGAGGTGTAGTTAAATAACGGCATCACTTTCTGAGGAGGCTTTATTTACAGTCTGAAGATAACAAAGTCATGTCTCTTTCAGAATAGATTTTAAGGTTGTTTTATTGTTTTTTAAAGCTCTTAATGGCTTTGGCCCATCTTATTTATCGGATCTGCTTTTATCTTTTGAGCCAGGTCGAGCCCTCAGGTCTTCAGGCAGTACTCTGTTAACAATACCTAAAGTTAAAACCAAGATTTACGGTGAGGCATCTTTTTATTACTATGGCTCCTGTTTATGGAACAGCTTACCTGAAGACCTGAGGACTGCACCTAAACTTAATGACTTTAAAACCAAACTCAAAATGTACCTTTTTAGTCTTGCTTTTAACTAAATTTATATCATAAACTCTGTTTAAGTGTTTTAGCATTTATCTCTTCTAGTTTTAATGACAGGATCATGTTTTATTAAGCTATTTTGGTGCTCATATTTTAGTATCTTTTACTGTTGTTTTTATTTCATTTTATTTTTTATTTCTTAAATGTCATTTTTTGGTACTTTGTTTTATTTAGATTTTAACCTAACCTACAGTGTTTCCTTATCTTGAATTCTAAAATAGCATTTCCTCAGTGCGTACATTCTTGTTCTTATAAAATCAAGTGAATGCGTTTTAATACATGTTTCTGTTGCATTCAGATCGTGGGGTGGGAATGAGTGATTGGGTTGGGGTGGATCCGGTTATTCTTTGCTTCTTTTCTTTTTTTTCCTTTGCTGTGTAAAGCACTTTATGCTACGTGGTTGTGTATGAAAAGTGCTGTATACATAAATATTAACTGATTGATTGATGTTGATTGCTGAATATAAACAGACAAATATGGGACACATTAAGAGCAGAGTAGGTAAAGACAGTGGTAAAACGAGCTCCAATATTTAGTCATTTTGAGTAAACAAAACCTTCAACTTTCCTGCTAAAAGTTGATTAAAAGGATCTTACTCAGTCTGTGTGCCTGTTTTTCCAACTAATGCAAATATGCTCACACATCCCTGCCCTCAAATAGGTCCTCACTTCCATTAACCTGATAAATGAAGAGCGTTAGGGCGTAGCTGGTCTATACACAAGCCCCATATACAGAGGTTATGCCTCACGCTTTTCCTGCATATCTCTCTGCTCTTCCACACTGTCCTGTCCTCTCAAAATACAAGCTAAATAAGTCAATGAATAAATGTGCAGTTATGAATAAATGCTTGAAGAGTTGAGACATGGTACCATCACTTGAGCAGATAAAAATCAATCAATCAAATTCAATCAAATTTTATTTATATAGCACCAATTCACGACAGTCATTATCCCCAGCTGCTTTCCAAAGAAAAAGAGCAGGTCTAGACCACACTCATTGTTTGATGAATTACCAAGACCTAACCTTGAGATGGGACAGATTTGACCCATCTCATCTAGCATGAGTGACAGTAGCAAGGAAAAAGTTCCTTCAAACACGCAGAAACCTTGGGAAGGACCAGACTCATGCTAGACAGCCACCAAGCCGCTGCTGGGTTGAGGAGAAATACAAAGAGACAGGGAGACAGAGAGAGAGAGAGAAAGAGAGAGAGAGAGAGAGAAAGAGAGAGAGAGAGAGAGAGAGAGAGCGAGAGCAAGGGTGAGAGAGACACAAGGGACAATCAACATTAAAACAACAGCAACAACAGCTCATGCAGAGTTGTGGTTGCAGAGCAAGTAATGATGAAACAATATGAGGGTTTCATCATTACTTGCTGGCCACCAACTTTCTGTCCACTGTAGGAGACACTGTTTATGAAGGGGTTAAAGTCCATATGTGGGGTGTTCTTCCAGCAAAGGCAGACAAGCATGACTTAAGGTGGAGGTACGTTTGCTCTGAAGCGAATCAGAGGATGAAAAAGAAGTTTCTGGAACAGGTCACAACCAGAACTGACGTTGTGATAAAAACTGTGGGTGGATTGTGCCGCTACAGACCCTCTGTGTGGTGCTTCTGGGGCAGCTTAAGCCTGGTTTATAATTCTGTGTTGAATCTATGCACAGATGGAGCAAACTGTGAGCCGAAATCTTCCCTGCTGTAGATTGTTTTACAGAATCCATTCTGATTGAAGAGTGTCTGTGAGAAAAGTCTAGTCGGGGGCTGTGGAGCTCTATAACACTAGAGGGTGTTCTCATAAAACATACAGTATACATAACATATAGCCTACCTAGCTACATTCTAGCTGAAAATGCCAAGCCACTTATCACTGATCACCCCTAAACATGCAGAATTATCCTGAATCTGACATTTTTTGTTTGTCTTTTGTTTTAATATTTCAGGTTTTATATTTCAGAATGATCTACCACTTATGCAGAGTAAGTGTAAGTGTTCTGTGTAAGTAAGTGTTCTGTTCTACGCTGCATTCTGCTGAGGAGGTAGTATCAAACACAAAGATGCAAGACGTCGGAACAAACTGGTGAAAAAGGCTGGCTCTGTGGTTGGATTCAGGCTGGACTATTCTAAAGAACATGGATCACCCACTTCACAAGACCTTATTGGACCAAAGGGCCAATGGTGGTGGACGGCTCCTCTCTCTTCGCTGCAGGACAGAAAGATTCAGAAAGATTCAGAGGATCTTTTGTACCAACAGCCATCAGACTTTACAACTCTTCTGTAAATAGTAGATGACTTTTAGAGACATGTCAAATGAGACGACAGACAGTTGAAATTCCCTTTGGGGATGAATAAAGTTCTTGTTCTAATTCTCAAACCCATCCCAAATAGGGGAGACCAGAGATGGTTGTGACATAGGAAGAGTTGTAACTTCACCATTTCCAACAAACGGGGTAATATAAGAGTCACATGATTATTTCAGTGATTTGTGGTATCTGTTATTGCATCTTTAGTAAACCCAGTATATGTCACAACCATAGATGATATATTGAATGCATATAGCTCTGGTGACATCACTCATTTGCTTCTGAACCAGAGTTTTGAAGCCTTTTTAGCAGTGGTAGCAATATTGGAAATGCTGACTCAGCCTACCAGAGGCGGGTCTTTATCCTTCCCACAAACGGCTACAGTTTGCTGGCCTGTCAGTCAAGTCAGCCTTGTCTCTGATTCGCCGATCTTGTAACTTGAACAACTTCAAAACAATCATGCTCGTTTTGAAGAAAACAATGAGATTACTACTTATTGAAATGTTAGAAAAAGCTTATGGTAAAGGGGGTTAAAGGAAAAAGCGTTACATCCTTTCCCGGTCTCCCCTACTTAGTTCACCTTAGGGTAGCTATGGGGCACACTTTTGTTGAGGTAACTGGCCTAAAAGTGAAGTGTAACTAACCTTTTTTAACTTAGAATATGTAACTGCTCGTACTTCACTTTCTCATACTCTTTATTTTGCAGCCAATCGCACAGACTAACAGTGACAGGGAAGCCTTACTTGATCTCTTCTTTGCATGTACATGCAATGATGTTCCTGAGCTTTCTCAGTAAATTCAGTGATATTACAACGACAACAAAGAAAAAGAAAGAAAGAAAGAATATAACTATCAGACTTGGACAAGAGCAGATGACTGATCGAAGTGAGCGCATACATGACATTACTGATAAGAGTGCAGCACTTGAGCTGCACTTTTGGACCGGACCTCTTTGACATTAGTGCGTCAAATTTTTGGCATGCAAACACCGTCTTCGTCCACAGTCATCCACACCTGCTCACCCCTTGCTTGACTGCCCTGAAACAAGGGGCGCTGTCTTACTTGTATTGTGTTACGCGCGGCGATATTACGTTTCAAATTGCTGCGAAACGACGAGCCAAGGTCAGATTTGACACGTTTACCTGCTGCAGTGACACAAATGTTTCAGACTCTTAAAAAGAACCGATCAACCGACTGTGAATACAGACACCCAGACTTTGAAAGACAAATATAACAGCATTAGGACTGCACCAGTGCCATCTAAACTAGTTAGTTTATCCAAAAGTGGTGCAGAAATTACTTTGAACAAATGAGCATCAATGGCAGCAGAAAAGAAGGAGGACAGAGCATTCGTGTAGTTCATGCATCTCAGTGTAAACTTGTAAACCTGCAGAGGTGATGTTGGTGTCTTACCTGTGCATGGCGCAGCCGTCCTGGATGTGCTCCACTTGGCTCACTCGGGGCTCCTCCTGAACATTGCAGTGTGAGCGCAGCGCAGGGCGGATCACAGTCTCCGACAGGACAATTGATCACCAGCTGGCACATTATCCCCGACTAACAGGCTGTTATATGTGGTAGAAGTCATTGAAACTTCGGTGTGTAATGTGTTGTCAGTGAGCAGGCTGCGCCTCGCTCATTGAAGGTGTGTCTAATTTATCTCTGTTAATATTTAATGTTTCTTTGGGCTAAGTGCTCGCATCATTCTTTGAGGGCAGCTTCTTGTTTCTCGTTTATTTTCATCTTGTTGTGGGTGTGCTCTGTGACATCTGTTTGCGGGGCCGATTCTTTCAATGTGAAACTACAAACTTTTAAAAGCTGCAAAACTTGAACACTGCAGCAGAGGGCTGTATTAGGCTTCAAAGTCATGAATAAATAAATGTTTATAAAGAAATAAGACGATAGGAGTTACAAAGTGTGGCAGCCTTCGTGAATGCATAAAAGCAAGCAGTGTTTTTAATTATGCAGATGCAGAGAGAAGATCAAGAGTGCACAAAGCTTAAGAGAGGATAGCTAAAATTTACCTTCAGGTAAAAAAAAAAGTTTCTTCCATCTGTCAAAATTCATGAACTGATGAGAGGAAAGGAAATACAGAATACTGAATTTCCCTTCAGGGATCAATAAAGTTCTTCCTCTTCTTTTTGTTCTTCAAATATCTGAGCATAGTCTTGGATTCTCAGTTCAGATTTGAGGTACATGTCAGAAAAGTACAAAAAAACATCAAGATTAATCTGAATTGCTTTTGACTTTTGATCATATTCGATCATATCATATCATATTTAGATCATATTTATACAGGCACTCTATGGTTTTATCACACTACTCACATTGTGCAACTGTCAAGGGCCAGACCAATCAGAAGTACAAACAAACCCTCAATCATTGGATCAAATGCTAATGAAATGGCACAATTGAAATATTCACTGAAAGGAGTATTTCTCTTGGTTTAGGGTCTGAGCCTTCAAATAGACAAACTGAAGATAAAACTCACAGTAATGTTCATAAACTCAGTAATTGATTGAAACATACAAATCGTCACTCTTTTACAATAATGGCATGATCCTTTCAACGAAGGATTTGGCCGATTTTACCTGAGATGGCCGGCATTATCAAGAGATGATTTAGGCCAACAACTCATTTTTGTCAAAAAATGACTTAGGCCATTGTTTTTAATAGGGTGATAAAAAGCGTCTATTGGAACTTATTCAGCACAGAGGGAAGTTTAAAGTTGTGCTTTAAAGACTGGTTTGAGGTCTGTAGGTCACTGAATGCGAGGCGTTTAACGTAAACTAACCTCTCAAATAAAGTGAAGAGTCTAATAAGATAAAGTGAAATCATGATACCTGGAAATGCGAAGTTTGGCGCCACTGTTGGAAAAGTTTTCTTATTCTGACTTTTGACACTTCAATTGATCAATTATTGTATTTCATGTGAAATTTTAAAAACAGGGCTGCTCAGCTGACACCTACCCCTGTCACTGGATTGAGACATAAAAAATTATATATATAAAATATATATTAATATAAAAACAGTCAGTCTCAACATTTATGGTCTTTTTTGATTTGTATATTATAAATTGGCATTAATATTAATATTTAAGTCTATTTTATTCATGGAAAAAAAAACACAGTACCTTTAAGTCTCAATTTACCATTAAAAAGAGCTTTCAACTCAGCTACTTTCAGTTGTCATCACTCAGTGAGAGTAATAATGTAAATTGATTAATCTAATTTTGTAAAATAAACCTCATAAGATGTAATAAGAACAGGGCGTGATACAAAATATCCTTAACCTGCTCACACCAAACAGACATACTGAAAAATTTACAGTATGTAGGTGAAATTCTGATCATGTTTCCTGACTGTAGATGGAAGTAGAGGTCGGCCTGAGCAAATTCAGATTACAGGAAAACCAGTGTTTGATGTTAAATATGAAGTTATTTTCTACAAAATTGTGTAAATCGTTTAACCATTTATGCAAAGTTTATAGTCAAATATCTAACAAAACATGTTAATTTTCTGCTGCTGTCTGATGCACCCTTACTAACTCCTAAAAATTTCAGCAGCTGGCACACTCAACCACACAAATTATGCACATCATCCATCAAACCGCCTGTCAGTTAACTTTTTCTAATAAGATCTGCCCTACTCTAAATTGCTTAAAATGATTGTTGTGAAAGAATCTTCTCTTTGGCTTGGGTTCATTTATTTTTGTCAGCCTCACTGTTATGAAGCTTGTGTTAATTGTAGTGGATTTTAAATGGATATTCCAGCGTAAAATTAATTCAAGTGTGTCAAACACACTGTAACACCGAGTTAGACACCCCCTCGAGAGATGAATGTTGCTGATTGCTTGCTTGTCTAGTTATACTAACTTACTATACTAACATTTTATGCTGGAACATCCCTTTAGCTTCACTTTGATTATTACTTACGCTAATCCTCCACTATGGTTGCCCTAAATCAAAGTACGATCGGTCTATGATTATTGACATGCTGGTCCTGTCAATAGTTCACGTTTTGTTATTTCTGCCACTTTCCTGTATGAACTGTAGTTGTTGTTTATCTGTCCATCTCTGTCTTTCTCCCTCTTTCATCCCATCACAGTCTCAGCAGATGACAGTCTAACATGAATCTGGTTCTGCCTGAGATTTCTGCCCATTAAAAGGAAGTTTTTCTTGCCAGTCTATCTCTTTGTTATAGAAAAGTGTCTGAAAAATATTATAAAATATAAAATATAAGTCTGCATGCAATCAGAAAAGTAAAGCAAAGGGAATTCGAATCAAAATTACATTTCAAACTCTTGTGCTTATGTCTCATTTTATTTGGCGTAGATGAACAAATCTTTTTTACAGCATTTAAGGTAAAAGCAATACATTGGTTCAAAACACAGCATGGAGCTTGTCACACAAATGAAACTTTGTTTTTTGAAGCTGCTCTCCTTTATTATAGTTTCAGTTCAAGTTTTTGTCCTGCAGGTGTTTTTGTTTGGAGAGAGCAGCAGCTGAAAGTGCAGCTATTTTGAAAGTCAGGTGAGCTTCATGCTATCTGACAGTGACACAGAGGGCAGAAGTTGTATTTGCTGATCTCCTGCTCTAGAGCGCAGTGTTTACACACACTGCACAACCAGAACTGGTACTCCTGGATCTGCTGACCCGTCACAATGCATGTGGGGAGTTTTCCTTCTGACCTATAGAGGCAAAAATAGAATTAGAGAAGAAAATTGTGGTCCCCAGTATTTTTTGAACAGTTACTGCCAAGCTCTGCCAATGTGGGATCACGTAGATATATCCATGTTAAAACTGAATCAAAAACAATACATTGATATGTCCAAAGTCTGTCTAGAAATAAGACAAAATATTTCCTTCAATAATCTGAAAATGTAAACTCACCCCTCTGATGAGCTGCCCAGCTCCAGCGGACGGGTGTCCTTTGGGGTATATTTGGTGAAGATCTCCAGAGCAAGATCCTCATACAGCTGCCTCTGTTCAGGGTCCAAACTCTCCAAGGACTCCAGCTTGATGAAGGCCTGCGAACATGTGCCGAAGGCTCGGTTTGTGGCTGAGCAGACAGCAAGCAGAGAGTAGATCTCCACCGCTGGGATGATGTCTTCATATTCTCGCAGGTGAAGGGCTTCAGGAAATATGGAAAAAAGGGGGATTAGAGCCGTTAGTTTGGCTCTTTTTATCAAAGGAGAGTACATTTTGTGTAGAAAGTACGGATAAATTTTGAAGCTTTCTTTATCACTTGAAGGGTAAGTCCATAGAAAATGTAATGGTATGAAATAAAAAGTGATAAACTTAACTCCTGTGTGTTTAATAGTTTGTATTAACTACTAAATAATACGACATAGCGTCCTTTGAGTTGCGGTATGTTACCTGTGCGGATGGCTTTCTCCATGTAGCCTTCATAAAGTTGCCTCTGAGCAAGCAGGAAGAAATGATACGCCTCAGCTCCACGCCAGGCGTTGTCAATGAATCGACTGTCTGAGGAGGTTGCATCTTCTTCCAGCAGCCCAGCAAGTGTTGTTGTTGCCTAATCGTAAAAAAAAGGGATATGGATTAAGTGAAGTAAATTATGCTAATTCATAGAGCACTTCCTCAGTCTACAAACAAAATTTAACCACCCCCATCAAAAGGTGTTGGAAAGATGCCTCCCTATCAATAAATACTGTATCCTCTGATCCTCACCTCCGACTTCTTCCCCTTTGCTTTGCTCTGCTGTGACTTCTTCACCTGCTCGTGGTAATCTTCAATAAGCAGTGCTGCCAGCACATAGAGCTTCTTCACCCGCAGCGGTCGGGTCCTTTTCTCTGCTTCTGCATCAGCTATCTGTAACACAAGGTCCATGTTAAAAGCTCATGTACAGACTTGACTGGAATCCTAAATGTGATTCAAATCAAATACAGTGATTAATCTTGCATACAGTGCCTTGCGAAAGTATTCGGCCCCCTTGAACCTTTCAACCTTTCGCCACATTTCAGGCTTCAAACATAAAGATATAAAATTTTAATTTTTTGTCAAGAATCAACAACAAGTGGGACACAATTGTGAAGTGGAACAAAATTTATTGGATAATTTAAACTTTTTTAACAAAAAAAAAAAATGAAAAGTGGGGCGTGCAATATTATTCGGCCCCCTTGCGTTAATACTTTGTAGCGCCACCTTTTGCTGCAATTACAGCTGCAAGTCGCTTGGGGTATGTCTCTATCAGTTTTGCACATCAAGAGACTGAAATTCTTGCCCATTCTTCCTTGCAAAACAGCTCAAGCTCAGTGATGTTGGATGGAGAGCGTTTGTGAACAGCAGTCTTCAGCTCTTTCCACAGATTCTCGATTGGATTCAGGTCTGAACTTTGACTTGGCCATTCTAACACCTGTATACGTTTATTTGTGGACCATTCCATTGTAGATTTGGCTTTACGTTTTGGATCATTGTCCTGTTGGAAGATAAATCTCCGTCCCAGTCTCAGGTCTTTTGCAGACTCCAACAGGTTTTCTTCTAGAATGGTCCTGTATTTGGCTCCATCCATCTTCCCATCAATTTTAACCATCTTCCCTGTCCCTGCTGAAGAAAAGCAGGCCCAAACCATGATGCTGCCACCACCATGTTTGACAGTGGGGATGGTGTGTTCAGGGTGATGAGCTGTGTTGCTTTTACGCCAAACATATCGTTTTGCATTGTGGCCAAAAAGTTCAATTTTGGTTTCATCTGACCAGAGCACCTTCTTCCACATGTTTGGTGTGTCTCCCAGGTGGCTTGTGGCAAACTTCAAACGAGACTTTTTATGGATATCTTTGAGAAATGTCTTTCTTCTTGCCACTCTTCCATAAAGGCCAGATTTGTGCAGTGTACGACTGATTGTTGTCCTATGGACAGACTCTCCCAACTCAGCTGTAGATCTCTGCAGTTCATCCAGAGTGATCATGGGCCTCTTGGCTGCATCTCTGATCAATCTTCTCCTTGTTTGAGATGAAAGTTTGGAGGGACGGCCGGGTCTTGGTAGATTTGCAGTGGTCTGATACTCCTTCCATTTCAATATGATTGCTTGCACAGTGCTCCTTGAGATGTTTAAAGCTTGGGAAATCTTTTTGTATCCAAATCCGGCTTTAAACTTCTCCACAACAGTATCTTGGACCTGCCTGGTGTGTTCCTTGGTCTTCATGATGTCTCTGCGCTTTAAACAGAACCCTGAGACTATCACAGAGCAGGTGCATTTAAACAGAGACTTGATTACACACAGGTGGATTCTATTTATCATCATCAGTCATTTAGGACAACATTTGATCATTCAGAGATCCTCACTGAACTTCTGGAGTGAGTTTGCTGCACTGAAAGTAACAGGGGCCGAATAGTATTGCACGCCCCACTTTTCAGTTTTTTATTTGTTAAAAAAGTTTAAATTATCCAATAAATTTTGTTCCACTTCATGATTGTGTCCCACTTGTTGTTGATTCTTGACAAAAAATTAAAATTTTATATCTTTATGTTTGAAGCCTGAAATGTGGCGAAAGGTTGAAAGGTTCAAGGGGGCCGAATACTTTTGCAAGGCACTGTATATGCTGCTGTAAAGTTCTGAGGAAATCCAAGTACAGTAGTAACATTCACTTTTAATTTTACTTCCCCCTTTGTTTCAGGATTATGACAGACCTCCTCCTTATCCAAGCAAAGAAACCACATGAACAGCATTGAAATTCAATAACGTTTTGTAAGAATAATGAGTATTAAAACTCAAGCTCACCTTAAACATGAGTTTGGCTGCATCTAGAAAGTGGTGAGCTTTGCGATAAAGTTCCACCGCCTCTAAAATCTTATTCTTCTCAAGAAGATGTGACGCATATTTGGAGAGGAGAGATTTGATCTCCTTCATGTTGTGTGTCCTGGCGAGCTCCACTGCTTTATTCCACTGAAAGAAAAAGCAAAAGCAGGAATAAACCACTTTGAAAAGTAATTTTTTTAAAAGGAGGTAAATAAGTCTGAGACGATCATATGTCAGTGCTACGAGCATTATTCAAACTAAACTCTCAATTTAAATTTTAATCAGGGATTTCAAACAGTTAATGGCTTCACAATTAGTGTGTTAAGACAACCCTAATTTGAACCTCTGGTGGCTAACAGATGCAATAGTTAAGAAACGCTTTACTTCATACACAGAGATTCATTGATAAGATTTAATAAGTGCAAAGAAATCCCTGAGGGGAGTTGTGCATGACTAAAAATAAGTCAGCTTACTGTGCTTTGTTATGACTGCTTTCATTGTTTAGACCATACCTGTCTGATACCATTCAGATCCATACACAGGTTATAACCAGTTTGGTATTTTTTACTTTACAAACAGCCACAAATTAAGATTTATAAAGCCAAAAGACTTGGTTGATTAGTACATAATTTGAAACTCCTGGGAGGAACTTTTGGGGTGTGTTTTTTGGCGCCTACCTGTGGATAAAGCAGTCTTGTCCTTGCTAAATCTGAGTTGTTATTTTTGACAAAAATCTCATACTGCTGACTTCTGATATTTGAGCATGTTCTTTATTGAGAATATTTCAAGAGGGAATTGAGAAACAGGGCCATTTATTCAGCTGCAAGGCTGACAACTACCCCTCTGTAGCAGTTTTAGAAACTGAACATTAGTATATATAAAAACTTCAGTTTTGTCACCTATGGTCTTGTCTGATTTCATGTAAAAACTCTTTATAGGAGCTTTAAACATCTATAACTTAAGTTTACTTTACTTGCATTTTTTTTTAATGTAATGGCTAATTTCGCTTAAAAAGGCGCTTTTTATAAATCCAACAACACAGTTTAGTTTCTATTTGGTTTTAAAAAATAGCTTCTTTTTATAGATGGGCTGTGGTTGAGCATGTTTACCGCTTAGATTTATGTTTTATAGCTACACTCTAAAGCATTTTAATATGACAGCAATTCAGTTTTTGATTTAATCCCAAATGTGTTCAGAAAATACACAAGCTGGTGAGTTTCCTGATAATAGTACAGTGAAAAAAGATGAGAACAGCTGTTATTTTCAAACATTGTAGGGTTGAGCTACAAGAAGGTAAAGAGGAAACAATTAAGTGACATGACAGCCTGTTTTTTTTTTTTCACTGTCAAAAGCACAAAGGACATGAATGCAGCAGGAAAAACAGCAGAGAGTGAAGGAAGTTCTCACTGCAAACAGCTTCTCCTTTTGCTTTATTGCATGATCTGTTAAAGTAAACATCCTTTAAACTAAATCTAGCTGTTGTTACATAATCTGTGCAAAGACAGTCATTTCCATAGTGAGCACAAGTGTCGGCTGAATAAATATGAGCTTCTTTTAAATGAAGTTAACATTTAGATTAGAAGAGCGTAGTTTCAGAGCAGTATTCACACTATAGGGCTAAATATTTCTCAGGAAGAGGACTGAGGTGGGAGGAAAGCGGCTGCCATAGTGACTGTTGTGGGCCAAAGCTGTCAGATGGTGTGTTTGATCCAAAAGGTCACTGGGAAACTGTGGCGCCACCGATTTTTTTTCTTCGTCTCTCACCTGGTTAAGATGGACACAGGTGTCAACGGCAGCTTTGGGCTGGTTACACTTCAGGTAGGCGTTCACAGCCTGCTCACACATGCCCACAGTGGCGAGCATCTGTCCGATCTCCTACAACACAGAGGTGGAGAAGAGAAACATAGAGCTATTATTGTCTGAAATCAAACATCAAGTGTGAGGAGAAAAATAACTGAACATTTAGCTCACAGGTAAAAGTTTGTGATTCTCTGGCAGCTCATTGGTCAGCTCTTCGAGGTCATAGTAGTACTCCAACATGTAGTAACACTCAGCTAGCCTCTCGTGGTTACGGCCCTGACGATAGTACTGCAATGCATTCTCCCTTTAAAAAGAAAAAAATAAATATTTATAACCTGGTAAAACAGTTATTTAACTTCTTTTAACCTCTGACCCAGCAGTAGGATGTTTCTGCACTTATATATGAAGTCAAAAGACAAATTTCAGCACCACTTCTGCCTGTCTGCAAAGTAGTCTCCAATTGCATTGTATGCCTGTTCCATCAGCGCGTCATCACTGTCACCAGAGCCAGTTTTGAGCAGCTGGAGCACCCTGAACCAATCCCCCAGTTTGATCCTTAGGTTGATGGCAAGGTCCCTGAAAAATATTTCAAAGAGTCATTGAACTAAAAAAAGCAGATAAAAGATTTAAAAATTGGTCAAAGTCGATATTTCACCGTCAAAAAAGCTTCAACAAATACGTCTACCTGCGATCCATATCCAGGTACATTCGCTCAGCCTCTTCAAAGCTGCCAAAGTAAGCCGCCACCTCTGCTTGTTTCATGGGCTCGTTCTGCAGGTTTCCCAGCCGCTTGACAAATTCAATACCCTGGTAGTCTTTGCAGCGGACAAAAGCCTGCTCAGCTGTTTTTAGGTCCAGTTTCTGGAGGGCTGCCTCTGCTAGTAGACGCCTGAGAGGGTAAAAACAGGAAGAGGGTTCAGGAAGCTGCTAAGTACATCAGTACATAAGGCTGTTATGTTAAAACTTTTTATACCCACTTTAATGTGATTTATTCAAGCTCAAAGTACCACAGGAGGATGAAACTGTCTAGCTGATCGAGAAGAAATGACTGAGACTGCTAGGCTGCTGTAAACAATTCATAAAAAGTGCTACAAATATTGTGTTATCAGTCTGCCCTTGTCAAACTCCATGACTTTATGAGTCCACCACTATCAAATGACAGTAAATAATCCTTACATCAGATTGGAACAGACTCTGGGAGTAGAGGGGGAATTTTTCAATGTTGCCAGATTTTGAGGGATGCTGCAAGAAGTGACACACTACCCAGAGAACACAGTGATCACACCGCTGCTTCAAAAAACATAAATCTCCCTTACCCTGGTGTTCACCTCCTACTCAGTCAGGGCTCAGATTATTAAAAAAAAACTGCAGTGACGGCAGCTGTAAGTTGGTGTAAACCTTCTCAATTTTTCTGTCTATTGGTATAAAGAACCTACACCAGCGGGTGACTAAAACTCACTAAATTAATTGCTGCAACCAAATTAAAAATCAGAAATCGCCATAGATCATTAAAGACCCACTGCGATGAAAATTACGTTTTTCTTCATATTCATATGGCATTTTTCTGATACTACAGGACAAATCATGAGATAAATGCGAAATTGCATTTCTGAGTATTTCTGCATTCAAATTACTATGAACCTCTGGCAGACCCAAACGGCAGGATCAGATACAGTGAGATTTCCTACATAGCAAATCCAAGCTCTGCACCCAGAGCCCCGGAATGCATGCTAGACTCAGAGAAATAGAGAGGACGATCGCAGAACAAGCGTGCGTGTTAGTAGATTGAAATGCTTGTAAGAAAGCTAGCTATGATATTAACTTTCATCATGTCCCCAAAGACATTAGTGTTCGAGGGCTGAATAGCTCCTATGTTACCTGCAACTTCTACTACACCAGCAATGTTAGGCTACAAGCTAGCATGAAGAGGAGTGTGCAGAGCAGCGCTGTCTCAGCCCATGACTCAGAGGCGAATTGCTAGTGAACAACAAATCTAAATAATATCATGTTCATCAGAACATTTAAAGACCACTGAGAACACTATAAGTAGTAGTAAAAATAATAATAATAATAATAATAATAATAATAATAATAATAATAATAATAATAATCGGAGTGGAACTTTAATGAATCTTCTAGTTTTCCAGCTTTAAAGTTGTATCAGTAACTCAGGTTTACATTAAAAAAGCTGCTGTCTGCTTCCTCCCATCACTGAAATTAAAAAGATGTACTGCAGGGACCAAATCACAGTCAAGTAGGTTTATCTAACTTTGAGGTAATAGGTTCTTTCTTAAAAATATATGGGCAAAAAGTGGCACAGAGGAATCACTGCTCAGCCATCACAAGTGGACATCCCTGCGTGTACCGCTTCAGGAGAAAGGTCTCTAAACATGCAGACACAACCTTTAAGCCACCCTGACTGTCAAAGTTAACAACAAATCTAAATAATATCATGTTCATCAGAACATTAGACGGATAGATGTGGAGGGTCACCACATGACTCTTTCCTTGAAGGTCCCTGAATGATTAACTAAACCACTGCCACAACCTCTGACTTGTGAATCTTCACCTAGTTTTCCAGCTTTAAACGTCATGTAGTGTAAGCTTCCTGCTGTTTTCCCTCTGTACCAGCATAATAAAGAACAGGCTCGACAAGTCAAGACCAGGTCCCAGTTTTGTATTTACCAAAGTCTTGGGTGCGGATTGTCTTCGATGAACTGTGAGGCATCTTCAATCCCCACTTTTTCAATCAGAGCACGACTGTCTCTCAAGGAACGGATCTCAAAATTGATGAGGTTGTCTTTATTCGGCCTCTCTGGATCCTGTCGGGCGATAAATAATACCCCACTGTTTGATTAAACCAACAAATGCAAACTGCGCCCTAAGCATTTTCAAGGTTCAACAACCTCTCTCTAGATGCTTATTTTCACTCCAGTGGGGTCAAATCCTTTCATTTTGCAATATAAGCTGTAATTATATGAGCAAACATTATTCAAACTAAACCAAATTTGCCTCCTTTTGAGGGAGATGGGCATGAATACAATAATAAAATCAATATCAGCATCAATGTTTATCTTCAAACATTCAGATACGGGACTTTGTCGAAATACTGACCTTCATGATTTCATCAAGCAGGACAGATTTGATTTCCAGGTCCTCGAAGTTGCAAATGTATCCGGAAGTTTGGATTGGTTCCTGTTTAGAAAGGGTACGATACGTTATTAGCACAAATCACAACACAGCGAACTGTTAGACAAAAATGCCTGAGCACTCACCTCTGGGTCCAAATTCCTGAAAACATACATCCTGGTCTTCTCCATCATGGCAAACAGATCAGGATTGTCATTCGCCCACTTCATGTCCCAGACATCCTTGCGCTCAAACTTGGAGGGGTCGCCTGCAGATGCCTGACTTCCTGCAACGTCATCTGGAGAGGAGCGAACTTCCAGGTCCAGCAAAGTCAGGACGCCTGCGATGTCAATTATGGCCAGCCGACTGGGGAAAACAATGATCATTTTTTTTGATGTGGCTACACTACAATATAATAGAAACCATGCTTGAACAAGTTAACTACATACAGTATATCTGTGTGAACTGACTGTCATTGGTACAAAACCAACAAAAACTTGCCTTGAGTTGCAGTTTAAGGACAGATAATAGGCTCTGTTGTTTAGAGTGTATTTACTGATGAGAACCACATTTGGGAGGCTGTATCTATGGATCGTGCCAGACTCACGGCCCTGTAAACAGACACCCAAACACTTCATGAAATTAGGACTTTTTTAACACTCAGTTCAGAAAAATAAATGTAAACAGGAAGGTACATACCACAATCAGGGTCTTATCTGTTGCTGTGATACAACATATTGGATCTCGAGTTGCCTGAAACAGAAACATATGATGAAACCCTCTTAATTTATTCAACTTATTTGGAGCAGTTCAATCAGAGTGAGAAAACGTGAATATAACATGTATGACATGCTGAAATTATAGTGATGTTATAGTTTTGAGGTGTCAGTGTTGGAAGAATTCTGATGGCAGTGAAACTGATTTTTTTATATTTAAAAAGTAGAAAAAACAAAGTTTTGAGTAGTTTTTTTTTTCTTAAATTCAACTTCTTTTATGATAAAATTAGACGACAAACATAAAAGTCTCAAATCCAGAATATTCAGTCATTTGATGTCTCTTACTGTGAAGGCCTTTGCAAAATCTGGACCACTCTCATTGGCTCCAGAGGGGTTGCTGTCAATGTGGTAGACCCTGAAAAAGGAAGTGAGAACAAATGAGACAGCCAGACAGACAGATAGTTGCCCTTTCTCCTGAGGTGAGCCGTGGTCCAGGTGCTAGGACAGTCCTGGCAGGACATTTTGGTCACACCCAGCCCGTCTGGAACCGCCGTGGCATTTGGTTCAGATGAATGAATCCTTTTCATGACATTGAGTGAAACAACACCCTCCACTGAAACACAGAGCCAGTTAACCAAAGGTTTCCACTGTTGACTCACTGAATCCAGCCTTGTGATTTCTTGCCTCCATGTAAGTTTCCATGATCTGCTTGATGTGCGGGGTAAGTCCTGACACTTGTGTTCTATTTTGTTCCTATAGCATTTGGCCTGGCTTTGTTCAATTTAGTCCTTTTGACTTCCAGTTCAATTGCAGCTTCAGTGAGTGTAAATGTTTCAGATCCATTTCTTAAACTCACCTCTCTCTTCCTTCTTTTTTAGTTCTGGTCACCTGGTTGATCTCCAGGGCAGTTAGCTTCTTTGCCACTCTGTACTGCCACAGGTAGAAGGCCTCTTTGGATGCAGCAATCACATGTGTTTTGGTCATGGTGACGAACAGTGGATCTGGTGATGAACACAAGTGACAGGCTTGACTTTCAAATAAGGTAAATATACAGTTAGGTCACAGATTTTTGTGAAACCAGCTCAGTAAATTGCTCACATCTCATTCAGCACAACACTGAGATGTGAGTTTTTCATTAAACCAATAAAGAGCCTATGTCATAACTAAAACTGAACACGAAGTCAAGCTTAGTCTACGACTGATAAACAGATTTTAATGCCAGCCCACATCTGCCAGCAGTTCAAACCATCACCTCCTACTCATCCAGTTGGCACATCTCAAATAGGTGATCTGTTTAAGCTGATCAAACCTGCCGACTCTTGCTGCTTCCTATGCAAACCGCTTTCTAACTAGCGATGTGCCGGTCACGAACGAACCGGTTCACATAAAGGATGGGCGCCGGCTCCCATCTGTCAGCCGTTTTATTTTTAATTTTTTTTTTCTTTCTCTTTCCCCCCACAGACCGTAGAACAAAACTACAAGGTAGAACGATGGGGTTTCTATCTGCTTAGTGTAGCAGAGTGGTTCTACAAGCAAGTCATTGCTTGTTTCATTGGATGATTTCAGCGAGTTACAGAGAGTCTGTAAGTGCAATGAAAACAAATGACTACGGCAATTTACTGATTTTAGAAAATGTCGTTTTAATTGTGAATACTTAAGTACAAAGGAAGTATTGAATTATTTCAGAGATACAGTATGTGTAAACATATTTACATATCATAAGCCAAACAATGCTAAATTTGGCTGAATTTAAAAATGTTGAAGTGGTAAAATGAAGAGCCTTTGGGAGCCGAAAGAGCCGGCTCTTCTAGATGAGTTGGGCCGAATGATCTGACTCACTAAAAAGAGTCATAATTCCCATCACCATTTGCAACCCACCTCCACCCCAGCTCCTCCTTTTAAGTGTCCTATGCTTTTACCCCTGGGGTCTTTGATGCCTCTCTACCTGCCTTGGCTTTCCCTGTATGCATGTGACATGCTACATAATTTTAATTTACAGCATTCCATTTAATGCTGCAGTAAGAGTTAAAAGTTGCTAATTAAACTGGCATGAGAATTGGCTGATAAGCGAGCACTGCTACCCAACTTAACCCTTACCTTCCCCGTTATATCTGGCTTCTAAAAACCATTAGGGACTAAACTGCCACTAAACAGCAGAGTGATGGCTACATACAAACTGACAGACACATACTGTACATTTCTTTTGTGTTAGATTACATTAGATTTTCACTAAAACAGAAACTCTAGTCTGGAAAACAGCCACCATGAGCCCACAGGACACACACTCTTGAACTCGCTTTTATTATTCACGAAAATAAGATCTGTGGGACACATTCAGACCACTGAGGTTTTCACTCCTCAGTTTGAACTGTCCCGTGTCTCAGCAAACATTTGACCGTGTCAAGTAGAGACAGAATGCTATGAGATGTAGAGACATCCAGCGCTCAGTTTACTTTTGGATGCCGTGGGCCAATAAAAAATGTATCATTGCGCGAGGATGGCAAAACACCAGACACTATTTACTGTGCAGGGCGTGACCTCTCGCATTAACTTGAAGAAATACATCAACTTCGTGGTACATCAAACATTGATCATCCCACAGCTGTGCATTGAGAACATTACTAACAACTCAATTTCAGTGTGCACATTGTGAGAAACCTTGCAGACAGCATGCCGAGGGAAGTACATTTTAAAATATGAGAACATTTACTTTAAGATAGCATTGATGTAAAAGTTAAAAAGACAAGATTCACAAGATACTGTTAGGGGTGGGAATCACTCGGGGCCCTACGATTTGATTCATAATACTTGGGCCACGATACGACATTATTGCGATTTTTAACATTTTGCAACACAGTGAGTACTGCGATACAATATATTGCGATTTATAAATTTTTTTCAACTGTTTGGCTAATTTAGCATGTCATTCCTTTATCTTTGTCTTCCTGTATGCTGTATTTTATTTATATGTAGCACATTTTGCAAACCTTATATATATTTGTTGTACTAACTTTCTTCTGCTCTATGATGTCACCTCTGCCAACCTCACTGGACAGTTGATTTTATTTTTCATTATCATACATTTGACTTCATATTGGAAATTAATTTGAAAAAAATTGATACTTGGTGAATGAGACGATAGGATATATTACCAGACAAAATATCGCAATACTATGCTGTATTGATTTTTTCTCCCACCCCTAGATAATATCCTCCCTTTGAACAGCATAAACTTACCTATGTCAATGTATTTGGAGTCCAGCGGAGTCCCGATGGAGTTACACAGAATCAGAACATACTGAAAAGCACACAGTGATAAAACCTCAAGATCAGAGTTCAAAAGTTTATTAGAACAAATACTCATTTTAAAAGTGAGGTTTTGTACATTACCCTTGCATGACTCCCAGATTCTAACTCAGCGTCCTCCTGTAAGGTTTCAACAAGACAAACATTTGAGAGTTATCAAAAAACATGTCAAATATGTCAGAAAAAACAAAGACATTCTTCTTAACTGTGAGTGTAATAATATAAACTTCTGAGATGTTGGTACCTGAGGTTGGGTTTCATCTGCTTTGCTGGCTAAGATGCAGAAATCTCCTGATGTGGTGATGGACATTAAGCTCTTGACATATTTGATAAACTTCTCATTGTTTTTGGTGTCCCAGAATACCACACAGTATTCCTGCCGCTCTGGTTTTGTGTATGCGTACACCACAGTGCTGCAGCAATAGCCCCACTGTTAAAAGTCAGATAGATAAGCTCAGAGGTTTTTTACAGCAAGTGTGGTTTCACGCAAGGCAAAGCAAGTTTATTTGTGTAGCACCATTCATACACAAGGCAATTCAAAGTGCTTTACAGATGCAAGGAAATACGTAGGAAATTAAAGAGAGAGATTAAAACAATTTAAAATTTAAAAAATACTTAAAATAATTTAAAATCAATTAGACAAACAGATTAATTTATTGTCTGTTCTGTGTTTGCCCTGATTATTTATGGAAACTAGTGTTTTCCAGAAAAACACAATAAGTCACAGGCTTTCAGACCCGGGGTTCCCCAGATGGTAAGTAGTTTTCTCTTTGTCATCTCGGACGGTTTTAGTTTTCTCCTTGTCTATTTCGGACAGTTTTAGTTGAGTTTAATAAACTGTCAGTTACAGGTGCACTGCTTCATTTGTTTGACTCAACAGGACTGAAGCTAAAGACATATATTGAACAAAATAGAACACAAACATAGTCAGTGACTTGATAACAACATGTCGAAATCCCTCTTTATCTGTTTTACAGTGCAGCTGTATGTCTATAATTTTAAAAAAATATTCAGGTCTCGTTTAAAGACTACTCACACTGCAAAACTTGATATAATTCTGGGTGTCAAAGTTTGGCAGCAGAAAATTGAATTTAGCAGCACAAGGTTGATATTTTTAATATTTGATTTCACATTTCTTGGATAAAAATACCAAACAAAAAGAGCAATGACAAAGTGAGGAGCGTAGATATTCCAAATGATCAGGTCTCATGGACCAAAAGAAAACATTTGCAGTAATCGGGTCAGGAGGAGAAATGTACTGCATGATAAAAATGTTTTTGTAGGAGGCCAAATATTGAAGTAAAACTTGTGCATTCCCAGGTCTACCTGTGTGTATCGGGGTTTACTTATATGTTGTTTAAAAGTTTAAAGATGAAAACATGGCTTTTCTCATGACTTTAAGGTTTTTGTTTTTTGTTTACAGTTTTTAAATGTTAGGCTGCAAGCATATAAGTACTCTCTGTCCATGCTTGTATTAAAAGGTGGTTATTTACCAAAACTTTCACTGAAAATAAGTCACTATTGTTGGTGTTTACCTTGTAGTCTGGTCTAATATTGGCAAAGTAGATGTAGGAGTCTACGGCCAGACTAATTCGTAGACCTCCTCCCTCCCAGGCCACTCCTGTCATCTGCTTCCCGGGGACTTTCAGAGTTCTCAAATGCTGTTTCAAAACAAAAAAGGATTCCAGTGAAAATGGGGATAGATTTAAATCAGTGTGAATCATGCAACGATGTAGGGACAAAACCTCCACTCTCACCTCTCCAAACGGCGTGTAGAACTGAACAAGATTAAATTCTTTGTCCACATTTGAAGCTCGCAGAGATCCTGCTACCGCCAGAGCACTGCCACAGTGGTTCCACTGGATGCTGACCACATTCATCAGAGTGTCGATACATACTGGATCTGAGGAAAAGTGTGGCCATTTAGTAAACATTCACCAAAGCTTAACCTGGAGGATCAAGTTCTGCAGACTCAAAACCTTCCCTCTTACTCTCATCATTTTCGTAGCGCATAATCTGGCATCTCCCATTGTCAAAACAGATAGCAAGGCACGGGCAGTCCGGCTCAACATAGCCCCCACTTCCTGCATACCAGTGGATACCAGCAATACTGACCGCTCCAGTCACATTGGTGAGGCAGCTGATGGACATTTTCATCTGGAACATGACGCAGATAATTAAAAAGTAAACAAGGCAGCTCATTTCACACACATTTATATAGATATAGAGATAAAATAAATTCTTATTATTTATGTTCCTTCTGTTATTCTTGTATCATTGGTGATGCCTCCTTTACTTTCAAACTCAAGTCATCACCTTTATTTTATTTTTTGGAGACACCTCACTCAAGTTTTATTTTTCATTTTCATGTGGACATACCACGCAACATTGGTACCACAGTACACTGCATTTTCTACTACAGTTGCTTTTTGTATTTCACCAGAAGTTAATAAGAAAAGGCAGGAATTTTCAAGTTGTGGAGTAAAGAGCTCACTTTCCCAAATCCACTTTTATTTTTGGATCAACAACAAGATAATCTCCATGTAAAGCTTTACAGAGACTAATGCTTTCCCTAACAGCCTGCAGCAGTTTGAACCCAAACCCTGTATCAAACCTGCATTTTTTATCCATGAAGCTAGTATCCTATAAGTTAGGAGGCAGTATTGCTCTCTTAACAGATACTTAATCTACTTAAGCACATGGACTCACTATAAAGTTGCCTTGATTGTCATATATTTGGACTTCTCCACTGGCCATGCCGAATAGGAGGATCTTGCTGTCTGGCGACCATGCCACATGAGCGAGCTGATTTCCCTTTAGCTCCTTTCCCCAAATCCGGTTTCCTACAAAAACAAACTAATTATTAGTACTGTGCATGTCTGTAATTATTCCCTGTGTGTGAACAGAGCATTCCCTGATAAGACAGCTGCTGTTACTTCAGTCTGAAAACAATATTGTGACTTATCTCATTCATTTTATTTTTTATCAATTGCACTGTAAATCAGTTTTTACCGTCAACAGATCCTACGATGACGGCTCCATCTTCATACACAATGCAGATCTTCTGACCGTCAGAGTTCCAACTCATGCTCTTTACTACGGACTTGTTGCGGTTGTTGATCATCTCCTCATACCATGCACCTTCAGAAGGAAAGAAATACAAGCTTTGAATTTGATTCTCATGAAAAAGGAGCTTGTATTATGAGATCAGCAGCAGTAATCACCTTTGTAGAGCATCCATACAATGATGAGGCCAGTCCGATCGCTGGTTGTCAGCTTCTCATGTTGTTCATTCCATGTAACCACCTGTACTGCTCCTGCATATGCACCAATAGTTTGCTCAATGCTTTTATTTTGTGTGCTGTTTGTTTTAAGAAAAAATAAGTTTGAAAACTTACCACTGTGTCCCTCTAAAGTCTGGTTCATCGACAGATTACTGGGCGCAGCAAGGCCTTTTAGTTTGGCATCATCTGACAACAAAGGGGGGGGGGGTCTATTAAAAAGCATGTTTATAACCTGAACAATATTTATGTAAATTCTTGTCTAACTTATAAACATAACACAACTTTCATTAAGAGATTCCATTTGCTGTTGGTATAAACGAAGTATGCAGGTTAATGTAAGCACAGTGTATTATTTTCTTCACTCTAGTCTAAATGTCTTTTTATTTTGTCTAACAACAAAATTACTTTGTAAGAGAGACCGGAGTTAATCTAAAGTTATCAGAACCAGTGCACAATATGAGAAGTGCCATTAAGATAAGGTGTTACATATTTTCCCCAGTCTCAAGATTTAGCAAAAACTAAATAACTGTTAAAATATACCAGCAAAAAAAAAAAAAAAAGAGAGAGAGAAATGAAAAGGAAATGAATTACATGTAAATGTAATGTTTTTTTTTTTTGTAAATGTTTTTAAATATGTAAGACTTTTTCAAATTTAGATTTGTATTAACCAATTCTCAAAATAAGGAAACTGAGAGAGTCCAGGTTTCCTTTTTTATTTATTCTATTAATGCTGTATCTAAATATATTTCGGCAAATATTTAACAATTCAACTAACTGCTTATTCTGATATTGTATAATTATAACATGATAAACAAATGGAAAAACTAAGAGCAAACTGTTAGTATATCAGTCGGGAATGAAGTTGAGCTTTTCTTCTGTCATAAATTATGGATATTTTCCAACTAACCCGAGCTCATTCTTACATTTATTATTTCATAATAATTTTTCATACAGCGTATATAAAGAAATCAAAACTTTCACCTCCAGATCTGTACTTTTCTCCTTCAGTAAGACTCTGGTTTTGATTTGTGTAACTTTTAGAGGGTCCAGCAGAATCCTCTGATACTGTTACCAAGCTACAATTGATTTTAGAGACCATAGAGAAGCAGCCAAGAAAAGAGAAAAGCATTAAATTGAGCCGCCTCTTTACTGAAGTCACCAACATTTTCATTGGGATATAACTATTTTGAACTATTCCTTTAGTTTGTTCATTTTTTTTTATCTTATTCATGTTTTCAAACAGAAGATGGACGTTAGTTTTACCATCAAAAACTTTGGGCTAAAGGTAGCTAGAAATAGCCCATTATTTAGCTCATAAATAATGTGTGGTGAAGGGCAGTGCAGGCAGTCAACCCCCTGAATAGGACATGATCACTGTGCACATAAAATCCAGAGTGACAGGAAATGGTGTGACATGCAACAAGGTCCTGGACATTGGGTGCACACTGGGGTGAGATTTAATACCACAACAGGAAAGTAAATCCAAACATTTTTGTCACTTATCAAATCGGATGTAACGTGAAAAGCTTAAACTTAGAGTGGAAAGTGCAAATATTTGAAACCACTAAACTAAAAAAGTGACAATGAAAGTTTCATCCCCTGAAATGAACTCACCTGTCTGAGTTTCCAGCTTGAGCACCCTGAGGAGGCCACCGTCTCCTCCACAGGCAATGAAGCCTTGATCTTTGTTCCAGGAGACACATTTAAGATGGACATTGTTGGGAATAGCAATCTATAAAACACGAAATGTGACAGTTAACCAAATCCCTTCAGTATTGATGTGTGGTTTGGTAGGTGGCGTAGCACTAAAGGGTGTCAGGCACTCACCTTCTTACTGAGGTAGATAAACATTGTAAGATTTTTTTAAAATCCAAAACGAACTGCTTAATGTGTAGTCATACTATTTCGTACGACGAGACAGCCAAATATAAAAGGTAGAGTAAGCTAACTGAATTCATCATCAGGCCCCGATCTCATCACTTTACCGTTAGCCGTTAACTGTTAGCTTAGCCAGTTACCAACCTAACACGACAGGGTAACTCAGTTACAAAGATAGTTAAAGGTTACAGCAGCAATACACAAAACCCTGGATGCGACTTTATAAAGAAATATTTGAAAATCTGTTTCAATATGGCCTTAAAATTCCGTCGTCTATGATAGAAAGTTGCTGCCGGAGCCGTAAGCTTCCCTCGGTTTCCCCTGGTAACCGTAAAACGGAAGTGACGAAAGAAGGGTTTTCTGGTCGTTGTAGTTTTTTTCCTTTTCTTCGCTCCGGTTTGTTACTGCGCTGGAACATCAATATGTTGTGTATGCAGGAGTTTTGACACAAACCAGCTGTTGTATTTTTCTTTAAACGCTGTCCTCCCAAAACTGTTACACTTATCAGAAAAGTTTGTCCATTTTTTTCAATTAATGTTCCCTGAAAAAGAACTACAAAACAGGTAACATTTTTGATTACCTTTTGCATTTATTGGGCTTTGTTAGCAACCAAAATACACAAAAGTGATTACAATGAAGGAATTCTAATTCATCTCAAAACGAAAAGATTTGTAATGAGATGGTATGTTTCCTCTATTTTAAGGTAGCATGCCAACCACTCATGAAAAGACGCCTAAGAATACTAAAAATGCACAATAAAGGATACATACAATGGCTGTTTCAGAATAAGTAATCTACACAACATGAAGATTTTTGCTTACAGACACACCTTATCTCATACACTCATGGTTCAGGTTATGTTTATTAAAAAGTAAAATGTAGGTTATAGTACATGTGCGCTGTATTGACTTAAGACTTTTATCATACATTTTAAACCATTACAAAATTGAGTGGACCTTAACTTTTACTCACAGTTTAAATTACCTCAAATAAACTTAATCATTTAACCCCCTCCCCCAAAGATATAATAATTGTCCCAGTCTGTAACAATCAATAATTGCTATGCAATAAAGTTATTGAAATATTTCAGGTATCAAAGGAAAGGATTACAGTAATTCACTGTGATGTAACGACACCATGAGCCAAGTGGATCAGGCTTCTCTGTGTAATTGAGCTGCAGTGAGTAGGTTAACAACAATGCCCTCGTTGTTGAAGGGCTTAGTACTTCTGCTATGGTCATGGATCAAGGCTTTCTGTTCTACAAAACACCAAAAGTGCTCTTACAGCACTAGATACACAGCAAGGATGTGTGTTCACTTATTGTTAAAGCTTTAGCTGTTTTCATCTCCATTTGCACTCCAGCCCTAATCATACACAATTTAGGGCTTAACCTCATTGATTTACACTTTGGGATGTGATGTCACCTTTAAATGTGTGGGTAAATGTGAGCATTTACACCAGTTATGCCTGATTTTACAGTGGGACAAGATGCACATTTATATAAACAAAACCATAACAGAACTACACTCCATGGGAAAGTAACAGTCTGCCATACACACAAATCCTCAAAATTATGGGTTGCAGCCTTTAGGTGGGTTAAGTGAAATTTTGAGCAGGATTGTGCACATCATTTGACATCTTGGTCACTCTTCTTAGTACTGCTGTTGGACCTCAATGAGGTTCACTTTTTCCAAAAGTTCATCGAGTGAATGTATAGTCAAGGAAAGAAAGAGAATTCAAAGAGAGTAGCTATAATATTTACCTTAAAAAAAACTGAAACTGCGACTCCAAAGAATCAAATACTAGATTCAAATTCCTGTTAGCAAAAACCTTAACACAATAAAACAATTATTTAAAAAAAATTGAAAAACAAAGGATATGTTTCCTGCTCAGCTCCTGAATGGTTGACTGTACTTTCTTCTGGAACAAAATCTGGGCTTCACACATACAGGCATCTCGTGTTATTTCACCCCTCATTTCCTCTGAAAAATTGAGAGAAAAACACAGCACTAAGTAAACTTCCATCCTTAGTGAAGCCCTAAAAAGATCTGACCATTCAACAAAAACCACAACCATGTGTCTTTACCCTTTTTTGGGACAATGACTATGAAACAATAGCATTTAATAAAAAAAATATTTTGGAGTTGATCAAATCAGATGGAGTTAGGTGTTATTAATTGATCCATAAGTATAATGATTACAAAAGTGATTTCCTGCTCATTTTCTTTTGTGGTTAAAATTAGAAATTAGTTTGAAGTGCTTTAATCTCTTGACCTGGTTGATCATAACCAAGGAACGCTTAATTACAGAGGTCAGTATGGAAGGCTTGTTGTTAGAGGGACATACTTACTTGTGCATAATTACACAATAACCTGAAAGATATGTAATTAAAATAGATGACATGCAAATGAATCCAATCAGTGTTTTCTGGTTGTTGAACCACAGTTCTCACACCATAACTTACTGAACTAGCAGACTGTTCATTTAAACTCTGCAGCTCAGCCCACATCAGTGCTCTATAAACAGAGATGTAAAGAGTACAAAGAGTACTACTCAGCAAATAAAAACAGCCAAGTCTAGTGAGACACAATAGGGGGACAATTCAAGTATCTTGCCTCATACTTGAATAAACTTATCTAATTAAACCAACTTTGTTAAATAATCCCAAAATATTTCCAATTATTGAAAGTATTCATGAAACACCTGCCCAGCAGTTGGATACTTTGAGTGCTCATGAAAATCATGCCACATTTTTTGGTAGATTAGTGCCAGTCTGACTGAGCCCAACAAAAGTCCTACAAGATGGCTCACATGGCCATGTTATTGAAGGACTGGGTGACAAATTTCCAAGTCTGGCACTGAACAAGCCATTGACATTTTGTCAAAATGGCTCTAGAAAATCTCACAATTTTATGTTGGAAGACATCTGGATGCTTACGTGAACATGTTTTCTGGTCAGCATTCAACACATAGCCTACTCGACACTTGCAGTTGTATGAGTCTCCATTGTTGATGCAAACATGCTGGCAGTCATTCCCCTGAGCACATGCATCTGAGCCTGGAAAGAGACACTCACAGCTGACTTGGTTTAAGATTTTCAAGGGTAGGGGGGCAGGATTTCAAAATTACATCCAGTCTTAAATTACTGGAGAACAATCTTACGTGAACATGTTTTTCGGTCCATGTTTAATATGTATCCCACTCGACACTTGCAGACATAAGAGCTCCCACTGTTGACGCAAATGTGTTGGCAGTCATGTCCTTGGGCACATGCATCCAAACTTGAACCTGGAAATAAAAGAGCACACCTTAACATGAAGTTCTCATGATAAAAAAACACACAGCTTTTGGCAGCGCTTTCAGTCACAGTACCCCTAAAGAGACTGAAGCAGTCTCTTTAGGGGCTTTACATAGTCCTCATTACAAGCCCTGATCACAGCAATATGTCAAAACTGGATTGCTGTAAATAGAGGTTTTTAAAAGTGCCTTCCGAGGTGGATAATCTTTAAAAACTGTGAAGTCATTGTCATGCAGATGGCAGATATGAACGTGGACTCAATGTTCCTCTATGATTTTTGACGGATGTTATCACTACCAGCGTTTCTGACAGGCTTTTATTGGCATTTTCAACCATCTCTGTGTTGCTGTGTGGGCAGATAACTAATCGAAAAGACACCTCTGGTTAAAACAGGATTATAAAATATCCTAACGTGTAGATGTAGTCTAAAAAATTAAATTCACCACCCATAACACCTGTGATATTTCCATTCAACAACCTGAATCCTCATCTTCCTCTCCATCTGAACCTTGGTGCCTTTGGTGGTTAAGTGGCTTTTAAGAATCTTAACAGTAAGCTTTGTGAAGTTATACGGTGTGGGATCAAACCACGGTCACCAAAACTGCACAATGAAACAATTCAGATTCTTACGTGAGCATGTTTTCTGGTCTGAATTCAATACATATCCTGCATAACACTTGCAGACATAAGAGTTTCCGTTGTTGGCACAAATGTGCTGACAGTCGTGTCCCTGGGAACATGCATCAAGAGCCACACCTGTGAAGAAAAGCTGAATACTCAATAATTTCGTAATTTAAGGCATTGCAAATATTCACATCGCTTTCTCTCAAAAAGTCCCAACTTTGTCACTGAAAAAATATCAGTCTTACTATCCTCTTAAAGTTCATGCGTACTGCAGAATAGGTGAAAGAAAAGACCTCTGATGTTGCCAAAAAAAACAACCCTTCATCTGTAGCTTTTACAATGCCAGTGAACCTTACCATAGACTTCAAACAAGGTGTCTGGAGAAAGAGTTGGTTGACACCAGGGTCAGGAAAAATGTCAAATAAAACAAATTAGTTGCTTACGTGAGCATGTTTTCTGGTCTGCATTCAACTTATATCCATCATAACACTCGCAGACATAAGAGTTCCCATTGTTGACACAAACGTGCTGACATTCGTGTCCCTGGGCACATGAATCCAAACCTAAAGCTGAAAAGGAAATCTTACAACTTAATGTTTTATTCTTATAATTTAAAAAATAAGAAATAAATAGCTTTGGATACAGTTTCTTATGAGACGCATATGTTACACATTACAACATTGGACTTTTCTCTCCTTTTCATTATTGCTGAGTTTTAACAAAGAAAACAATGTTTGAAAGACTGAAACCACGGGGGCTAACACAAACTTTAAATGTCCTGCTTTGTGGAATATTTAAAGTATAAGAAGGCACCAGAGTCAACATAATAAATCAGGTTCTTACGTGAGCATGTTTTCTGGTCTGCATTTAACACATGTCCTTCGTAACATTTGCAGACCTGAGAGTTCCCACTCTTGGCACATATGTGCTGACAGTCATGTCCTTGGGCACATGCCTCCAAATTTAAACCTGAAAAGAAAACTCAGACCTACATTACCTGGTATGATGAAACAAAAACATTCCCAAGAATTTTGATTAAGCCTCTGGATGGAGTTCAGTTAGAAGTAGCACATTTCTCATCTCTATCTCAATCTTGACCTTATTCAGAGGAAATAGTTATCATAGGACTTCTGGTGGGTCTACAAGACATCTCATCCAGGCCCCTCATCCTGCATCTTGAGTTGAAGCTTTTGAGGATAAGGTTTTCCTCAAGAGAAGCTGCATTGCGTAGCTCTGGATCATATCATGGACAACAAAAATACAAATTGAGACATAACAGGCGCTTACGTGAGCATGTTCTCTGGTCTGCATTCAATACATATCCTTCATGACACATGCAGAGCTGAGATATTCCCTTTTTGACACAAATGTGCTGACACCCATGTCCCAGGGAACATGCATCCAGACCTAAACCTGAAAAGGAAAACTTAAACCTCATGACTCAGTCGCACAATACCACAAACTTCATACAGATTTGGTGTAGCCATTACTCCATAAAGATCCTTTCTCACCCACTCTCATTCTCCATTTGGCGCTCAAATTTTCTGGTGAACCTTCCATAAAACTCTTAATAGTTCTTGGAGCAATTGCGTTGGTTTACACCATAGTCACAAAAATGCATAATGAAACAAATTAAGTTGCTTACGTGAGCATGTTTTCTGGTCTGCATTCAACTTATATCCATCATAACACTCGCAGACAAAAGAGTTCCCATTGTTGACACAAACATGCTGACAGTCGTGTCCCTGGGCACATACATCCAAACCTAAAGCTGAAAAGAAAAGCTCACATCTCAGTGATTCCGTGTTAAGACATCAAAACCCCAATACTACTTTTGACAGCGGCTTAGGTTGCAGCTAAAGCCACAGGAGGTACAGTATATACCCAGGTGCTGGAACATCTGCAGTCCCGACACTCATGCTCTTTTTATCTTGACCACAGCAATGGAAAGGTCTATTAAAGCCAGAACAAAACTACATGATTAAGGTTAACATATACCTGCAAGCGTGCCTCAAACCCTAAAAAAGAAAGGCTCCAAAATCAGACATAACCCCCACACCATTTATTAATACATCCCTGTTTCATGGTCTTGGTGAATACTCGATTCTGATTGGCTGGAGGGTCTGAATTAACTTTTTACATAAGGACACTTTTAGTACTTTTCAAGTAGTTACAGTTAAACAATTCATTCAGTCTTTCAAAAAAAAAGACGTGCAGCAGTGCAACGGCTAATATTTAATACAAGTAACCACAGCAACAGTTGCAAACTCTCAGGTTTGCCAGTTACATTTTCTGTGTGTGTGAGCCATAGACTGTATCTACTATGAACAACTTGGTTCCGCCTCCCGTCATTATACGAATTTAAAGCCGAATTGCTCTCGGTATTTCCGGGATTTTCTCCACTTCCTGGAACCCCCACTTGCGCAGTTGCATTGTACGCAATCCACCACTTGCGCAGTGGCATTGTACGCATTTAGTGTGAGAGTCGCTGTAATGACGCTTGGCTTAAACAGCCTATCCCCCAGGTGAGCTACGCAGTCTTAGTATGCCCATAGGCTGTATCAGGTGTCAATCATAGAAAACATGAACCCCCTACTAACTTTTAAAAATTAAAAAGAGGACTTGAGCTCAAACCAGTCTTACAGTAACTACATGTCAACATCGCAACCACTGGGTGAAACATTTATATTTTGTGTAATAAATTTCTAAAGTTTGTCCACAGCTCCATAGGGATTACTGGAGGAGGCAGGATTTATGACCTATACTGCAGCCCGTCACCAGAGGGTGCTGTTCTTGCGGTGGTTTCACCCAGCAAGGAGGCAGACAGCATCCATTCTATATACAGTCTATGGTATGAGCAGACTTGTTTTTTATGTGTCAAGACTTTCTATCCATGGCCTGTCCTATTTACTGGAGTACAGAACTATGTTTTCATTACATAAGACGCACTGTAGTGATCATTCCAGTTATCGGTCAAGCTCCAATAAACTTGTGGGAATATAAATTGATGGTCTGATTATTTTGTTTGGTAAGTGAGAGTGATCCAGCTTCGTGGTCTATTAATTCCTGAGAAGTTGATTGTCTCCTGAGGTATCATCCGTTACTACGCCCCATAAAAGATGCAGCTCCCGGTATACTGCTCAGATTTCTCCACCCCTCTGTCTAAATATTTCATTTTAAGGTTCCACAGCTGAAAATGACTGAGGAGTTCTGGTGAAACTTCATAAACTTGAACAAGAGACATAATATCTTCAGGAGAGGTCCTGGTTCTTACGTGAGCACGTCCTCTGGTCTGTATTCAGCTTATATCCCTCCTTACACTTGCAGACAAACAAGTTGTCGGTCCTGACACAAACATGTTGGCAGCCATGGTCAAGGGGACATGAATATGAACCTGAAGAGAAACACTTTAAGTCTGAAACACACCTGCGGCTGTCCATTCAATCAAAAAACACGGTTCTTACGTGAGCATGTTTTCTTGTCTGGATTCAAAGTATATCCTACACGACATCTGCAAATATATGAGCCTTCACTAACAGCACAGATGTGCTGGCAATCATGTCCTTGAACACAAGGATCAGAACCTGAAAAGGGAAACTTCCTCATAATCATATGACAAAATAATTAGGCACTTAAGAGCGTCAGAGACCTTAGCTGTCGAGTCTCACACCCAGCCACAGTGACAAGGGAGACTACTGGAAAAAACGGCAATTGACACGTTTTACATCAGATTTTTCAAGTATTATGTAAGAATTTAGATTAAATTGACTGTGAAAACCTATCAGAGCCCCTAAAAACTACAATTTAGGATTTTCTGACTTATTACAAAACACTACAGTCCGAAGATGAGTCCAGATAGTGAACAAACCCATTCAGTCACTTTGAGAAACCAAACATTATCCTGGGGTCCTGCAGGCTTCTTTAACTTTATGACACCTTCAGAGAAGTAAAAGAGGGTCTCTTAGCTTTACTCATAAAACAGAACATGTTCTAGGGAAAGCTGCTAGCATGTGCACCTTGCCAAACCAAAACCCCAGAGATTAAGGTTGATTCTGACCTCCCTTTTTTCAGCATCACAACATGCATATTAAACGTTAAGCTTGAAACTCGAGTTCTTACGTGAGCATGTTTTCTGGTCTTCATTCAACACGTATCCCTCATGACACATGCAGAGCTGAGAGCTTCCATTTTTGACACAAACTTGCTGGCAGTCGTTTTCACGATCACAAGCATCCAAACCTGGAATAAGACACTGCCACAGCTAACATTAACTAAACCTGGACTATGAGCAAACTTTCATCTATTGTGGAGTTTTCAAGAGAAGTCAAATATGTCTCAATCCCCAACTCCCCATTTATTTGCAGGCTATGTGAGAGCTGACTGAGTGAACCTTGCCTCTTGTGAGCATGATCCCCAGTATCTAATTTTCTGCTCGATTAGAATAAGCTCATTATAACTTAAGTACACCTCACTGCCTCATTAGCTCTTCCTACAGCAATTTCTACCCATATTTGTAACGCCACACCCACAACAAACTGCAGAACATTAACCGCTATGAAATTACAAGCTCTCTTATGCTGGGGAACTTGGTATTTGAACAAGACCATGCATTTCAGAATGTAGTTAAAATTGAAGTTCTTACGTGAGCATGTTTTCTGGTCTGCATTTAACACATATCCCTCACGACACCTGCAAAGGTATGAGTCACCATTGTCGATGCAAGTATGTTGGCAATCATTTCCCCGGGCACATACATCTGAAACTGAATAAAGACACTTCTGCAGGTACCATTCAGATATAATTTTGCTAGTTGAGCTAAAAAATGTACATTTTTTCTAAATTAGGGCTCAGTAAAGATGAGGGGACTGGGTCGTATAAATTTGCAGGAATACTCAAGCGATTCACATCCAATAAAAACCTCAAGAGAGCTCTGGAGGCAACACCCTGACACAGCAAATATAGACAAAAAGGTTCTTACGTGAGCACGTTTTTAGGTCTGCATTTAACTCATATCCCTCATGACACTTGCAAAGGTATGAATCTCCACTGTTGACACAAATATGCTGGCAGTCATGTCCCTGGTCACATGTATCAAATCCTGAAAAAAAGACTTCAACAGCTTACACTCACCATCAGATTAGATCAGCATTGTTGGAACAAAAATATTTTGGCCTTGCTCAACGCTTTAAGTCTTTTTCCTTTGTCAGCCAAGCAAGTTTTTGAATAACAAGTAAGAAACATTCAAATCATAGAGTCGATGTTCTTACTTGAACACGATTTTTGGTCTGCATTTAACTTATATCCCACTTCACACTTGCAGATGTAGGAGTCATCACTGTTCACACAAATCTGCTGGCAATTATGTCCACTGGCACACGGACCAGAACCTGTAAACAGACATGACCGTATGTGATATCAACCATGGCAAGTCTGTCAGCTGGAGCCCCAGTGTAGCCATTCTTCGTCTCATACTTCATTGTAAACGCATTAGCTACAATGCACAAACTGCAGTAATGTAGTGCGTTACAGATAGCTACCTATTTAATATCTGCATACTTAACATCTAACAACTAGATTAAAGCATTTCTCTATGTGATTTAGTGTTCAGTGCAAACATGTAACACCTACCAATAAGTTCATATCAATTCAAAGAGAAAAAATACAATTTAACTGTAAAAAGTCAGCCAATAATTGCATTACATTTTAGCAAATCTATTGTGCTTTTCCCATGTCCACATGGTCTGCAGAAAAACAAAACCCACTCAGTCATAGCTGTTTGATACTACGAGATCTACAAGCACCAACACAGTTGTTTCCAATGACTGATTCCTTGTCCACTGACAACAGTCTTCATTCATAAAGAAATGTACTTTAACAGACTCCTAGAAGAGACACTTGTAGGGGGATGTAGCACGGTGTCCAAACAGCTCAAAAATCCAGAGAGCAACAGCGACATAATCAGTGAGACTGCATTGTTTGCTATCACGTCAGACCCAATGGAAGCAGCAAAGACGCCTAGAGACTACCTACCAATTTCAGATGTTAGATTTGTTGTCCCAGATTGAAAAGCATCCAACAAAAACAGGACTCCATGAGGTTTTACTTAAATATGCCACCGTTGGTTGTAAATGCATGTTTTTGTCACATGAAGGAGAAGCGGCACTGCAAGCCAGAATTCTGGGATTCCTCTCGGCACCGCTCTAACTAATTGTACAAAAATGATGCATTTATAGCAAACAGTGGTGTACTAGAAAGTAAACAAACCTCATCAAGTATGAAGGATTCCTCAATTCAAGCGAGTGAAGCTGATGCTGTGCAATGCATTGAAGCCCCCTCTACTGGTAAACTACCAATGTTTATCTCATCTCTTGGTCTCACTTGGTCTTCTGGACCATCTAATGACTGCCTTTTAATACAAGTTAATACTGAGCTTGATAGATCAGCTTTCAGTCTTTTACTTGGAATTCTTTGCAAAGGACTTAAAAAAACGAAGACCTTGGCACCCCTTAGTATTTTCAAATCTTTGATCAAGACTAGAGCCAGCCCTCAATGGTTTTTGAGTGCAAAGGCAACAACCTGTAGCTAACCACCACAGGTAATCCAAAAAATATATCTCAACAGTTTTACGCTACCGGTTCATCTCTGAAGACACTCCGGATGAAATAAACATTTCCACATTTCAGTATGAATCCAACCTAAAGTCAGTTTTATAGTTCTTTGCACTTCCTCGAGTTTCAGTTTCCCAAAAGCTGAGACTCACATGTAAATGCATTTCTACAGGTCTAGATGAATTAGAAAATGAAGTCTACCTGAAAAATCCAGGTTGTTTTGCAAGCATGTTTTCTGGTCTGCACTCAACACATATCCTGCTCCACATTTGCAGATATATGAATCACCAGTGCTGACACAAATGTGGTGGCAATCATGTCCCAGAGAGCATGAATCCAAACCTGAGGACAAAACTGCGACAAGCAACATGAAGTCCTTCTCGTTAAACTTAATGACTAACCATGACTTGCTGAGGAAGTAAATGTGAAAAACGAAGAATTTTTCAGCCATGCAAAACACAAAGTTACACAAAGAATGTCAACACATCTACAAAAACATCCGGTTCTTACTTGAGCACGTTTTCTGATCTGCATTTAACACATATCCTTGCTGACATTTGCAGATATATGAGCCATCCTCACCACCAGTTCTTACACAGATGTGTTGGCAGTCATGGTCTTGGCCACATGTGTCTGTACCTGTAAAGAAACACTTTGACATCCAACCAACAAAGCCTGACTACATAACATACAAAACCCAGTTAAAGCAAGCTTTGACTCTGTGATTGGTCTATTTGAGCCAACCTGATACTTTCATGCAAACCAAATCAAGTTTGTTCTGAGCCTCCACAGGTAAGAGCAGATCATTTGTGAAATTGGTATTTGATGGATAATTTTATTGCCAATTAAGAACAAAGCTATGTGACAGTTCTAGTATTACCTTTGAGAAGTTTTATTACACAGTGTTGTGTAAAAACTAGGGATGAGCCTGAACTCTACCATAAAGGAATAAACGTACAGTTGATGACTTGTGTCTTATATTCAAATAGGCTCATTAGCATTCAAAAATGAATTAACTGAAATCAAGTATATGTTTCAGACCTCATCTCTCTACTTGTAGGTAGATGGATGCAGATTTGTGGTGTAGTTGTCTACCAGGTGTCTCAGAGAGAAAATCAATAGATTGGCAGTATTAGCTTTGTGACTGGCAGGTGGATTTCTTTGAAACTCTGCAAATAATTCTTAAAAATTGAGCTTGAACCAATAGTGTTAACTGTATGCATTAGTTTGCCATTATTACTCTGAGAAACTCAGTCTTGCATTAAGGAGACACACATAGGAGCTGCTTCCATAACCAGGTACTGGCAGGTTGTGGCAGCTTAATAAATGTATCTCAGTCAATTTTGATATGTTTAAGATGTAAAGCTTTTATATATTTTATTACATTTCAACTCAGAGTCCACTAACACTCTGGTATTATTTTATGGTTATTTTAATTGACATTAAAAAGTTAGCTTCAAAGTAATAACAGAATTAGCACAACTTCTTTAGTGTTCATTTGCAAGATAAATTACTCTGAGTAAAGTGTGATTTTAAGCCAAACCCCGTCTGCTTTTCTATCTGAACACAGATTAGGACATCCCCACACCCCCCAATATAAACTAGTTTTGCTGTTGGAGCTTAACACACACCAAGAGCTCCTCTGGCCTTCCAGCTCTCCTGTTTGCAGTGGCATTGTCCACTATCCATAACATCTCTGTGTTGTTGGTGGGTGGACAGAGGGGAACAACACCTCTGTAACAAAGTGCAGAGGTTGTCCTATCATTATGCCTTCAAGAGTAACACATTGAAGACAAAGTGTAAATATCGTGCTTAGAAATGGCATTATCTTTTCAGTTCCATTAAATCACTATGTGCAGCTAATGTGCAGCTAATATCAACTCTCTGCAGATAGCTAATCAGAATCCTAGCCTTGGATACCCACTAAGAAGGCTTTTTTGGATCCTCTAAGCAGCCGTTTTTACTCTGAGAATTCATGTCCATTGGTTCAAGCTGTCATCATGTGCTCCTGGTTTAATTTGTGCAAAATAGTGCCCACCAATCTATTTAGGACAACCCAAAACAGTAGCGACAAGAGCTGGTATGCACAGTGTACACAACACAAAATGCCTAACTAACCGATGCTCAATCGGTGCATCAGGAATTCTACACACCAACTTCAGCCTTTAATTAGGCTTTCCGCATCCAACCTCCAATTAGTATTTTGGCAAAACTCAATCAAATTGAATGCAAAGCGCTCTGCAACAGCACGTTTCTGAAAGTGAATCATGCAAAAACACAGTTGCAGACATCAGAGAAAACAAAACATTTTGGCAAAGAGATCGACTCTTACGTGAGCATGTTTTCTTGTCTGGGTTCAGGACGTATCCTGGACGACACTTGCAGTCATATGAGTTTTCATTGTTGACACAAATGTGCTGGCAGTTGTGTCCTTGAGCACATGCATCCAGACCTGCAAAGAAACACTCGTCTGTCTGATCGGCTTAAGGCAAATCAAAAAAGTGGTGTTATAACTTTATTTTAGTAAGTTGTTAGTGATAATTAATTGTGCAATTTAAGTAGCAGAGCCAGAGGCAGATTAGACAGTATGATTTCTGTTCAAGTACAGTGATCATTGAATTTGTTGTTTCAGATCCTGTTATCAGTATAGGAAAGACACGTAAACAAACAGGATCTACATATTCTGAACAGCTGTTTATTTTTACTGTTAATCAGATTATTTCATGCAGTTCAGATCATGCAAACACCAAAACTCCATTGCATGTCTGTTATAGCTGTCAGTGTTGTAAATGGCCTCATTCAAACACAGAGGTTGGATTTTATTAAACCTAAACCAGACTGATTTTTTCTTTACTTCAGGTATACTTCAGTTATCTAAACCAATGTAACTGTCCGAAAGCTAGAGGAAGTCAAATGTTTCTGTGTTAACTTTCAAAAAGTTTTTTTTGCATCACATCCCGGCTGCTATATGCTCCCATAGATGCTTTAAAACAAACTAAGTCTCAGAATTCTTAAATATCAAGCTTTTCATTTATCATCTAACCTCTAATCCAAAAAAGTTCGAACTTTTATAAAATGTTGACAAATACAGATCTGCTGGCATGCAAATCATGTAAAGACGATATTTAATTGAGAATGTTGCAAAGACGCCAAAATAAATGTTGAAACAGGAAGGTTTGGCTGTTTTATGACAAGTAACTGCGCATTTTAAATTTGATGCCAGCACAAGGGTAATTGGTATCAAGTTAGCATAACCGCTTAATAAAGGGACACTCCAAAGAGACAGCTAGTGAACAGGGACTTCTCTGGGCCCAAGTCTATTTAACATTGAATAAAGTAAATAAGCAAACTGTGGATCGTGGATGCTCCCTCTTCTATGGTAAAGAGCAGAGGAAGCACGCCGTTTGGTGCAAACAAAACAAAAAATTCGACAGAAGAGATCCTTGGCTCCTGAACCAGGCAAGAACGGGATGACCTATCCCTTTCAAAACTACAGAAACTGGTCTGCAGGGTTTCCAAACATTTACAGGGTGTTGTTAAAAGGAGAGATGATGCAACACAATGGTAAACAAGCCTCTGTACCAGCTTTTTTTGTTGAGCGTTGCTGGCATCAAATTTAAAATGATCGACATTTTTTTTAATGCAGGGATAAACATTTTTCAGATTCAGCCTTTTTTTATATATATTATCTCTGCACTATTTAAATTAAATACAGGGTTTAGATGATTTGAACACCATGAAAATCAGGAAGATCCAATTTTAATGAAGTAGGGGTTGACCTACAGTGGTGGCATCTTTATACCTCAGTCATTGTTTGCAAAGTTTTGCATATTTTGACTAAGTTTCCTATCACATTATCTCTCAGATTCCAGTCAAATACATTTTATCCAAGCCATAGAGCAGGGTGAGCTTTTGCAATGCAGAACAATTAGCAATTAATATCTGAGAGCACAAATTGTGGGAAATGAGCCAGGGATGTAGCATGAGGCATGAGCTGCAGCGCAGAATGCAGGGAGCAGCATGCTCACTGTGAAGAGTAAAGGCAGCACCATATCAGGTCTCAGTCATTTTAAAGTACTACAGCTGGTCCAGTTTGCTTTGAATCTGCAGATCAACCACTGATCAGCAATCTAGCTTCTTCTTTTAGTCTGTTAACGCATGGCCTATAGAACATGCGCATTGATTATGCCCTTATTGTCACCATCTGCATGGCAACAGCTCATAAACACCTGAAGTTGGAAATCTAAAACACAACATGAGGCAGTGAATCGTTTGTCGTCTCATTCTTGTGTGTAAAACCAAAGAAGAGGACCAGTGAGTTTAAAATGGAGACTCCCTCGATGGTGCAGCCCATACAATCACAGCTACGCTTTAAAGGACAAATCTGACATACCGTTGTTGCCTTTGTCCTGATTTTTATTATTTTTCCCTCTACGGTCTTGGTCTTTTCTGCGGTCTAGACCTAGTCCAAAATCACGATTTCCACCATCTACTGGAATATCCGCACTCCCATTATCATCATCCTTACCACACAAGGTTTCCCTAAACTTGGAAGTAAGCTTCTCAATGACCCCATAGGTCTCTACATAGAAGACATGGTCATCGTGTGGTTGGCTGGCCATAAGACGGAGGGACGCCATGTCAGCTCTGTCTACTCCCACCGCGTAGATCTCAATCCCTGCTCCTCGAGCCGCTGCCGATACTTCCTCCACCTTGTCCTGGGGCCTCCCATCTGTCACTATGATGGCGACTTTAGCGATGTTCGTGCTTTTGGCCCGGGCTCCTGCCTCTGCAGTGAAAGCTTTCTCCATGGCGGTCTTGATGGCCATGCCCGTCATGGTGCCTGAAGCGAGGGGCTCGACCCGGGCCAGCGCCTGCTTCAGAGCAGACTTGTGAAAATAAGTCTTGAGCAGAAACTCGATCTTGACTGTGCTGGCATAGTTGACCAGACCGACTCGTGTGGCATCCGTGCCGATCTCCAGGCTTTCTACCATTTCCTGCAGGAACTCTTTGGCTTTTTCAAACTCAGCAGGGCGAACGCTGCGGGAGCTGTCTATGATGAACACCAAGTCTATGGGGCGGTTCCTGCAGTTGGACCTTGTGGCTGACAAAAAACATCATATCAAATTATATAATATTATATCATATTAAAGCATATCATCTGTACTGGTTCATATCATATCATATCCTCCTGTTTACATGGAGGATATATTACATATTATGTCAATTTGTCACATTGTTTCATATCTGATCATATTATATTGTATTGTTTTATATTCTCCGGTCTAGTACCTTATACTTTGTTAATGTTTTAAGGCATTACATATTGTATTGAATTAATTTAGATTGTATTATGTCATATTCCTGGAGTATTGTGTGGTATGATATCATGTTGTATCCTATTGTATTGTATCGTATTATATTGAGTCGTATTGTATCCTATTGTGCCGTATTGTATCATGTTGTATGGTATCATATTGTGACTACTATTTTATATTGTGTTGTATTGCATTGTGTTTTATCATATTGTATTGTGTCTAGGGATGGACCGAATGGGAAAATCTTGGCCGAAACCGAATACCGAATATCCGAATATGATTAATAAATATGTATATAAATTATGAATTTTTATCACCAAGCAACTTTTGTACAATTGCTGTCATTGCCGTACATTTGTTTTAAAGCTACCTGATTAAGGCAAAACCTGGCAAACTTAAATATTAATCACTTTATGTTTGAACCATGAAACATTTATTCAGCTGACATGACATAACAATGCTATAACAATAACATTCAATAAAATAAAATTAAGTAAATAACATCTTTGCAATAACAATACAAAAAAAGTGCAATTTTCCCTGTAGGATAGCCTAAAGTAAATAAAATAAATAAAATAAAATGCACATATGCAAAATAAATAAAATAAATGCAGGTACGTGCATGTATATACATGATTATGCAACAGTAAACACAAATCCAGGCCTGAGGCCTTCAACAATAAATGCACTTACATGCATGCACATACGATTGTGCAAACTTTTGTGCAGTGAGTTTCTTAAACTCGTCATGTTTGTCCTTATGTTTAGCGCTCAAGTGGTTGATTAGCCCCGATGTACTGAAAGTTTTTGCCGTCACACCACCTCAGCAGAGCAGAGTTTACAAATTGCCATCAGACCATCTTTCTCTGATATGTCGAAATATTTCCAAACCGCAGACATGCCGGTTGAACGGCTTCGAGCCAAGACAGCTGCACGTATCGTGTGTGTCGTATCAGCATGCCGGTTTTGTGCCGTAGAATGCACCCCCGACGGGAGCGCGGTTGAAAGTACTTAACAAGGCGAAATTAATCCAAGTTTTCCTTACCATTGGAAGAATTCAAAAGCGTGTGCCTTTAATAATTTCACTCAGGCTATTCAGATAAGTTGAAAAAATAGCCCTCTGATTCAGAATATTTGCTGTCCCGAAAATATAATGTTAGTCAGCTTGACTGTTTACTGTAGTTTATATACCCAAGATCACCTCCGTATGTGCATTTTTGAGACAGATAAAATCAGAACGAAAGTTGTAACGATCAAATAGTCGTGTTTTTTAAAATATGAGATCATTTTCTTCCACTTTAAGAAGCTAACGAGTGGATGGGAGGCAGGGGGTGCATTCTACGGCGGGGGTGCTTTCTAAGGCACAACACCGGCTTGCCTCTTGTCGCGTTCCAATTACGTCATCAACATGCTACTAAAACAGGGAAAACAGCGCCGTCTGCGTTTTCCGTTTTTGAGAGTTCATACTAGACTCATGTTTATCCACACTATTCGGTGATTTTTTTTTCGGCCATAACATCTATTCGGCCGAAAACCGAAAATTCATTTTTGATGCTTTTCGGCCGAATATTTTCGGCGCCGAATATTCGGACCCATCCCTAATTGTGTCGTTTAGTGTATTGTATTATTGTACTGTGTTGTATCATACTATATCATGTTGTATCATGTTGTATTATGACGTATTGTATCTTATTATGGCGTATTGTGTTATATTGTATCATATTGTGTCGTATTGTGTCATATAATATCATGTTGTATGCTTTTGTGTTGTGTAAAATCGTATTGGGTCAAATTGTTTTGCATAGTGTATTGTATCATATTTTATTTTATCTGTTATCTAATGTTTTCAAAACAATCCTGTGGAAAAGTTCAAGATTGTGTCACTTTTGTCCACTGTGGGTACAAAGTTGGACATCTTACTTATCTCTTTGTTGACTCTTTCCTTATTTTGTTTTAAAGGTTTTGTCAACTAAAGTTCTCATCCTGTTTTCTCTTAATTCACAAGTTTTACTTATTGAGGTAATTGGCTGCACTGCAGAGATAACAGGCAGTCAGGCAGAGTGCAGATATAGTCAATCTGTTACTGCTATGTTAAACAAACTGAGAAAAAAACTGTTTTTAAAGATTGGAAGCCAGTCCAAAACTTAAAATGATCATTTGTGGAGCTAAAGTTACATGGTTAAAATAAAGTACCTGCACTGGTCCTGATGGGTGAAACTGAACCCCTTGAGTCTCGAGCAGACTCCCATGGTGTACTTGGAGTAGCTCTCTGTTGCAGCTGTGAGGGCAGCTGGGTTCTCCTTGGTGGCTGCTGGTGGGAGGGTTGATGAGACCTAGAATTAGTGCCACCAGCTTCACCAAGAGGGAGGGAAAAGCAGAGGGGAAGGCATCAGAGACTGGTAGCTGTAGCTTTATCCTACTTTTTCAATGGGAATAAAGCAAGATACTCAATGCAATCTTATCAAATTACAGTATTATACTATCATTTCCTTTTCTCCTTAAGGAAATAGAAAACTAAAGTTTCATATAAAATATAAGCTGAATTATGGTGCATGCAGCTTGGTCAAATGAGTAGTTGATTTAAAAACTTCATCCCAAATTTTACTTCAGTTTTATATTTTAGAATTGTTTCACTGATATTTAGGTTCTGACTGTAGGATGTCCAGGTAATTTCTAATGACGCACCTTTCTTTTAGTATCACCTTACTAATGCACAAAATACTAAATTCCGATTGCTCAAAGCCCTAATACAAAGGTAGTCAGTTCTGAATAACAACAGCGATGCCAGGAATAACTAGATCACATCATGTCAAATCAATGTATAAGAGGGAGTCCTGCACATATAGAAAGTTTATTGTGTTGTGTCTCTTGTTGATAATCTGGCTCAAATGCTAACTTTCCAGTAAAGCCAACACCTTATAAGGTGTTGCTGTTATTTTCTGCATTTGTTTGGAATGCCAGTGGAAAATTTCTCCTGTTTTCTCTGAACTAAGAATAAAAACATTGAACCTAATGTTAATATGACAGATAGGAAAATGCTGGCAAGAAGGTGGAGAAACCTTCAAATACAAGAGGCTATTTTTAGCTGAATAAATGAATATGTATTTAATTAATGAAATCCCCTAAAATTTAAGACTTAATGTCGACTCCTTTGTATGTTAGTATGTAGCCAAGTAAAAGGCAGAATATTGTACAGTGTCTTACTCCATTGCTGTTCTATTTCATAACGCCACCTGCTCGCAACACACTGTCCCTGACCTGAGATTAAAATGGTCCTAACTCTGTTGTGATCTTACAGTTTATCAATGAAACTCTTCCTCTTCTTATATTATGATTTTATCTGATTTTAGAAGCTGCTACCTTAGAGGTACTCAGTGTTCTTTCACACCCAGTTTTACTTCTTTACACTTTGTTCCTAACATGTTTCACTTCATTCTAGGGATTCTTCCATCATCTTGTTATTTTATGCATCTGTAAAAATCAAAGCTACTTTTCTGATTTGAACAGCATGAACTAAATGTAACATGCCATAAATGCTCCTGTTGGTGTAAGCTGGTGTTTTTCCATTATTAAACAGGAAAGAAATGTCTATCATTCAGAAGTCTTTATCTGTCAAAAGATTTGTGCTTATACTGCCTTTCCTTCCCTTCCTCTTGAGTCTATAAACGATGCCTTGATGTAATACATTATGATAGATTTTGGTAACACTTCCCATGCTATTGTTTAGATGCAATTAGTTTTACATGTTATGATTAAAGTAATTTACTCATGGAGGATGTATCACAAATTTTTGTTACACATATTCAAAAGATTATGTCACTGTGACTTAGTGGGATAAATACAAAGTTGATACAGCAAATAAAACCTTAAAATGTTAATTAGCTGTTATCATGACCCTTCTATGTCTCTCTGCTCTTAAACATATTGTCCATTTAGTCCTCTGACCAGGATTCGAACTCTTTTGGTCATTGCTCCATATCTTATCAACAACTGGAGAAAACAAGTCTGAATTAAACAGTAGGGAAAATATTTTCCTGGCATCTAATCACAGATAAACAAGGACATGTCTTAACTTGACATGTTTAAAAGTTGAATTCACTTAAATTGATGTTATTCTATGATACATTATCGTTGAAAGATCAGGACAGTTGTTGAGTTGAGTGAACATGTTAGTGAATCTCCAACACACCTGTTTTGCAGCTGCATCATTTCAAGTATAACATGTTATTAATTTGTTGTAAATTTTTAAAAGACTGTGTGTTACGTTAAAAAGTAATACTTTTGTCCTTCATGAGACCTAAAACTTCCACATCATTTTTATCTGTTCATTAGCCTATGTCAGGGAAATTTCACATCCATAAAATTACAGTTATTTGGCAGCACCTCGATTTAAACTTTTTCAGAAGGTGCAAAAGTCTATTAAATCAATTCAGCACTAAAAGAACTCCAAAAGGCTTGAAGATGCTTGGCTTTGGTAAACATTTCTAAAACACACTTAGCGTATCTTTTTGTTTTACCATCTGAAGTTAGGACAGCAATTGACAGAGATCGTTTATCCTGGTTTGAGCAGACTATATTGTTCTAATTAACTATGAACACTTCTAATCAGACGAAATGCAACAAATACTTGAACAGTCTATCCGTTTTTCTAAAAAATAAGTCCATAATTGAGCTTCATATTTCTACCACCCGGCAAGAAAGTGGCGCGCAAAACACCAACACTCGCGCACACGCAGCATGCAGAGTACGTGGGTTTTGTAGACAGACGTCTAATGAACAGAGTTGGCTCATCTAGTACAACATATGTGGACATTCATCCACTCACCTCCAGCATCAGCTCTGCCTCTTTCCCGCGTCTGGTAGCCGTATTCACCTGCTCGCGCGCCCTGCTGCTGGTAGCCGTGTTCACCTGCTCGCGCGCCCTGCTGCTGGTAGCCGTGTTCACCGTGTTCACCTGCTCGCGCGCCCTGCTGCTGGTAGCCGTATTCACCTGCTCGCGCGCCCTGCTGCTGGAAGCCTTGCGCACCGCGATCACCCACCTGCAGCTCTCGGAAAGTTTCCGCACTAGGTTCTTCGTCTGAGGTTTGCTCGATAGATTTGATTTCTCGAAAACGCTGCTGGACCCTCGGAGGGACTTGTGGAGACACACGTGGGACTGAGGGACGAATGGAGTGAATCTGCCGGCTCTGAGACCCGACCTGAGAGTTCGCTCCCAGAGGTCCCGATACCAGGATGAAGAAAAATCCGAGCAGTCCCCAGAGTGATGGAGTCATGTTGCCGTTCAGGCCTTTGGTCCACTTCCACAGCTGAATGAGACGCTTTTATATGATCCCGTCCACGTCTGGCAAGGCGTGGAGAGCACGAGACCCAATCCAGGGGCATGTGGAAGAGGAGAGCTGTGCAGGGTGTGCCAAAAACATGGAAGCACCTTTTTAAAATCAAAGACTCCAAATTAAGAAGTAGCCATAATAAAACATTATTTCAACAGAAGGAGAACGAATCAAATCAGAGTAAAACAAGACACACGTGACAAAGATGTTAATAATGAATTATTATTATTATTATCATTGTTATCATTGTTATTGTTATTATTAGTAGTAGTATTAGTATTGTTGATTTTGTTGTTTAGGACGACCCGCCCAGATGGTTCTTTTACAGTTTGTCCTCTTGGAATAAAATAGCAAATTAGAAAGACAATAAAAATACTTAATGTAAAAATGGATTTAAGTGATTATCCAATTGATGAGATAATTAAAGCCCCATCTGACGACTCAAAAGCTGGTTTTAAAACAGACTGAAATTAATAATACCTTTTTCATGACTTTGTTACCATCAGCAAACAACTCAGTGCTGACTGTCAACTCTAATGGATTAGAGTTACTGCACTTATATGGACTTCAGTGTCCTGGTTAGGAGTATAATCCCAAATTTTGACTGTATTTGTTATTTAGAGCAGATACCTTTGAGGGGAAACTTATCAGTGTACTTAATAATAGGATGGATGTTTATAAATCCAGAGGTGTAAATTTTAATAAGTATGTTTATGTATAGACAGCATGTATAATATGTAGATATACAGTATATACAGATCTACATAATTTATACAATTAGGTTTTCTTTTTCCATTCACTATTGGCGCTGATTTGAAAGAAAGGGGCAGGACTAGATAAGGTCTTTGCGTCCTTCTGTTCCATCTCAAACTGTTTGTTTTCAACATAGGCTACATATGTTAGTGTAAATTTATCTTTGCTTTGACTATTAAAGTTGCTTGGTGTACATAATTTTTGCCAGATGTTTCTTTTTAGTTTGAGATGAATAAAGGAGAAAGAAAGAAAGAAAGAAAGAAAAATCTTGGTATTCACTCCCCTGAATAGCCTACATAATAAATACATGTATCCTGTTTTGGATCACTGCATCTTGTAAGCTCACTGTGATGTCTCTTCACCACAGGCGGGTGTAGGGTGGTATTTTTTCCCATCAAAACTTGCAGTTATAATTTTTAAAGACAAGATAATATTTTTTGTTGTTGTTGTTGCTGTAGTGGCCAAGAGGTCTGTTTTGTTAATAGGACACTTGCCTGTGAAGGTAGTCATCAAGTCAAGGGGCTTTATTTTCGTGCCTGGTCGGCGGCGTGGCGCAGGCATGGTGTAAGTCAGGTCCGCCGCACTGATAAGGGGTGCCCAAGCACATTTTGGTATTTTGGTGAGCAGCGCAGTCTGGCCTAAGTATCCCCCCTCCCTAACTCAGCTCCTCCCAGCAGCGTAAGTCGTAGAGAGGGAGGAGAGAAGGCGTGGAGTGGTTTTAACACAGCCGAGACCTGTTTACACCAATCACATCAGCTCCTCTCCTCACCTTTAAATCTGCCACCGGCGAGGCTTATTACAATTTTCGTGTAGTGGTCGGAAAAGATTAAGAGGTGTCTGAAGACAGTAATGCCACATGATGGCGACAGAAGGCAACCCCTCAATAAGTGTTGTGGTAAGCGCTGCGGAGGGCGTCCTCCACAAAGAGGGATTTGGTGTGTGTAATGTTGGACCCACTGGTAAGACAAACACCCTTTTCCACAAATAAAGACACTCACATTAAGTTGCATATATTTAAACCCCACATAACAAAGGTGGGTTGTGTGCACAGATCCCAACATAAATTCTAAGAATGGCATTAAAACCGGAACCATCTGTGCGTAAAGGACGCATTGCGCTCCGTGGCCTGGCTCTTTCTACTATTGATGTTAGCATATAAAATGAATTTGGCTCAACTGAATATTATAGTATTCGTATGTAGGCTTAAAGTAAATAACTCATCTGATTACTGAAACAAATTATCTGTTCAACCGCAGCAGCAGCAGCAGGATGGGTATAGGACACAGAGACATGTCGAGCTGCATGAGAAATAAGAGGAAGAGGAAGAAAGAAATTGGGGGGAGATAAATTAAATATCTAGTTAACTTCATCATGTGTGTCTATTTACTAGATATTTAATTGAATTTAATGCGGTTTCAGCTGTGTTGATTCGGTCAGGTTGAGTGTCTAAACACATGCCAAACGCGCTCATCAGATCAGATATAGATCAGAATATATCTATATAGATCTAAATGTATGTGCTGACTCAGATTATTAGTTGTTGATGATTATTTATTGCACTGAAATGTGCCTGACACCGTGGAAACCTGCCGGTGAGGCATCGGTGACTTATGCGCACTACGCTGGTCTACCAAAATACTACTAGACCAGCTCCGCTCCGCTCCGCCTGCGCTGAAAGCTGACCAGGTTGAGATTGGTGAGCTTTCAGTGCACTTTCTACGCCGCTGTTGAGCACAAAATTGTCACTGTGCCAGCTGATTCTGTCAACACCTCCCCCTGCTGCGCCACCACGCCCAGTTTGGCGGACATCAGTGCGCCTCAGTCTACAAAAATACCAAACTGGCTGTGCATCGGGCTCTGCCAGATGAAAATACCACTAAGCGGGGTCCCCCACACAGTCGGCGGGCCTGAAAATAGAGCCCAAAGTGTCTGCTGAACAGAAAACACATCCAGCACATTTGGTACATTCTACTCATGGATCCAAAATTGGTAGAAAAAAAAGCAACTACATAACAAATAGAAATGTGTAAAGAAGTGCATACCAGCATCTCAGTGCAAATTCAGCTTCACATGACCCTAGACTCTCTTTTCAGTCCATCCTGAGCAATCTGTTTATTTATGAGCTTCACTGGCAGTGGGATAAACGAGTGTTTGTATCTTTTATGTTTACAAAGAGGAACTCTGTACTTCCTGAGTGAAGTAAAACATATTCAGAGAGCAGTACATGAGACGTACAATACAGGTACCAATGATTTTGTCTGCTGTTTTTTGTCAGATTTAATATTTGAGATTTTAATTTAACAGTTAAGTTGCCGAAGCAGCTGGTAATGCTGAACCATAACACAGTCTCAATAGTTGCTCTGTAGAAAATCAACAAAATATTCTTATATACACCAAACACTCTGAGTCAATAAAGAAAATGCATGCGCCGGTGGATTCATGCAAAAATGCTTGCCACTTGCATGCGCCAGCTGAAGTTGTTATCAATGTGAACCCCTAGAATGTATGAAGTATGAATCCACCTGCTCAATGTTCATTCCATGTATGACTACCAAACTACAGTCCCCAGTGGACCTGGAATCCACTAGCATCTTTTATTTCGATTAATCTGCAGTTTCGGAGCATCACACCAGTTCACAAGCCTGTCCACTCCAGATCTGTGGCATCTAAATTGGTATTAGTTTTTAGCAGACTATTACAGTGTCATATGAAGTTTTAACAACATACTGGTCATGCAGCTGTAAGAAACTGGGATGTGGTGGATACATGCCAGAGTATCTTTTAGTGTTCTCCAGAACCAGGATCAGGGCTTATTAGGATATAATAATTGGGTGTACAAACACAAAGTCAGGTGAACTTTAAAAAACCCAACAAAAACACTGGATACTTAAGTCCCCATTAGCGTACTCAGTGATTTTTAATGACTTTTTCCACATTCATGCTGTGTGATAATTTTGATTCTTTTAAGAAAGCAGGGCCTATGTGCTGCACGAAATCAGCACAAAGATCAGGGGTATTACTTTGTCAACAGGGGGAAACCAAAACCAACACGAACAAGATGTTCCTCACAGAAGCTTGTGCTTTTTGACAGGAACTTTCTCGCAGCAACCAGTGAATTTTTGAGGAACTTGAGGGACTTTGGAAGGAAATTATGAGAAACAGGTCAATAATTTACATGTTATGTAGCCTACTTGTAGACACACAGAGGAGGGAAGAGAGATCCTGGATTATATGCTATAAATCGCATGTTATCTGCTCACAAGCTATGTAAACATGAATTTTAACTCCATACATCTGCATTCTTTTCTTCTCAGGGATGCTTTTGGGTGTTTTTAACAGTTTTAGGAATTTGTCTTATCTGGAAACAATCTTTACATCATAAGATGGTTTACAGTTAACACACAGACACCAGCTGAGCAGGGAGGCTAAACAGGTAGAAACACCAAAGGGTGATATTTTGCACAAGAGCAACCTCATGTTGGCAGCCATTTTTGTGCAAAACTTAATTTCCAAATACCATCCATGTCATTGGCCTGATTTGCATTAATAACCTGGATTGAAGGCCCCGGTAGAAACATAGACAACAATGGACCCCAGGAATCACTACGTTCCTGAAAGAGATCCTTGGAACTAGAAGTTTCAGGTGTTTTTGGACAGAAATTACATCATTTTAGACACAGCATTGGGAAAAGCAATGTAAAATAAGCTGTACACCATAACTAAATGAAGAAATCATGAGCTTTCTCCACATGTAGCATGCTGCCCTCTCATGGACTACCCTGCAAACTCAGCTACACTGTATGAATCCTACAAAATCAGATAGATTTTTAAGTTTAAATAGAAAAAGTATGAATGATCTAATGGCCAAAACCTAAAAAAGGACTGGTTAGTTCTTAAGTTAATCTTAGTAACATTCTTCCAATTAATTTAAATCACCAAACTCTTTCCATGCCAAGTTCTCCTGTTTGTGTTTGTATTTGCAAGTGTTTTGCATCAAATAACAGGTTTTGATGATGCAAATCAGCTCACCTGAGTTCCCTTAAGAGGAAGCTATATGACAGTAGTTGTCAAAGAGCCAATTCATTCAGCACAGAGAGGAACAAGTGCATGCATACATGCATTTACTCCAACATGTCTTTACACTTGTTTTTCATCATTGCAGCTGCGTTTTTCTCTCATTCAGGAGAGAGTGATCTTCTGCATGCGTACTCTCCCGGAGACATCGTCATCGGAGGACTTTTCCCTTTTCATATCCAGACCGACAGAAACACAACACATGGTCCATCCACCTGCAGTGTGTGAGTATATCACCTCATTAGAATTAAATCATTAAAGAGGCTCAACTGTGATAGAGAGAAATCAAATTAACTCTGTGATTTTTTGGCAGGTTTGACTTAGCATCATTCCTCCAAAGTCAGGTGATGATATACGCTATCAGAGAAATAAATCAGCGCTCACCGAGAGTTCTGCCAAACATCACCTTAGGATATGACATCTACGACACCTGTGGAGATGTGGGTCTGGCTATCAGAGCGACGCTGCAGCTGCTGAAGGGTCACTCAGACCCCCAGAGCTGTTTGGTACCCACCAACTTTCAATCTGCATTACCCGATTCCAACACAAAAGCAGTGATCGGGGAGAGGCACTCAGAGGTGTCAATAGCTGTTGCTCGGGTTGTTGCTCTGTCCTCAGTCACCCAGGTTAGTCCTATATGTGCCTGATTCTTTCTTTGCAGTAACAAGCCTATTAACAATACAAAGTCAACATATCAAATGTTAAAACTGTAATATATAATTGTTTCATGAAAAGTAGATGCTCATTCATATTTGATACCAGCAGCACATTTCACAACAGGTTGGTGCATTTATCATTGTGTTTCATCTCCTCTTATTAAATAATACTCTGTAATATTTGGGAACTGGCCTTTTAACTGTGTGCCTATGTAAACCAGGATGGTCCCTCTCCTCCTTGATTTCCAAAAAGAATGTCAATTTTTGCTGGCTAAGTAAAGTTTTCAGCATTTCTCGATCTTGTATGTACAAGAGAGTAGTAGAGCTGTATGCAAAGTGATGGACTATGCGTAATAATGTCTTTTGGAGATGGTTTTGAGGTTATGTTGGTATTTCCACCACACTTCACTTAGGGCTCTAAGATCATAGCCATCCAATACTGGTTTTGTGTACTGCAGATGATGAAATCTCCCAAACCCAAAGACTCAGCCTGTCTGGACTGCCTATTTTGCAGATAAGCCTAATTAATCAGTAGATGTTCATGAAGTAGTTCTATTTTACACTAACACAACTTTTTTCTGTGTTTTGTTGTCACTGCGTGTCCAAAAATATTTCTGAAAAGTGTAGCTGGCATCACATTTAGATGAGCGGGACAAACAATGAGGGGACTGTTTCTGTCCTTTTCTAGTAGGCCTAAAGGCATTCATAAAGAAAACTACATATGGAACAATATTTACTGTGACTTATTTACATTTTTTTATACAGATAAGTTATGCATCAACAAGCGAGCTCCTCAGCAGGAAGTTAAAGTTCCCTACTTTTCTGCGAACAATATCCAGTGATGAATATCAGACAAAGGCCATCACTGAGCTGGTGGAGAAGTTTAACTGGAAATCAGTGGCCATTGTGGGAAGTTATGACGAGTATGGGAAGTACGGCAGTGAAAAACTTCTGGACTACTTAAGGAAGATGAAGGACGTCTGCATTGAATTCATTGAAATCCTGCCAGGTTACTTTTCCCATAATGACCACCAAGCCAGCATGAAGCAGGATGAGCTGGTAAGGAAGATTAATGAATCCTCTGCCGAGGCCACCATCCTGTTCACCCATGAGTCAAACGTTGAAATCATCATGAGGGCAGTGATCAGACACAAACTCAATCGAACTTGGATTGCCAGTGATAGCTGGTCCACCTCCACAAAGATTGCTACACTGCCTAACATTGAGAGCGTGGGTCAGGTTTTTGGATTCATCTCTAAGAGAAATGAGGTGCCTGGTTTTAAAGACTATGTCCTCTCAAAGTTCAGCAACACCACAAACGCCATCCTGCAGCACTACCTGCAACAATATCCACTATGTTCCAGGCAGTTCGGGAAGAATCAAGGAACTAGGTGTTCACTTACAAACATCAAATGCCTCGATCTGAAATGCTTGGCGTCTTACATTGACCAGGATCAGTCATATAATATCTACTTAGCTGTTCAAGTCATTGCTGAGGGTCTCAGACATCTGCTCAAGTGTGACAGCAACCACTGTGAGCGAAGCCTCAATTTCACAGCTTTGGAGGTAAAGGCAGATTACATGTCTTATGTGTGATTTTATATCCAAATGTCCAAATGTTAGGAGACATTTACTTAAACTTTAATCCCGAAGCATCAAACTATCCCTTTACAATTTTTCTGTCATGGAGACAACAACTGCAAACTTTTTAATGTTTGTTTTCACAGCTTCTTTTAGAAATCAAGAAAGTCAACTTCACTGTGAGCACCACACGTATAGACTTTGACTCCCGAGGAGAACCCAGTTTAGGATATGATATTGTTTTCTGGGACATGACTAAGGCAAGTATAGAAACCATTGGAGAGTACTGGCCACGTGGAAAAATAGAAGTCTCAGGTGATCTTGTTAAACAGATGAGCAGTGTGCAGGTAAGGTCAAATCTTACACATAATAATCTAATTTTCAACCTAGAGACAGCTGATGGGTTTTTTATGAATGAATAATTCTATTCTGTCTCTTACAGGTAACTGCTTTTAACTGCTCTAAGACATGTAAACCAGGACAGGAGCTGAAGAGGCGAGGCAAGACATGCTGCAATAACTGTGTTCCCTGTGCAGATAGAGACTTCTCTCCTGGAAACGGTGCGTTCTGTTTGTTTGTTATAATGTCCAACAGGGTGATAAGGTCAGCTCAAAAATAAAGCAGCATTGAGATGTCTTTTTTTCTCACATTAACAAACTTTTTTTGTTCTTTCTAAAACCATCAAATATGATACATTGCATTATTATACAAAGTGCAATATGATATAATGCAATATAAGACAATACGATATTTTACTGTAGAAGCAGCTTCTTTGTTTTTTCCTACATGTGAAGATATTTTTGTATTCATATGCAAATATTGCAGACCATGATGGTATCTTCACATTGTTGTTTGGCACTTATGCAAAGGCAAACCTCATTTTTACATATCTATTTTGAAAAGGAATCCAATCCTCCCGCTAAAATGGCAAACATGTGTCATGTAAGTGTCTTTGTTTCTTTAGGTGAGAAGTGCAAACACTGTACTCGTAGGATGTACTCCTCTCCACTGAAGGATAGATGTGTGGACAAGAAAGACAAGTACCTGGAATGGTCAGATCCCTTCATCATCATTTTGAGCTGTTTGTCAGTCTTTGGGATTGTTGCTGTCATTGTATTTTTAGTTTTGTTTACACTCAATCACAGCACTCCCATTGTGAAGGCGGTTGGAGGTTACTTGTGTTTCTTGGAGCTTTTGTCCCTGCTTGTATGCTTCTGCCTGACCTTCACCTTTGGAGGGAAACCCAGCAGAGCCTCCTGCAAGCTCGGCCTGCCTTTATTTGGCATTTTCTCCTCCCTATGCTTCTCCTGCATTCTAGCCAACCTGCTCCAGATCTTAGTGGGCTTCAACTTTGATGCAAGAATAGGCCTTTGGATAAAAAAGCTCAATAAGCCAGCAGTGATAGTGGTGATCATCTCTGGGATTCAGGTGGCGCTGTGTGTGCCCTGGCTATTGTTTTACCCTCCCAGTCCTGCTGAGGAGATTTTAACGGACAGCATCCTGAAGCAGTGCACCAAAGGCCGTCAGGTGTTCTTCTTAGCCATGATAGGCTACAGCGCTTTCCTGGCCCTCATTTGTTTTCTGTTTGCATACAAAGGTAAACAGCTGCCGGATCTGTATAAAAATGCCAGTCTTATCAGCACCAGTATGATGCTGTTTTTGATCATTTGGCTCCTCTTTATCCCGATTTACATCAGCATGTTTGGGGAGCACAAGCGGGCCATTGAGAGTTCAGCCATTCTCATTTTCAGCTACAGCATCCTTGGCTGTCACTTGGCCCCCAAGTGTTACATCATGGTGTTCAGAAAAGAGCTCAATAATGAGAGAGCCATAACAGAGTACATCAGAAAGCACTACGAGCGAAAAGACATCCCTGTGGTGAAATCATAATACTTTCACAAAATATTCAGACATTTTCCAATTTATTTCGATCAGCATTTTTATCCCACTTTTGACTCATATATTCTTTTTTTTTCACTAAATTAATTACATTTCAGCTTTGTTTTGATTTTCCTTACCATTTTATGGACAGTTCTACCTTATTTTTTAAAAATCTAATCATGTAGTCTTTAGATTAAATCAGACTCATTGGGTTGACCTGATTGTCTGAGTGTGTTGTGTATTCAATAAAGTTACTATTCTTGTCTGCAAAGTCACATTTTCGTGAGCAAAGGGGTTAGATAAACACATGTAAAACTTATCTTACATACGATTACAAATGGAAAACTATTTCACCTTTGATTTTTTTAAGAACTGTTTATCTTTTTCCTGTCAATTTCTCTAAATGTAATTGTAAAAATATAAAATGTTTTAAGAGACATCTGAAAGAAAGATGGATATAGAAGATGGAAACGTGAGAGAAGGAGGTCCCTGTCCCAAACAGACATCACCAATCCGACTGTGCAACCAAGTTATTTAAAAGGTTTTACCATTTTAGGGGTTTCAATAAACTCTAAGCCAGTTGAAGACTTTTCTTTTGCCCTCTACAAATAAGGATATGTTGCCCTCACAACTTTGAACAGCCCTGACAAAATTAAGTCACATTTTATTTGTTGGTCAAATGCCTCTCGTTTTAAGCTATTTTAAAGCATTTTAAAATATTTAGGTTATGTCAGCCAGATGTTAATATGAAATGCATTCTCACTCAGTTCTTTTTTTCTTTTTAGAGTTTTTAAAATAAAAGCCGATGAATATCTCTTTCAACCACTTTTGTATCTAAATTTGGAAATTCTATGAGGAGACAAGAAACCAAAAAAATCAGATTTTTTTTTTTTTGATAAATGAGACAGTTGCACCTAATACAGCACAGTGGAAACTCTCATTCAGACCACCTAAAGAAGCAAACATACTGCTACTGTTATCTTTAATGTTATCTTTTGATACAGGTTCAGGTTTTAGACATTGGGAAGTTCTTGCTGTTTTAGTTTGTGATTTGTGTGCAGGAACATTAGAGCTTTGCAGTTTTTCAGATTTGACGCTCATTATAATCACCTGGACATGTCTGGGCTGTCTGAGATCACCAACATCATTAAATAGTACTTTAATGGACCAAAGGTGTAACAAGGTGTATGCAGAGAATAAGTGTGTAAAGTTGCAGGCTGGATATTATCATATTATGTTTTTTATATATATATACATGTAAATATTCTTAAGTTTTATTTATATTTTGATATTTGTTTATTTGATCATTCTTTTTTCCTTTTCTGTAAGTAACTGGAGGGGAGGGAACCTTCCCAAAAGGATAAATTAAGTTGTATCTAATCTAAATAGCATAATGTTTTCTTGTTTTGAATATTAATTAAAACTAAGTTTCAAATGCTTGGCTACTTCTGCAAACCACCTGCTCAAGCAGTGGAGCTGAATGAATAAAGTGGATGTGTAAAGATGCTGACTCTATACTAGTGTTAGAGCATTTGTCTTGCCACAGTTACTCTTGCAAACACTAGATGGAGCCCTTGGTCATATCGTGGTTCATTCCCTTTGAAATTCTTTTTCCAAGTTAAACAAAACACAAAAACGATGTGGCTCTTCACCTAACATTTTATTTATTAAAAAAATACAAAACTTCAAAAAGTTTCCATAGGAAAGCGTTATGACTTTGCAATCCCGTCTCTTTCGTATCCATTTCAAATGTACGTTTAAACACTGTCTTATGTCATGAACACACATCTTGCCTTCTACAAATAAAAAATAAAGATAAAATAAAATAAGGAGGAGAAGAGGAGAGGTGCAGTCTGCATCTTGAGTCCCTGTGTTGGTAGGTATTAATCTTGAAGCTGTTGTTACTGTGGCAGCTACGGAGTCCGGTGACGAAGACCTTAGAGCCACATGCTTGATATAGGAAGCATCTATGTGTATGTTTAAGCTGACTCAAACGCAGCAGTCATTGTTAATACAAAGACTCACTGCAAGGTCTTTCAGCATGCCAAATGTGCACATGCATTTTAACGAGTTTGTGTGTATTTGCACATTTTCGGATTTAGAATTGGTTCTGTGAGTAACCAGCAGACAAGCATTTCATACATGATAGTAATGCTATACAGGAGAGTCTAGAGAATAAATAGAGTTTTTTGTAAACATCTTGAAGATTAACACTTGAGGGGTTCTGTACAGAAGCTGAGATCATGGAAAATATAAATAAACATAGCAGCCATTTTTGAGGAATATAATCACCCCTCAACCACCTCTTTGCAGGTACAAACTACTTCTGTTAACAAGGCTGTAAAAGATTGGCAGTTGATTTTTAAACCAACCCTTACAGTGGGAATTTGCTACTATTGTTCTGAATAGTATTAAATGATTAGCACGAGTAACCCTTCACCACTTGGACTATTGCTACAGTTTCAAGTGTTGTATGTCTTATGGTGATGGGGAACCTTCAGTGAAGTAGCTGTGAGATGTTTTTGCAAAGTAATGGTTTCCAGTTTAGAAAAAGGATCTTCATGGACGATGGTGCCCTTACTCTTACGGTAACACAGATCCCAAAAAGGGGACTGCCGGAACATTTTCAAGAGCTGAGCAGTCCTGTAACCCTCGGCCTGGAACATAGAGACACTAAGAGTGTGATTCAGCCTCGTTACATTGAATGTAGATCCCCAGCTTCCATACAGAACACAGAAATTTGTGCAGCAACATGCTCTCTTATTCCCCTGTCAAGTAACTGGCCATGAAATGTCACGTTTTATATTTACGGAGAAGAGAGAGAAAAGACGAATAGCAACTTCTCCAGTAACTCACAACAACAACAACAAAAAAAAAAAAAAAGCGAGATGTTGAACAATGCTGTGATATACAGTATTCATTTACACCACATGGGCCTGGTAGGGCTTGGTGGGCATCTCCAAGGTGCTCTCTCTGCCGCAGCAGGCAGGCACTTCGAACAGGCTAGACTCCTCTGCAGGAGCTGGCATGCCCTGGGTGCAAATCTGCTGCACCTGTTGCCTGCAAACAACAAAAGAGAGTCAGTTGATTAAAAGAGGGTGAATGCAACTTAAATGGAAAGTTGTACTTTTAAGCAGACAGACGTACTCAGGAAAGAAATGTAGAATTACAAAACGGGTTAGAGTCAGTTTGCACAGACATGCACACATTAAAAAAACTATAAACAATTGCTGTGTTTTGGCCACTTCTTCACATGGAATCATAATTTTTTTAGGCTAAAAATGCAAACTTTTGATTGAGTGCCACAGTGAAATCTTTTAAAAGCCTCTTCTGTCTGCAAAATGGCAATAGTAAAATCAGACCCCTTGAAATGTTTCTATATGCACAGGCTTATGACTAAGTTACACTCCCAACTACTGACCTGGCATGCATTCCCTGGCATTTTCAGTCATTTTGCCTTTGGTGTCATTTTTACGTTGTGATATGAGCTCAGTTTACAATCAAAAAGCAAAGAGAAGACTTTTCTGCTTTTAATGGGGCTGCTCTCACCTAAACCAGGCCCTGCTTTGGTACGAGGTAGAGATAAGCGTTCACACATTTGGAGGAAGTATGGTGAAAAACTTGAATTTGGACTGTAGAAATATTGGGGCGAATCCCTTGTAAAGACACCTAGCCTAGCTTTAACCACTTCCAGCTTCTGTGACCTTTACTTACCAGGCAGTGCGGGACATAACGTAGTGCATGTCAGGTCTTTGGAAGCCGTTGAAGGTGGAGGAGGCGGCCACAGTGTAAGCTCCCATGTTCTCAAAGACCAGCCAGTCACCCACCTGCAGGTCAGGCAGGCTACACTGCTCCACAATGCGATCTAGGCCGTCACATGTTGGGCCCCAGATGCTGCAGGGGTACATGGCCTCATCAGGTTTTGGCTTCTAAAAGGTTCAGACGGATGAGAAAAGATCATGTCAAACACTGTTCTTAGGTTATGTGTATGTTGACTGACAGTGAAGCCGTTTAAATCCTTGAAATGACATTACCTTATGTAGTGTTGGCAAGCAGTGAGCATGGTCATAGAGAATGCAGTTGAAGGATCCATACACTCCATCATTGACGTAGTACATCAGAGTCCTGTCATTGGTCCCTTCATCCTCCTCTGTGAAGAAGCATCAATGATTAAGCTTTAAGAAATTATCAGAATAAAATCACTTCTCGAAAATATTTTCATTTTCTTACCATCAGAGGCAGACTCCTCATCCATGATGACCTTCTTGGCAATGATGTTAACGACCAGTGTGTAAGCTGAGGCAACATAAAAGCGGCCAGGCTCAGCTATGATCCTAACACCAGTGTCAGCCGGGAAATACTTGTCCAGGGCTGGGTTAATCACGGCTGTGATCTAAGAGACAGAGAAAAAAAAATTGTGTTAGTCTAATGAGTTTTAAATTTTTTTTCAAAAACCCAATGTTAGTTCTTTTATTTTATAAGTGAAAGAAATTCAGGATACCTCCTCAAATTTAAGTTCAGTGTCATCTGAACCAGGGAATCCACCTCCAATGTCCAGTAGGTCCATGTTGAAGCCCAGCTCATCCTAGTTCACAAATAGAGAGACCAAGGTTTACTTTTCTGAGCGAAACTACATCAAAATGTGTTTTAAATCTGTGCATGCATTTGTCACAACTCACTCCCATGTCGAAAACACAGCGGGCATCAGCGATAGCCTGAGTGTAGGTTTCAGGGTCGGTGCAGCCACTGCCCACGTGGAAGCTGACGCCGATCACATCCAGCCCCAGTTCTTTAGCCCGCTCCAGAAGACCACGGCAAGCTTTGAGAGGGGCACCAAACTTCACACTCAGTCGACACACTGCCTTCGAGTCATCCGTGGCAATACGCAGGACCAGCCTGAACAAAGATAATAAGCACTTAGTATGAAGGGAACAACAGGAGTATGAAGCGTACATAGATGCTCTTAATGCCTCTGTGGTTAAAAATAAAACTTACTTGGCATTGTCATGACAACGTGCCACTTTCATCAGCTCTACCTCGCTATCAAAGGTCATCATCTGAACCCCGTGGGCAGACGCATACTTGATCTGGGAAACTTGCTTGCAGGGGTTGGCATAAATGATTCTGCTTGGATCCACTCCCAGAGACTGAACCAGCTGAATCTCTGTCTAAAAAGAGACACAGCCAACCAGTCAGTTAAAAGACGTGCTAATTTAATGACAAAAGCTGCCAAAGCAATTTCAGCTCATCATCGAGACAGCTTTGTATTGTGTTATTCTGAGACCACCCAGCGTGATGGAAAGTTTCAGATACTCACCTTGCTTGCACAATCAAAGCCGGTTCCAAGGGATGCCAGTGTCATGACAACAGCCCGGCTGTCGTTACATTTCACGGCATAGAAAGGAGTGATGCGAGGCAGAGCTCTCACCCAGCGCAGTTGTTTTTTTAGGACATCTCCTAGATCACAGACATAGAAGGCATCTCTGTCATCCTGAAACAGAATAGAAGAAACAAAGAAGGACTGTTAGGAAAAATCAGCCCTGCAGCAGAAGGAGAGAGGATCCCTGGAGTTGAGAGAAGGAAGCACCACAACATACACCTGAACAGCAGGATTCCAGTGTCACATCCTGCTATCAGTTGCATCAACAACAAAATGTGCCACCTCTATGCCAGCAATGGAAACTTACGGTCATGGATGACTCATTGATCTTTTGCTCAACAATATCCCGAGCAGAAAAACCCTCCTCCAGGAATGAGAATTCAAACTCAGTGGGAGTGGCAGTGTTCATGGTCACTACAAGTCCTTTTTCTTGGTCACTAGTAAACTGAAAGAGAGAGATGGGCACATTGAGACAGTACTCAGCAGTGAGAACACAGTGTTTTTTTCTTTCCTTGAACACGTAGGTCTATTTTATCACCCACTCATGAGAAAGTTACAAAAAGTACAAGTGTAAGTAGTTTAAAAAGCATGGCACTAAGCTGATTAACAGTTTTTAACAGTGTTATCTTTACATATGCAATATAGTGCCGGATAAGCAGAAGGACAATGAGGTACTCACTTGGATATGAAAGAGATGGAATTAGAGTTGTTTCTTTCTCAGGTGCACAGAAGCCAAGGCGGCTCACCAGTGAAGTTAAATCCCTTCAAATAAGACTCGAGGCCAGGGCCTGCAGAGTAGCCAGTGTGCGTTTTCCTAGAGTGATGATTCTATCAAAAAGAGCAGTGTTTTTAACGTTAGAATGCTGCATATTCGAAAAAGCTCAGGTTTTGGGCTCAAGGTCACTCAGTGCAAACTACAGACCAAGTGCATCTACAATAGTGCAGCTGAGTAAGACAACTTAACGGCGCTCCATTTTATTACTATGGCGTGACAACTTGACACCATCTGTACAGGAAAACTCATTCAAAGAGCAAAGCGTATTATCCCCGCCTACTCCAGATTCAACCAATCGCAAAGAAGACCCGCCTTCAATTCGGAATGAATGGACCGTAAATGAGCCAATCAGACGCTAGCTGATGACGCACCCTCAAAATGCCGGTTCCGCTCCTAATGCCATGAGGCGTTTTAGCATCTGCGGTTACCATTAACGAAGTAATCCTCTTCCGCAGTGACCATTCATAACTATGTCAAGCGTCACGTTAACAAACAGATATCTAACACCCTAAAACATTCTCTATCACGGCCAAATGTTATGACACTTTTCCATCAAGTTCAGTACAACGGATGTTAGCTTGTTAGCTGCCTCTGTTAGCAAACCTGCCATATAGAAATGCCGGGCCACGTATGATCTGATCAGGTTAGATAACCAACAAAGGCGGTTTGAATTTTAAAGAGATTGGCGTTAACGTTACAGTGAAGTCAGTAAACGCTAAACTACCCATACAAGTCACATTAGATTTGCTAGTGAGCCAAATTATGTTAATTTCAGTCCCGTTACCAAAAAACATGGCGCAATATCTGACATTCTCCTTAAAAGTACTTAAAAAAACAAGTCCGTCCTTACCTTAAAAAGCATTTACAAAGAGTTTGTCCATGAGACTCGAATGCTGGGGTGAAAAAATAAAGCAGATCCCTTCACAGTGAGGTCCGCTGCTGGAGGTGGATGTCGGTCTGCCAGGACTGAAACCAGAGTGGAAGCCGGTAAAGTACTCCGAGGGTATTTATAGACAGCTGGTTACTATGGCAACGCAGCCAGCTGAAACCGGACTCTTTTCCACGTATGAACCGGTTTAGCCTTGTCACCTCATCCACATGGTGGAAAAGACAGACAGAGACTGCACAGAAGATTACAAAAGGTAACACAGCCAGTTCAAACCGGACTCCTGGGCTTTCAATAAACTAAACACTGAGGAGAAGTCAGGCAGACAGAGACCACCACCAGTCCGGCAGCTTAGACTGGACCGCCTGGCATCAGCCTGGGGTACCTTCATTTAAGAACCCGACCTGCCGATGTCTCTCTGCTCACGCTTCTTGTCGTAACTCAAACTCAAATTTAGATTTGAACCCCTGAACCCTTTCATATCAGTTTATTGTTACTTTGGAGGTGGTGCATTCCTTCAACGTGAGCTCAAAAAGCATGAGAAAAGTCAGACACTGCAGAGATTTGGAGTGAGGCTGCATAAAATGACAAATCATCTTTATTGTAACATGTTAGGAAGATGCAGCATCAATGCAATCAATGTAACAGCCATTACGTAAATTAAATATTGTACTATTATGCTCTATAATTAAAAAATATGCAAATAAGTTGTTCAGCAGAAGTGTTCAGAACTATGCCCAGTGTAACAAACAGGCATTGTGCAAAATGTTCATTGCTGCTATATTAGAGGCATAAACAAATACACTTAGGGATTTTGTAAGACTACTCTACAGTAAAAAATCTAATGCACCTTCATCTTTGATCTTAACTTTATTTCAACTGGCTGCTCACATAGTATGACCAAACAGACTGAGTCTTGTAATATAACTTTTTTTCCCAATCATAATGACTTTGTTCTCTTAAAATTACAACCTTTTTTTTTGTAGCATCAGTACTTTAATCTGAAAATGTTAAATATTTTTGTACAGTGGACCTGATGCTCTGAACAGTAGAAATGCTTAAATCTGTGTTATTGTCATGCATACTTCAGTAAATGCAGTGGCGGACTGTAACAAAGAAAATGTACTATAGTAGTGCTGTACTTTGGTGGGTTTTTTGAGTACCTGTACTTTCTTTGGATATTCTTAGGAAGCATATCATACTTTTGACGCCACTATGTTTCTAAGAATATTGTTGACCAAAACTACTTTTGCTCTCTGAGGTTGGCTAATGAATTTTCTTTACTTTTCTTATAGATGATAGACTGCATTTTGTCAGTGTATGTAAGGTTTGTCTAAGTGGTGTTGCTGTACTTTCTCAAACGCAGAGCCAACACCACTCAGATAAGACACTTCCTATAGTTTGGTAATGATGGCTATAGCAGAGAGGGTTGGAAGCCATGAGGCCATATTAATGCTATGTTTCCTTATTTTCTTTTTAATATGAGGGATGATTTATATTGTTTCAAATGTTTGCCCAAACTTCATCGTGGCCTACAACAATTCACTGACCTGAGAAAGCAGGTCAAGGCTTGTAGTAATTTACTTGCCATTTTTATTCTACTGTACGTTGTATCTGTTGCTGCTCCTCTTACTTTTGAGCTGCAGATCTGTGAATTTAAGTACTTAAAAGCAAGTGCCCTAGTTACATAACTCAAGGAATACGTTGACTGAGTAACTTTCTCTTGTACTGGAGTAAGACATGAACAGGAGTATCTGCACTCTGACTCAAGTGATATTGCTATCCAATCTATAAATGAATTCACAGATTTTTCATACATATAAACAACCATTAATTTGTGACCTCAGGTTCTTCTTGGCCAGCTGGTATGGATTAAACATATGCTGTATTTGTGTCAGTCTCAGACTCCCAGACTGCTACAGTCTGCTGTCTGACAGTCTGACCTCACTTGACGGTCACCTGCTCAGTCCATGAACCTCTTGATGAGATTAAAGAAGATCACAGCATGACTTAGATAGCGATTTGTCAACACATGCATGTGAGTCACGACAGACTTGTTCTATGGGTATGGATCTACAGGTGATGTGTTGCATGGGAAAGTCGTGCATTTGATCACACCTGCATCCCTGCACAGTTCAGTAAAACAACTATTCACAGTTAGAAAAAATTAAACCACAGCCGGCCTTTGGAAATACCCTACTGGATTTTTAAAAACCCTCTTATAGTGCTTAACCTCCAAACAATGAAATACTCCTTAACCTGGACCCCTCAAATCCCAGTCTTCCTTGCTGCACAGTCTAATCAGGTCAAAGGTTGCTCTGATAGACAGTTGGTTTGCAAGCAGACATTACTGAATGGAGGGAAATGAAGAGTATGGTCAGTGTGACCTAACAGTACATGTGGAAATGTTGCACTAGCTTGGTTATAGGACACTGACAGGAAACTTCAGGGCTTCATGAGGACCACATATCTGTGGGCTTCATTTAATATGTTTTCCAGGTCTTGAGGCCTCCATCAAGGTGGATTTTACTCTGCACAGCAGGGTTTCTTTCCATAATTTTCAGCAGAATTGGTAAATAAAGTCATTTTTTCCATGCGGGTTCATTACCAGAAAGTCAGAAGCATAGCCCTTCCTGCAGTGGTCAAAAAGTTAAAGTGAAGTTTAGCGGAAAACTTGAAAACTATGATGACATAACCTGCAATGATTTTTATGCATTAAACTTTTCTCGCATTCAGTCTAAACTATTTGTACAGTAAGAGCAGTAGCAGGCCTCTCCTCTCGAGAGACTTATGCCTGTTGGGCAGGAAGTGGAAAGATTTAGTAAAAAAATCTATTTTCAACAGCTGCTAATCAGATTTGTCACAATCACATGATTAGAAAACATTATACAGCAAATGAAACTGTTTCTTTTTACACTCATCACCTTGTTTTTGCCAGTATTTTGTGTTGCAACCCTCTCCTTCACCCGTTTCTTTCTTCTTCTCTTGTAATGTCTGTCTCTGGCTCTGTGTGGACCTTCTGTTATCGTTACTGTGGACCATTGTGGCCTGACTCCCACATTTCCAAGGTCTCAAGAGAGACAAAGATGATTATTGTTAAAGGCCACCCACAAGATACAGTGTTCAGGCCTTGGTGAGTGCATCAAGTTTTGTACTGTTTCTTTTTGCGTCTTTCTTCACTCATGCTTGCACAATGGAATGCAGCAGTCACTCTTGCTGTCTCATTAACACAACAGCTACAATGAATCCCTCCAGCTGAACATGTACAAACAGATAGTACTGCTTCCACAGACATTTCTGGAGTGTATCAACTCTTCCTCCTTTGCATTCAGATAAAGAGAGTTGATGCATCTCTAACGCAATTTAATCTGCAGCTCTAGTTGTTTATCCTGTTAAATAAAAATGTATGGGCCAAGCATAGTTCTCTGTATCAAGCAGCATGTGCAAATCTAGTTATCATGAAAACTGTACAAGGGGTTGTTTGTATTATTTTATTTATTAGATATCAATCCGTTTTTATGATATTAAAGCTTCTGTGAAGATCTCGACGTTTGGGCCAATTTAAGCGCCCCCTGTGGACAAAGCAGTCTTTGCTCATCTCTTGAAGTGTTTCATGGAAAAAAAAAACAATCATACATATCATTTATTGTGAATGTTTAATGTGAAAAATGTTGAATTTAAAAGTTAGGGCCATTTCTTTAGCTAACATCTTACATCAGTTTTAGACATTAAAAAATAGATAAAAAAATCATGAATATTTGAACATTGTCTTGTTTGCTTTTGTCTATCTTGAAATAAGGATGACAATAAGAGTATATTCATGTTTTACACAGCGAATGGTAGGGATATGTGCATTGATTTGACTTCATGAGCATCATCACCCTCTCTTACGACACCAAAACCACTAGCTGTCTTAACTAACAGATTTATTACTTCAGGACTGAAATGCTGGTAATAAGTAGTTCCTGAGCCGAAGCCCTCGTTCAAGGCTTCTGCTATACTGCTAAAATGCTCTACTACCCAGATGCAAACAAGGATGGATGGCAGACATGTTATTTTTGTGGCGCTGTTTGGCAGTATTCTGGTCCAGAAATGATCGAACTGGCATATAACCACTCAGACGGAGCTATGAATAACCAACACAAGCATGTGGATGTCAACCAAAGACTGGTGATGCAAGCTTTGACAATGCTAGACCTTGTTTCCCTGCAGACTCTGAGATTCCTTGTTTCACCATGTTAGATAATTTATGCTCCACTTTGACTCATTTCTTAATGTGTTTTTCTTTGCGCTAGATTGTCGATTTAATGGTTATGCTTCAGATTTTCATATGAAAGAGGAAATTAGTCACTTTCATCAGACGTGGGAGGTTGGTTTTAACTCAGGTAAGCAGTCAGTCATTTTGGTTTAGTCCATACACTGTACTTACGTCAGTTTCTTAGAAAATGCTAGATTGTTCAGTATTCAGTATTATTTTCTCTCCAAAAAAGTTCCTGACTAAATTCTGACTTTTCTGGTATGTGTTATTAATAAAACATTTGTATCAGTCTCATTTGAAGTCTAGAAATGCTCACTGACAACAGAATACCAGTTCCGTGTTTATGTCCACATACAGCGTATTCTCCAGCTCTGAATATGCTTTGCTTAAATTGTGGATTTGCACTCTGCACTCTTGTGTGGCTGTTTGCTGTGAATGATCAAGGGTTTTGTGCAAGTGTGTTTCGCCGCTCTTTCAAAGACATGTTAAGTGTTGAGCACCAGCATAAACATGATTTGGCGCCTTTGGTTTCAGATGACTCCTTAAATGTTGTATTTTGAGACTTTTAATGTGAGGGAGTCACAAATTTGTTGCCTCTGATGCATGTTTTGGTCACACATTATGTTTTTATTTACCAAGCCAGCACTCTGGAGGCATCTATTAATTATCATGTGACAACAGTTATTAAGATACTGTTTGTGGTTTCACATTGTTAATGTGCATGGACTTGTTGCTGACACCAGTGACTCACTCTTTTAATCTTTTAAAGCGTCTCCTTCTTTCATTTAAACCTCCGCGGGATCAAAGGCGGAGACCTTGAGAAGAGTTTAACTGGTAAAATCTATGAATGCTTGACCTGAATATGCATGCAGATTGTGGCTTGGCCTAGACAGCTACTTATGAGACCGGAAATCTTGCAGATGATGCTCATGGTGTCTCTTTACTCTTGACTCTGATCCATCAGTGATTTCAGATCAGACAGGAAGATTTTAATTCTGCAAATCCAAAACAAACATGTGACACCAGATAGATTAGCCAGTTTTAAGCCCTGACGACAGACCTCACCCAGATAGCTTGGTGGAGTTAAAACCTTCACACCACGCTGCCGGTGAAGCGTGAGCAGCCAGCCACAGGAAAGAGCGATTGCATTTATTTGAACTGTGTTACAGTCTTTGGAATTCGATACAGACCTGATGGTGGTTTTTTTTTACGTCAGTGCAAACCCATGAGGCCACGCAGGGCGTCAAACTCAAATGACACATAACCGTGACAAAGACATTCCATGGAAAGAGAGGAGGTAAATGTCAAGAGCTGTATTTTTATAAAATACACAGACAATGGGTGGCTTGTAATTTGGGCCGTGGAGCACTACTTGAAAAGAGTAAATTGAAGGTTTGGTTTTGTGTGTCTTTGCTTACTGAGTTCACTCTGTTCATTCTCAAGGTAGATGCCTCACAAGTAACGTCTTGACTTTATGTCTAGGTAATCTATTTATAGGTTAAAGTCTTCAGAAATACCAGAATGATATCTTCACATTTTTCATTTAACAGCACTGGGATTTTTATATATGTTCACCGCCTCCAATAAAGACCCCTGTCCTGCTTTTCTGTCTTTGATGCCTTTGTTGGTTTCCGTCTTTTTAAACTCAAGCCTCGGCATCCAGGGCTGCAGAGAGGTGTGAGAGCTGGCGCTGCTGCATCATAGCCAAAGGTAACCAATTCCCCTTCAGATGTAAATGGAAATTCAAATTCCAGCTCCCACCATCCCTTCAATGTCACATCATGAAGATACATGTCAATTTTTTTACATGTCATGATAACAATGTTAAGATATCATGTAGCTCCAGAGTCCTGTAACAGTGTCTCAAATCTGAAGGTCATAACCGCAAACTTGAACATCTTTGAGACGCTCAAGGATGTTGTGCCTATCAAACTGTGTGGTGATACAATATTCAAATTTATGTTTTTGCTTTACACTCTTGCAGTTTTTGACAGGAATAAAGTGTATAAAATATCACTGAGGTCCTTTAAGTTTGAGTCACCACCTACAAACTGAGCATACAGGTGCTGCTAAACAAACAAATGCAAGTGGGCGACCACGTCAGGAAAGCCAACATAGCACTATTTTAGAGTGCCTATCCCCATTTAGATCCAAATAAATCAAAGAAGATACCAACAGTGCTTGTTAGGTGAACTGGCCTAAGGGACACCATCAGGTTGGCATGATGAAAACTGGTCACACATACAGGACTGGTGTGAAGCAGAGACACACACCAGTGTGTCTCTACTCATGAATACTCAATTCTAAAAAGGAAAACAGCTTAATAATGCCATCAGTTGCAGTCTTTATAAAATTAGCCCATGACCACACAGCTGCCCCACTTGTCAGCCCTGTCCCTGGAGTGAAGAGAGGACTCCTGTTTAATCTGGCCCTCTGCTGACTCATCATTTCTTCTCCTTTCAAGGCTGAGTTGTCCAGGGTTGGTGATGCAGCCTGAACTGTCGAGACCAGGACAAAAAAGAGAAGTGATCTTATTTTTACTGGGCCATCTTTTGTGCTTTCCTAGACTGGCCCGAAGCTCGGTGAACAGGCTATGTCAGCACATTCACACCTTTGATCCTTTTTGGGGGGGAAGAAGTCACAGACAGCATAGAGACGGTTCACCTCTGTGGCGTCATGGTTTTACTCCTGACACATTTACATTCACTGTGAAATTAGGGGAAGGAGAGCAGGAGCAAAGGGCCAAACCACTGCTTACATTCAACCTGAACTACTAACAGAGGCCTGCAAAGTTACAGCAAGTAAGGTTGTATTATGTGCTTGTCAGTACTACTCATACTGGTCATCTCAGAAGTAAGGCAGCTAATCAAAGCAGAATTTTCACTCTTCAACTGGTCATTTTGCCAACAAATCTCATTCACTTTTGCACTAATCTGGTTTGACTTCTGAAAATTGAAGAAAGCAAGATTGAGTACAGCCAGAACCTCTGGATGAGGAGTGGTTCAGATTGCAGCTGTATGTGATCCTCTGGTATCCTTCAACTTTGAAAGGTCCCAAGACCTACTCCTGATAGCAGTAGCAGTTTAGATACCTGCACCAGGGAGCTTTGAATCTGCCTTGTGCCTTTTTTTTTTTTTCTAATGCAATGGTGTCTCAAAGATGATAACCACGCTATAGCTTTTAATCTACCCCAGAGCAAATTAAATCTGTCATACCCATTTTGTCCACAGGGGTCACCAAAATCAACATAAAAAAAATAAATAAATAAAAACCTCTACCATGGCAGATGGTTTAGCGATATTGCAGACTGGCTGTAGCCTGCATGCTGGCAGAATGATCTCAAAGGATGAAGAAACACAGAGGAGTTCATAGCTAATTGCTTGACCATATTTCTATTAGGGGGGATGAGTCATTTTCCTTCAGCTGGAGAATCTGTGACTGTATTAACAAGGAATTAAACAGATACCTCAGCACAATGGCATTATCTTAACCACTGACATGCTGATGCTCCCTTTGACCTCTGTTTCTGTTTTTAGTCTCCTTTTTATGAAGGTGATGGGATGCATGGAGAGAGAGAAATGGGACTAACAGGAACAAGGATTTGGATACACAATCATATGTCTGTAAGGGATCTTTTGAAGTGACTCATTACCTGAACTTGCTACCAACTAATTAATCCAAATGCACAAACAAACAATTAAAATTGGGCACAATGTAGAAACAAGCATGGCCAACAGTGGCATCATGAAAATTGTGGCTGAACAATGTCAAACTACTTTGCAGAATCCGGTAAACAGTAGTAGAGCCAGCATCATCTGTCTTGCCACTTGCATTGTTTCAGTCAAGTGTGTTGAACCACACCAAAAGGTGTCATCAGTCAAATGTGATTGAGCGGAAGGTTGAAAGCATTGATCTAGTTGGCGAAACTGAAGCTGTAAGCCATGCAAGCTGTGGGTAGCTACATGACTGGCACTGGCATTTCAGGTCTAAAATAACATAACTATAAATCACCATTGTAACCAACCAGTTGTTCTAGTGGGGATTAATAAGAGTGACGCCATTCTTTTGTTAAATTAGATGAATACAAACACACCTAGTTTCTTTCCTTTGGGGGAATTAGCCAATCCCTCCAAAAAAGAAAAAAAATATCTAGCTCTATGTTAGAATAATGTGCATAAATGTATATAGAAGTTATCATTATTCCTCATATTCTTATGTAAGAGTTTACCACAAGTATAAACTGTTTTGACCTCTTGTTACACATATAAGAGTGTTTTCTAACCTCTCTCTCCAATAGCTTAATTACACAGCACACGAATGTTTCTTAACTTCTCTGTGACCTCTTTCTCTTATCAGTAGGTGTGTGATGTATCCTCCACAGTGAATCGTGGGAAGTTTTGAGGAGGATCCGCTCTTATTGGAAGGAGCTCGTTAGATGCCGCCTTCACATAGTCGCAATTGTTCATTATTGTGTTTTATGAAAATGCTTACTTTGCTGCACATATTTTTCCCCACCCTTTAGAAACATTGTGTAACCAGGGACAACCCTAAATAAAAGAGACCGGACAGAAAACCACTCTCAGTGGTCTTGAGATAACAAAAAAGATCTCTGTCCATTCTCCTCGAGTATATACCATTGTCTTTCTCTTCTTTATATGTTTTCAGGTATTTGGGCAGGTTTTAGACCTAACACTCTAAATATTACACATTCACACTGAAAACAGTGCAACTTGACATGAATTTTGCAGTTAAAAAATGCACAATCATCCTAACACTTGAGCCACTGGCTTAACCTACCCCTGGCCAAATGGCTCAACTTTCCCCAGAACTACTATTATGACTTTATTAGTCCTCTAAGCTAAAATGGTGGACTTTTATGCTAGATTTTTGACCTCATGTTGTAGCTCATAGATACCACAATTGATGAATAAAACAAATCTAAAATGATCTTTTTTAGTCTGAACACAATTCTAATAAAACTTATGACAGACTCAATTCACTTTCAAGAGTGAAAAATGATTTTTTGTAAATAAATGTCTAACCCCTTCACTCATGTACTTCTAACCCTCACAGACTCCATGAATTGATGCCCATCTACTAAATGTTTGGTCATGTGATCAATTTCTTTTACCATTTCCAAGCAACAGGGGGAGGCTCAACTTACCCTTTTGCTCAACTTACCCCACTCTCCCCTATAACATAAGTAATTCTGTGACATGAATGAGACCCTGGCTTTTGCTTGGATCACAAAGATTCGCTCTTTCAGTTATTGTCTTCACGTGGTCCATCTCTAATTTACTTTAAATGCACCACGGACAGGACTTAACTTCTTGGCTGAAGCAGATAGCTGTCCTTTATTGTGCATGGTTCTGCCCGGGGTTTCTGCCTCTTGAATAGAATTCCTTCCCTGCCACTACTGCTAGTCATGACGGTGTAAAAATAGGTCTCTGTGTAAAGCTCACATTAGTCTAAAATTGGTCTGGTGGATAAGTTATATGAGATGGTAACTATCAGAAATCTCAAACCACAAAAATATTGTTTGTCCCAAAAGGAATGATGGATGAAACACCTTGTCCTTACTCCTGTGAAAATCAAATTCTCCTTTTTCTTTTGTGCCCACTTTGGTTGACCCACTTCCTGTGGCCTGATTGCCGGTTGACATGGTGAAGCTGAAGCATTGCAAAAGGAAAAAGGGGGTCATTTGTCGGAAACCAAGAATATAGAACCATACAAGATGAGAGTCTGCTAAATGGCGTTGATTTGTTCTGCAGCGGGATGGAGTTACTGGGAACCCAACACAAAGGAGTGAACTGAGGAAGCTTTGTCATCAGGCCTCAGTAACCCACTCTCCACTTACACTAACCACTCAACAGATAACTTGAAAAAAAAATAAAACATCCACTCACTTTTTCAACTCGAACCCTGGCTCTGAACTCTTACGTCATTTATGAAGCAACAGGGCAATACAGCATGGGAAATTAAAGGAGTAGTCAGAGATTTTGCTCCACTTTGGTTACAGTATGAATGTAGTGTGAGCCAGCAACCTTTAGCTCATATTAGCATTAATACATAAAACAAGGATACCTCCAAAACTCACTCATAAAAGCAGATGTGGATGTCATGTCTCATGTTTTCAAATAGGACTGATGGTCTCAAATTATTGCTGCACATGGCAAACACATTAAGGTGCTGTAACAATCTGTGTAAGACTCTGAAAGATGACGCAAGTCTGCTGAATTGAAAGGAGAAGTTGGTGTAATGGTGGAAAAGGCGTCTTACAGTATGAGGCTTAACTGGAAGAGACAGTGATGAGGAGTGGGGGTCTCGCTTGGATGTGTAACAGCTCCAGCGGCACAGTTCCCCAAACTGGTTCATCCAGATAGGACTTTTAAAGAGTTCTGTTCTGCATAAATATGAGTAAAAATTCATTAATTCAGTCAGATGCATTGATGTGCATATCTTCTCTGAAAGTATTTACTTTATTCTACTTGGATTTTTAACTATTTTTTGTTCATTCTGCCCTCATTTAAAAACACATTTGTCCCCGTATTTTTCTGCACACCATGTACCGTTCCTTTCAAAACTAGTAGAACAATATAAAAACAAGAAAAAATAAAAGCGGATTGTGTTTCTAATTCTGTATAAAATGCAAAGTGTAAAACTGACAAGCATCCAACTGGGACTCCAGGGACTACTGATCCCTTGCCAAGAATTAGTCCAGCGCGTAACCCCCCCGTGAAATCGGGTATTGTCGTTTTTTCCACTTCTTGCTTTTGTAGGCAGATGGGTCATGGTGAAAATTCATGGAGACATAAAATGGGTTCAAATGAGCCCTGGGGGCCACTGTTGGCATGCTGTGAGGCTCTTTTGGACCTCCCTCACATTTGAAATGGGCCAATGCTGGAGCAGAGGGGGTTCACACCATCAGAGCATTGGGGGATGGGACGGACACCCAGGCAGTCCTCCTATTTCCAAGAACTGCAGACAGTGGCGGGTAAAAGAGACAAAAAATTTCTCCTCCCCTCTTCTTACTCCTTACGTACATAGATGGATAACCGCTGCAGATGGAGCATGCTTTAGGAGAGCAGAACTATGAATGAGACCTGATTTTGAGGAAGAACAACTACGTAGATGAGCAAGTGTTGTACCAAATATTTTATCAAGTACAAGAGGTGTTAATCAAGAGTTGGTTTATCCAAACACATTTAGAATAAAGAGCATTAAAAAAAGACTTTTTTAACATACATTACCAACATGTCCACTAACACTGGAGAGCTTTTTTAAATACACTCTGAGTTTGAAGGGGGCAGCTGAACATATGGTCCAGACCACCCAGGTGCAGGGTGCAGGCCTGTCTGCTGGTCACTGTCAGTCTCTGGCATCTGCTCGGCATCATGTCTCCAGAGCTCATTCAAAAAAATCTTCATTCTCACGATACCTGCTTGAGTTGATGAAAGTCAGAAATCTGATGTGAACTGAGGACTGTCTTCATCAGAGGGACATTAGGGCGCCCTCCTTAGTACCGGCCCCTCCCTCCTCCTCCTCTTCCTCTGCCGCCACCCCAGCCCCTCCCGCGGCTGCTGCTCAGGTGTCCCGCCGAGCGCCTCAGCTTCTTCCTCTCTTCGTGGTGCTCCCGCTCCGCCTGCTGCTGCTTCCTCTGCTGTTCCGACTTCAAAGATGAGAAAAGAAAACATGTTAAAGGATGTTACTCTCTGCGTTCCCACCAGACATTCATTAAACGATTGTTTTTTTCTTACAGAGGGAAAAAAAGTCATTTTCAAGTGAAGAGAAGTGAAGTGGCATATTTTGTAGTCATTTGGAATTTCACATCAACCAAAGTATGTCCCGTCTAACCCTCTAAGTCCTGAAGAGGTCCAAATGAAAAGTTTAAACTAACTGTATTATGTAGCATATATGCTCTTTTTTTAATGTAATGCTAGAAACAGATTTTAAAACGGTTGGTACAGGGACATGTTTACCAATGTGTTGCATCACCTCTTTGATTGACAAGACTCTGTACAGGTTTAGGAGCCAAGAAGGAGACCAGTTTCTGGAGTTTTGAAGGTGAGCTCTTGAGATTTGGGGTGTCTAATTCATGTACTTCCTGTGTTGTTGTGGTTGAAAATCTTTAAGTGCGAAAAGGCCAGTTTAGCACCCGGACTCTTCCACTACAGAGCCATGCTGTTGTACTATGTGCAGGTTGTGGTTTGGCATTGTATCTGAAAAATGTAGGGTCTCAAGGAGATGTATCAAGAGAATTACTGGATCAGGTCTACAGTTTCTTTTTTGCATGGTTCAGTTTTTACCTGCATTTGTGTATGCAGCAACAAATTTGTTTTTTTGAAAGTGACTTTGAACCCATGCGGCAATTTCCACTACAGAGCTGTGTTTTTAACATAGTGCAGTTCAAGGGCATTAATTAAGGTCCATCCGGTATCGTCCTTGAGAACAGACTTCTTTAGATTCTCTGAATCTTTTGTCAATATTACAAAAAATATTTTTCAGTTTTATGAAAAACATCCAGATCATTCCTCTGGAACTGTTCAGCTGTTTGCTCACACAGTCTCTCTGAGAGTGGGGAAGCCTTTCCCATCTTCTGATGGTCTCAGCCTCTCTAGTTTGCCCTCCTAAACCCATTATGTAAGTACCTGTACCTATGTAAGTTCCTGTAAAGTGAGGTTTTCTTTTTCACCATTACCCAACTTTAAAAGTGTTTTTTTTTCTGTTTGGCATCAAATTTAAAGTTAGCATAAAATTTCCCATACTTACATATTTCCCTACTCTACTCTATATGTTTTTTTTAAACTTTTTAAAACATGTGTTAACATGACAATGAAAATAGCAGCCACAGTTACAGAAGAGACTGACAGCACTGCTCCATGTTCATGTTCACCTTTTTGAGCGTGAAGGTCAGCTGTTTGCTGCCCACTGCTGTGTCGGCCATGTTGCTGGTTCCAGAGTTCTCCTCCAGCTTCAACCGCTCTTCCAAAGAAGCCCTAAAAGAAAAAAAAAACACACACACACATATGTATCAGAACAGAAACACACAGCAAACGCAAACAAATCGAGCAGACACATGGCAGGTTTACCACTTCACCTTCACTTAAGCTCTGTAGAGCAGTATTTTACCATCTCACTTTACTTATGTGCTGCAAAAAGGCCCCAAAACAAAGTTTCAGATTTACAGCTCGGCCAATTGAGATTATAAATTGATTTCACGCTGCCAATTGTACATGCCACTTAGCTTCTATTTTTAGCCCGCTCCTGTTTTTTTCCTGTTATTCACACTTTTGGGGACAAAGTCATTATTTTTACCAGAGCTGCTAAATTATCAGTTTTTCAAACTGTGGGAGTCAAAGGAAGACGGCAGAGCATCTGAGAGGATCTTTTCCAAGTTAATCACACTAAAGTTTTCATTTGTGAAGTTGATTTTTTTTTTACCTACAACGGAGTTATTGTGCAGCACGTGTCGACATCAGTCCACGAGTAAAAAGCCCTTGATGAAAAGTGTTTGTGTCATAACTGGTCTAATCTGGTTTGTTGTGAACCCTACATTAATGTAGACTGCTTTCCAAGAACCCAGCCTGGCTCTAACAGCTGTGTTTTAAATGATACTGAGGACGTACTTCTGCAGTTTTTGCTTGCGGCCCATGTCGTTAAAACTTCGGAACTCCTCCCCGGCTTTGATCTGATAAAACTGTGGCTGACTTGTCTTCTTGCTCTTGGCAGTGCTTGAGTTTTTATCTTGTCTGTCCCGGTCGCCCTCCAGCAGGACAGTGTTGCGGTCCGCTTCCTTCCTCTCCTGTCGTCGGCGGTCTCGGTCCTCCTGCCACAGCAACCTGCGCTGCTCCCTCACCTCCTCAACCCAGCTCTTATCATCGTCAGAGCTTTCCTCCTCAGAGGAGGCTCGGCCGTCAGGTTCTTCCTCATCCTCAGCAGCCTGGACAGAAGAGACAGAACAATAAAAGTTATGATGTGAAGAAAACAACCATAGTTACAGTTTGTGGAAACACAGCATGCCTGCAGAGATCTGCAGTGAGGAAAAAAGAGGGATTATGAGGCGTACAAGAGTTACACTTGATTTAATATTTCCAAAACAAGGACTAAATGTGGAAAGCCACTAATTTATCTGATTCTGCATGCATTGGCTCAAACCCATAAAAAAAATCTCCCCTGTGGAGTTTTCTTCTTCTTCTCCTCCGCCCTCACATGGAAGCAGCCTGGCAGCTCTTGTTTGATGTTCCTCAGTCACGTACTTTCGTCTGCAAACATCTGCGCTCAAAAGAGTTCCCATAATTCTGTGGGTGAAGTCACTCATGTTTAAACTCAGACTCACCTGTTGGTCAGCAGCAGCTTGCTTAGCCAGCAGGTGGAGCTTCTTCTTCCTCTTCTGTTCGACCTTGGAGACGATGGGGTTGAGGAGGCGGAAGTCCTCGCTCTGCTGGTCTACCTGGTAGTCAGGGTTTTCGAACATCACCTTAAAGCGGTCGTCTCCCAGGATGCTGGGGAGAGCCTGCAGTTTGGACAAAGTGAGATATTAATTGGTGTCTCCTTTTCCTCTCCTTGTTTATACATGTTCAACTTCTGAGCTGGAAAAAAAGCAGATCAGATTGAACCAACTTATGTGAAACAGAAAGTTCCCTCTTTTAAAAAAGTACAGACTCGAACAAAGTCCGAACAGAACACAAACTCATGGAGCATTTTAATCCAGAGACCACGACAGGACCTTGATTTTCGGATGTTTGCGCTCCTACCTTGCCCTTCTTTTTCCGAGCAGCCATCTCAAGCTCATCATCACCCTCCTCCATCAGCTTCAGGGCCAGCTCCTTGTTGACTTTGGGCAACTTCTACATCAGTCGGGATAAACAGCACATGAGATTTGAGACAGAGCAGCTAATACAATCCAATCAGGTTGACTTGTGAGGGAACAGATGAGAAGGAGAAACAGATTCATTGAAAAGAAACCCTAATATATAAGAATACACAGAGTTGCATACATTTGTCTTTTCTTTTTTTTTAGAAAAAGAAAATATAACTCGTCTCGACAGAAGATCTGATCAGCTCTCTTCTGCACAAGGGCTGAAGTTGTGACCTGTATCATGAAGACAGGACTTCTCACCTTAACCTGGACTCTCTGCGTCCTTGACTCCTCAATCTTCTGGCGGATCTTATCCTTACGGTACTCCTCGTAAGCAAACGGATTTGCCATGGTCTTGACCTGGAGGACCAAACAGCAACAACATTAACAACAATCACAGCTCTTTGGAACAACAGCACATAGATGATCTAAATAATGAAGCAGTACTGAATGGTTAATAGACTGTGTGTGTAAAGTGTTCCTTAGGATTGGGATTGAACCATCAACCTTGACTCTACCACGAAATCACAGACACCTCTCTAAAAAGTTCGTAATAGAGAAGCAGAGAAACCTCACCTTGTGATAAAGCCTGATGTCCATAAAGAAGCCGTGCATGTAAGCTCTCAAGAGAGTGGACCCCACCAGGTGAGACAAACCTGAAGGAAAACCGCAACATCTGAATGTTACAAAAGAAAGTATACTGAGCACAGAAACTGCTGTCTTTAAAAGACTCATGTACATATCATATTTTTTTTTACTCTATCCTTAAATTTCTCTTTTTGTGTCTGTAGTTATGCTGCTGTAATTTTCGAGTTCCCCCTGTGTGACTATTTAAAGGAATATCTCATCTTTACTTGGAATAAAACACAAAAACAGCTGACGCTCCATGATCTGGTTTCACCGGGTCATTTTAAAGCGACGCTGAACAAATCAGAGGCAGACACATTGGACTGTAGCTGTCCACTTCAGTTGATCTGGATGAGGATTTGCTGTTTTTGTTCTGTTACTAATATAATTTTAATTAAAGTTATTGTATTATGGCTGCTCTTTGTCTGTCAGAAACTTTGTTAACAGGACACTCTGATTCAGAAATTCCTTGTCTTCTGCGAATAAATCATGCAGTATTTGGTTGTCTTTATGGCTATTTTTCTTTTACTTCTGTGTTCATCATATTTTTTTGTTTTTATTGAGATATCTAATGCAAAACATTTCTTCAAACAAGTCTGGATAGATGGACGTTAGATCTGAAAAGCTAATCTAGATGGGTATAACTTAAATTAATTTAAAACACAAAAATAATTACAATAATTATGCTCCTAGACTGCCTGGCCTTTAGTATGAATGTTACAAAGATTTAATGATTGGTCTTGGACATCCCACTGCTGTGCACCTGCAGCACTGGAGGGCTGAGACCAGATTACTGTGAGTCTGCAGGGCAGGTGGGGCGGGACAGCTGTGTGTGTGTGCGTGTGTGTGTGTGCATGTGTTTGAGTGCATTTTGCAGAGTGTGTGTGTGACACTCCTACTATGTACTGCTATATAAAAGTAGCTAAAAAATGCACCATGTTGCTGAGGGGAGCCTGACACTCGAGCATTTCAGGTTATGTTCAAAACAATGACCCGCAAAGTGTAGAAAGTCAATGATTCATGCTTTTACCCTTGAGCTGTCCGGTCAACCTTTTGAAATCGAAAGTGTAAAAAAAAATGTAAAAATGACAACGCAGAAGTGTTACAGCTTTCAAAGGGTCGGCCCACAGATCATTTTTTCTGCAGAGAACTATATCTAAGGAATGGATAAATCGGTCAACTTTAATCTAATGGGGACCTGGCAGCGATGAAAGTTTTGAAAGTTGACTCATGCTTCAAATTCTTTAGAGGAAGTTAGCTGAGGAGTTTTCATACCCAGAGCCTGGAACCAGACTTGTAACATTCGACTTAACTTGGTTTCACAATCTCAAATCATTTTGTAAATCATTCTGGGCCAAAGGTGTAAAAAGAAATGGAATAAAACAATGGAGACTCCACCCTAGGATTTTCTCCTGTGTGCTGGGAATGGGAGCAGCAGCACACCCAGGTTGTATTGATTATGGGAGGGAAAAAAAACTATCAGTTGCGTCAATGCTACAAAGAATGTGGAGCGGTTACTCCCAGGATCTCCCCTCACCCAGTTCAGCCTTGGGGTTACATAACAGGGCCACATTACGTGGCTTCTGTAAATCAACACCGCTGTTCCCTTGTGGGCTCCCCTCCTTTCCTTTTATTCCACAGCAGCCAACCGTCTTCCTGCTTCTTGTCATTTGATCTCTTTACTGCTGAGCTTGCATTCCTCTGTTCATTCAACCCTTATAGTGCCCCCCTCTTTCCACTCACACTACACTTTCCTTACCTAAAGCCTCTCAGTCAATCATTCCCAAGGCCTCTAGTTAAGCAGTCTAGCCTCCCGTGCTAACCCTCGAGGCGGCAAAGTGGCTCAGACTGATTCATAGTTTTGGGTGTAACTTTCTGGGCCGTGCTTAAATTCCCCCTTCTTCCCCTATGATCTCTTCATCCCTTTTGCTTTCTAACAAAAATGTAGCCAGGTTTTTAGGGAAGAACTGGATCTCACCTAGATTTTCCAGGTCTTTGCGGGTGACAAACTTGTAGTCGTCGTACACGGTGCTCTCGGGGCTCTCCTCCAGCTCCTCAGTCAGGTTGTCGAGGAAGGAGCACCATCGAGGTGCAGGGCCCAAAGCCTGCATGTTCAAGCACACACACACACACACACACACACACACACACACACACACACACACACACACACACACACACACACACACACACACACACACACACACACACACACACACACACACACACACACACGGACTGGGTTCAGATTTAGACTGCTGAGTATTTGGGGAACCTGTCATGCATTAGCATTAACGATAATAGACCATGTAAACATTTTGGAGTGTTTGATTTCCCCGACAAACTGAGGGATTCAGCACAAGCCTCAGTAAAGCAGAGTCACTGCTTCTTTTTTTTTTCATTTTCAGACTTTATGACTGATAAAGTTCTCAAAATCTTAAAATAAACTCCTCATTTATGTTGTCCTGATACTCTGTTGTAGAAAATGAACATGTTTTTTATGGCAGTAAGTTTTACAACACTGGACTGTGATAATAATTTGATTTTGTCACCAGGTTGAAGCACATCTCTGAAGCTGCCTCTCTACCAGGATCCTCTTGAGCAGAAATGTACCATAAACGGCTCCAGATGCAGGATCAAAGATCCAGGGATTACTGAGTTTTGTAAGCTCCCCCCCTTTCACAGGTGTAAAACCTTAAACTTCATGCGGGGATCAGATAAAAACTCTCTTAGCTTTAAAAACTGGCTCGATATCGCATTCCTTTGATATCTGTCTCACAGGTGCAAGAGTTTGAGCAGATGGACATGATACAGCTCCAGACTTAACAATGCAATGGTACATTTAACATGTGTGTTAAATCTGTTACTTAAAGCCTCAACAACCTTTTGTATTAATGAGGACAGTCTCTTACTAGGAAAGAAACATTTACATTGGCATTCATAGTCACAGCCTGTCTTTATACTGTCTACAGAGCTCTTCCTGCAGGTTCTGTGCATTGATAGTTCTGCGGTAACACTGTTTAGAGACCTGAGGCAGCTGAATAATAAGGAGGCCATCTGCATCCTGGCAGCAGGTTGTAGGATATTGATTGAAATCAAGAGTATTTTCCTGGCAGCAAACCTTCATGTGACTGACTGGAAGTATCCCTGTTTAGTGTCTCACCAAGGAAACACACAGCATACAGAAAAACAGCTGAAGGGGCTTTTTTGTTCGCGGCATGTATAGTGCAGTCTCTATATGAAGAGGAGAGAGACCATTTACATTCTGTATGTTGAACATACCATGTCAAAGCTTGGGACAGGTTGTATTATTAAGACAAAATGGACTGTTCTAGTGCCATGACAGGATCCCTCAGAAGTAAAGCATATCTGATAGTATGTGAATGCATAAGTACTAGGGGTGGGAATCACTAGTGGCCCCATGATATAAGAATAATAATAATAATAGGAATAACTTTCATTAATCCCTGAAGGGAAATTCAATTGTCTGTTGTCTAAAAAAGTCTAATGGCTGTTGGTACAAAAGCTCTATTATCTATCTATTATCACGATACTTGAGCCACAATATGATTGCAATTTTTTACATTTTGCAATACAGTGAGTCTTGCGATACAATATATTGCAATCGATACAATTTTTCAACTGTTTAGCTAGTGTAGCATTTGTCTTTCCTCTATGTTTGTCTTATTTACGCAGTATTTTATTTTCATGTAGCACATCTTGCAAACCGTATGTGTCAGGTCATTTGTGCCCTGCTTGCATAATGTCTTTCCCAGGTCCTGCTATATTAGTTGCACTAACTTTCTCCTGCTCTATGATGTCACCTCTACAGAAGAGGATTAGGGCCACTGGAAAAAAAGAAAAAGACAGAAAAAAGTCAGAATTCTGACTTTTTTTTCTCTCAGAAAACTAATTTTTAAAAAATTATATCAGACCTTTGTTTTTATTTTTTATTTTTCCCAATGGCCCTAATCCTCTTTCGTACACCTCTGCAAACCTCACTGGACAACCAGCTGATTTTATTTTTCCATTATCACAGATTTGACTTCACTTTAGCAATTAATTTGAAAAATCGATACTTGGTAAATGAGATCATACGATATATCACCAGAGAAAATAATGCTGTACTATGCTGTATCGATTTTTTTCTCCCGCCCCTAATAAGTGTCCACAGTATGTAAAGGCATCATTACTGAATGATATAGTTTTGGATAGACTAAGAAGATGCCAAACTACAATCTTCATGTCGAACACGTTCTTGCACGTGTCCCAACTGTATTCAAATATGTTTCTGGCATCATTAAACAGTAACATTATCCGGTTTCAACAATTGGTTTGTTATCATAGCACAGTTTTTTTTCACCAAACAATGAAAAATTGCAAAGCATTTATTTGCGCTTTTGGACATTTTACTGAGAGTCCAAGCTCTTATGGAGTTAGGGTTGTGGAAAAACTGAGTATTCAGAGCTATGCCCAAAAGCCGAACTACTTTTCTTTTACCAAGAAGCATTTGTAGCTACCAGGCAAGAGAAATCAATAAGTGCTCCTTTTGCTCTTATGAAAAGTCCTCTGTAATATACAGGCTGTGGTCATCAGACTTTCCAAAATAAGGTAATATTATAAAAGCTCTCTGAACTCCTTTAAACCCTCTTCATTGTATAATTCAAAGTCTTTAAAGGGCCTCAAGTACTTGCTCTAACTTTTGCTTCATCAGCAGCAGCTCAGATCAACTAGAAACAAAATTTGGGAGCTCAAGAAAGTTGCAGCTCCAGCTAAGATTAACGATAGACTGCTAGATGTTTAACAGGAGGAGAGAGGAGAGCAGGGAGAGGAGCAGGGGGAGGCAGGTTGTGTGTCTGAAAAACCAAAGGGACAGAACGAGCATCATGATAAAACACAAGCCCAAGTCTGGAGGTTGATAGGACTGAACGATTTGTTTGATTCACAGCAGTGAAAGAGCTGAGACGCTTCAAGTATTTATGACATAGTGAAAGCTCAAAGCTCTTGTAACAGATAACTTCCAGAGTCCAGGGCAGGGAAAGGGTTAACTAAGATCAACTCATGCTGTCACTGAAGGGGTAAACAATGCATGAGTGGGAATCTTATAGATGAGGCAGAATCTGCTCTGTCTGTGGATAATGACGTCACAGAAGAGTCGAAGTCTACAAAGTCCAGGGTTGGCGACCCTGCCTCCGTCATTAGATCCATCATTGCTGAACTGATAACTGACAAATCGTCCAGTCTATCTGCAGAGACAGTCAGAGGAGTGTGTGTCTGTGGGGCTAAAAGTGGGTTGTGGATGCAGCGACATGCATAGGCATAAGTGGCACGTTGCTGAGAAGTCTAAACAGGGATTGTTCCTAGAAGCCTGGTTCTTGGAGCCATAAACAACCACATCAAAAGACTTCTTCAGGAAAAGGAGGGACTTTTCAAAACCATGCCCAGAGAGCAGCACAAAACCTATAGGGGGAACTTTTCTGAGACATTTCTGTGTTGATACTTGTTCTGAGTCAAATGCAAAGAGTATTTCAAAAAGCATCTCTACTCGGGGTGGACAGATATTGCTTCTTTCAGGCCGGTACTGGTTCAGATTATTAGCCGTTTTTGAGAAATAACCAATCTCTCAAAACCTGAGCTAACTAATACTTCCTTTTTTCTTTTTTTTCCTTTTGTGTATAAAAATACAAGTACCAAACATTAGAAGCATCGACAACCGCAATGGACAGAGTGTACAAACAAAACTCAACAAAACAACAATCCAGTATGAGGGGGGACAGAAAGAAGCAGAACTTATCATGTCCTACCCCTACCCTTACAGTCTCACCAAAGCATCAACATTCTACATGTTTCTGTGTGTGTGCACTTTGCACATGTGCCAACAATCCAATAAAATAGACATAATAACAAAATAACAAAGACAAATTAAAGAAAGAAATAAAAAACCAGGCAAGATTTCAACAGGAAATTAATTTTTAGATTGTGTCTTCTTCATTTCTCCTTTAATGGTCCATGAAGAGCTGTTTATAATTATGTTTAAAAATAGAGATGTTCACGCTCTTTTGTATTGTATTGTCAAGTCAATTCCATAGGGTTACCCCACAAACAGAGATGTACATGCTTTGTCTGGTTGTATGGACAACAGGATATTTTAATATACAGTGTCTTCTCAAGTAATAACCCCCCTCTATGTTACAGGTTCCTGGAACATTGTTGTTGTTGATTACATTGAACATGAATTGGCCAGTTTTTAATTTCACTAGATCCAAAAATGTTAATGTTTTTGAGATTAAGAATAAATTACTTGTATGGTCCAAATGACCGACTTGATGAATCAACCTGACAGCTCGTTTTTGCAATGTGCAATTCCATTTCAAGTTACTTTCATATTTCCCCATATTTTGACACAATACGATAAAAAAGGAGTTTTGAGTGAGTGGTACAAAGTAAATAGAGATTTTAACTCTAAAAGGGTATATGCATGAACATCTAAAATGGCAACCTCTCTGTCCAAATTTAGAACTTGAAATGTTTTGAATTCAGACAAAATCTTTTGTTTTAGTGTTAAAGACTAATGCTTAATCAAAACACAAACTTTTAGCACCAAAGTTATTTTTCGACAGTAAAGTTCGTGAACACAGCAAAAGAAGAACAACTTTCCCTGGTGAGATCTCTTTTTAACAGTCAAGATCCAAGCAGAGGTAAACATCTCACTGAGCGTGAGTTAACAGAGGTGAAACTGTGCACAGGTTTTACAGAGCTACTCCATTTAACTGCTCACGTTTATTCACAGTTTAAAAAAAAGCTTTTGTTGTTGAGATTGTCTCGATTCTCTAGGACAGCCAAGATCCAACCTCGGACTGCACATTAAAGAGGCCGTGCTGTAAACTGTGTCAATCCTATGCATACAGACAAAACAACTGATGAAACTACAACTTGTTTTGAAATAAGAACTCAGTTCTAGCCTCAGTTTTTCCACTGGGTTCAGCACATGTAGTTGTTGAACTGCTGTTTCTGGATTATTGAAAATCTCATCTTATTTTGCAATTGTAATAGTAGAAATGTTTACTCAGGGAAAGTGCTGTTGATGTGCTGGGATCTTTGTGCACCCCTGACATAAAGAAGTATCCCTCTCACTTCCCATCAGAAGAGTCCCGGTTCATCCTGTCCATGTGGCTCATGAGTGGAAATCACCCACTTACACAAAGCAAAGACCAGTTTAACACACACACACACATACACACACACCCTCTAGAGCAGCACATGCTGTTTGATCATGTCTGAGTCACAGGACACAGTGTTATTGAAATAAAGCTTAAACAAGCTTTACACATGATGCAGCGGCCTTGTGACGAGCAGATTAATGAACCCATGTCCGTAAATTTCACTCACTGGGTTAATGCCCCAGACTAGAGGCCCAAATCAAATATTTAGGACTGAGGTGACGGGCAGTGTAACGTATCTGCTAAATTAGGAGTTTGGATGAAATTAGCCCAAAGGAGGAGGAGGAGGAGGAGGAGGAGAAAGCATCATGGAAAAACTGAATGATGAAAGACTAGACTGTCACATGATGCAAACTGGCCAGAAAATACCATTTCAAATCGCCATATGAATTATAATGAGAGGTCAGAGACTTGTTGGGTCTCTCTCTGTTGGATCACGTGTCCAACAGTGTGCTCACTTCACCTCACTCTTGGCACCATTGTCAGCTTTTTGTTTTCTGTTTGTGGATAAAAAAGTTCACCTAATCATGCACTTTTTAATTTGTTATCTCCTTGTGCAATGCTGCTTTAACTGCCAAGCTGAGGGATTTCTGCCTCCAAGGGGCCCTTCAGCAGATTTAATGCGCTCAACCTGAGGCAAAAGGTGCTCCACCACAGCCTGACATGCTTAACAGGGGCCCAAACGTGCTCTAATGGCTGACATAACAAGAACACTCACAAACACTGAGTGCTGCACACTCTCCTGCACGAATGACAGTAAAGTGCTTGTCTAACATGCTGTTCATGCCGTCGGCCCAGCACCTGTTACACAGGATGTGAGTGTGGCCTGTCGGCTGCATCCTGTTTATGCAGGGCCCCCTTGAGAGAAATTAAAGCCTCTGAACTCACCGGGATGTAGAACGTGCTCATCTTTGGATCTTCATTGGCAGTGAAAAGCATACCTGTCAGAGAGACGGGCACAGGATGCAAGCAGAACAATGTAAGGACGGAAGCAGGGCAGATATAAATAAAGCTCATCTGCTGTGGAAAAACTGAGTTTAGTGTCAGTAAATCAATTTCTGTGCAAACTAAAAAAAATGTTGAGAGAAGATTAAAACTGTAAAAGGGGAGAGAGGAATTGGTGCGCTGGATTTTGGAGAGAAACATAGCAGAGTGTTTGAGATCCCAACAAATATTCCAGTGCTTTGGCGTGCAAAGACAGAACGGACAACCAGCATCTGAACTGATCTGTACGATGGCGCCACCCTGAGGTGAAACAGCTGCATGAACATTTAGCTGTAATTAGATTTCTTCCCCTGGATTTATTGTCAATTTATTCCCTCACTTATGAAGATAGACGCACAGACAGACATCTACTCTCAGATATCTACAATATACCCAACTTTTAGCTTTCATCAATGTTCATTTCTCACATATGTTCCCACTGTAATAGCTGCTATGTTTGTATACACTCTCAAACAACTGCTGCTATCAGTAAGCTTTTTAAACACTTGTGCCTATTTGGTACTGAGGTCTTTTTCTGGCTTCATGATCGTCTATATTGCAGGTAAAGGTGTCCTCACCTGAGTTAGGGTAGATGCACACATCATTGATGTTGGTCTGAGGCTGGATGGAGGAAAACACTTTGCCCTGAGGTGAAGAGAGTAAATACATGAGAGAAAAATACCAACTGTGAGAGCCAAGTAAGTAGTTTGTTGATTTAAAGGGTTATTCTGTAGTTTTTTTTTTTTTAACCCGTACTAGGGCTGCACGATTCTGGCCAAAAATAAAATCCAGATTTTGGGTTTTTTTATTCAGCGACAACTTCACCAAACTTCACTTTAAAAATAAAAATGTTTTTATCACTCAAAGCAAAGCCACCGAAAACGAAGTAATGCATAAGCCACGCCAGTAAGCGGCGCTGTAATGCTGCACAGGAAATGCACAAAAGACAGACGAAGAGTATGGAGCATTCGTATAAAGGTTGTTTTGACCGGACATGTGGAAGCGCCATAAAAGAGTTACGCTGTGTGTGACATAATCGTTTCAAGAGAGATGCAGACATCTACACGATGTTGAAATGGAAGTCGTTTACTGATTTTTGCATTCTCTGACAGGTTTTTAAAAAGTACTATTTACAGTCTCTTTTTGTGTTTACTCCTGAATTTATTTCCGTGTGAACGGGTTGATACCACCTTCAGACAGACTTTGCAGCAGGGAGTGGTTTGCTCTTCAGCTAAAACTGCAAAGCCGTACCGATTCCACACGACTGACTTGCTCTTGACCTATTTAGCCACGAAATTTTCGCCTTCTATTGCACCATGTTTGTTTACACTGGTGTGTGTGGGAACTGGGGAGCACACCCGCAGGAGGGGGAGCCTACGGTGGCTTGGAGGCACAAGACATGATAGAGAGGAAAATCAATTGTAATTTTTTTAACATCGTCACAATCAAATAATCTGATTATGATTTAAAATCAATTAATCCTGCAGCCCTATCCTGCACCCTACTTTTTTTAAACTTATTTCTGAGGCAAAGTAAATAAAAGCGGAAAAACCTTTCAGTCACTAATAAAATAATGTTACATAATCTATAATGTCAATTAACTTTATATGTTCACTAAAAGTGTTCTCCTAACTAACTCATCTAATAGGCTGAGGCAGCAGAACACGACCAACAATAACCATCATAAAGTTATTGTTCTTTTAAATGAGTCTTGTGGCTTTCTATAGTTAAAAAAATAAATTGCTGAACTTACAGTTAATAAGAAGTAAAAACAATTTGTTTAAATGGATGTGCTTGAATTGGTGTAATAACCCTTTAAAGTGACCTTGCAGTCAACTATGGCTTGTTATAGAGCTGACATCTGATGTTTCAATGAATCTTTCATAAAAACTTTTATTTCTATCTATCATCTGAACCTGAAAAAGGGTTTTAAAAAGCTCCAGGATTTCAAAATTATCCATTAACCATTAAAAGAAGGGTAGCATCAGTATAAAGACACATAACCCTTCATAACATAAGAATAAGACACATAATACTTCAGTTGAAAAGCAACTCTCAGTGCATCATTACTCATATGGAGCAAAAGTCTTACAGTGTCTTTGTTCCAGATCTTTATAATCTTGGAGTCAGCTGACAAAACCAGGTCCAGTTGGTTGTGGAAGTTGAGGGATTTGATTGGCAGGTTGTAGAAGTGATCTTTGACCAGCAAAGGCTGATTGGAGCGCAGGTCATAGAGCAGCACCTTCAAGACAAAGAAAACCTTATAATGTTCTTCATTCTGAGTCCTTACCCTCATATATTCCTGTAAAATATGTCAAAGAAATAAAAGAGCTTTTTACTCTTCTGAGCCTAAAGTTCAATGTAAGAAATAGAAAAAAAAAAAACTCAAACCCAACAATGTGATGTCAAAAGTATGGCGGAGTATAGGAGGCAGATTTCAGAGGGACAAAAATGAATCTTGAGAACAAAGTCATGAAATTAAAGAGGAAAGAGTCTGCCCACGTCACTTTGAGGAGCTGCCTGCATGAATATGGAGTCTGTGGAGCATCCTGTAATTTTATGCTTATTATAGTGTTCATGTATGACTGAAAGCTTAAATCTTTTGGCAGTATTGCACCATCCTGGCAGAAATACCAGGAACCTGTGAAAGACACAGAGTCTGAAGTTTGACTTCAGTGATGTTCCATGAGGCTCAATTTAGTGGAGGCGGCTTGGCGCCCTTAAATGAGCTGCCTGCCTGATAACACCCTGAATGTTATTATACATAGAACTATAATCAATGACTATGAATGACATATTAAACCATGACCAATCTCAACTTTCCAGATTTAGTTCAGTCCTGGGTAAAGAAAAGGGCATACAGACTCCCAAATCACTGCATATTGACTTATTTTACCCTTTCTAAATTATGGTGCAAAGGTTCAGGGAAACAGGCTTATTCCCATTTCTTCAGGTCTGAAACTCTACATTTTTACCTCATAGTTCTTAAAACTTCACCAGTAATGTGTAAAGTAAGGAACAATCTACTTCTAGGTTAAAGTTAGAGGATGCTCTCTGAAAGAAATGGGGTTATAACTTTAGAAAGAAGTTCAATTCAAAGACTTTAAGTGTTTGTGCGACAGAGAAAAGTCTTATCTGTGGAGTTAAATGATGAACAGACTGAATACAGAATCAGATCAGCGTCAAACCACTTTAAAAAGACGGATGAGTAAATGATTTTCCAGAGGTATGGAGAGAGGAAGGTCTGAGGTAATCACTGCAGGTTTGATTTCATTGATCTCCTGTTAGACTGAAGCTCTGTGTCAATGTAGTGATTTATTGAACGGCTCACCTGTCCTGTGCTGGTGCCAACAGCCATAGTGAGGGAGCTGTTAAACTTCAGAGCACTTATTGATGGTAAACTCTGAACTCTGTAGTCAAAAAGAAAAGTATATCATACCACGGGGACAGGGAAGGCAAAGGTACAAAGAAAAAACATCAGACAAAACCCTCGAAGCTGCATGAGCGTCATTAAATCCTTTCATTCTCAGCCTGGTACCCACTCTGTTCCTTCAGTGACGCTGCTCAGGGCGCAGTCTAGCTTGCCCACTCTGCTGCGGACACGAGGGTCCCAGCACTCCACCCTGCCCTGGTCATTAAAATGAGAAGAATACAGACAGTCAGTCAGGTGTGTGAGGCTGGAAGATTTAACCTCAGTGAGAGTTTTTTTTAAACAGAAAGGACTTTAAAGGATCGGGATCAAACCCCTCATACTGGGGGCTCCTAGAAACGTGAAAAAAATTACACTTTGACACTCAGAGGCCATTTAGCACTCTTTGTTTCCATCAGTCGAGTGAGTGTGGGGTGCTTAATCTTAACAGAGAGAAGAAAGAGATGTATTCTCTGGTGATAAAAAAAAACGTTAAGTTTCATATTGTATCATCTTTGGTAAAAAATGAAAACAAATGAAAACAGGCAAAAAAACAACATCTTATTCAGCCAAGCCTCTGAGGTTACAGCTTTAGTGACAGTGCAGCCGTACCCACCAAGACTTTTCTGTTTTATACCGCACTGAGGTCTAAGGGGAACTTCAACAATGAAATCTGGTTGAAAACAGTGAAATCCGGACTGAAGTTAAACCTTCATTTCAACAGCAAAAGTCTGACTAAGGCCACTTATCCACCAGAGGACTTTGAGAAGATTTGGAAAAGACTCCTAGAAAACTATCAGCTTACACCTGCTCACATCTAAAGACAAGTGCTTCGAGTTTTTAGTCACAGCCTAGTCTCAGACTGAGATTTTACAAAGACTGTGAAACTTGCAGGGTCACTGTTAACGAGACTACAACTACAAGTTGTCTACTCAGATTCTTAGAAGTTCTTAAAGCTAAAATTTAGCTTTTCATTGTACTGAACATTATAAAGATAGTGTGTAGAACAAGTCTTTGTGTGTTGGAGCATACCCTCAGTAATTAACAGCTATACCATCACACACTCAGTAGCACTTTCACTTGTTTCACACTCAGCCTGCTATGACACTTACCTCAGAGGTTCCTGTGGCGAACAAATGATGGACCGGATTAATGTCACACACATTGTTCTCCCTGGGTAAGAAGTCAAGAGAGAAAAGAGGCATCATGAGCATTAGAGGTGGGTGCAATTCATTGATGAGTCGATGCATTGCAATGCTTCACGTAAATTAATTCAATTCTTAACATCGATGCTTAAAATGAATAAATAATTAAAAACATTGATGCTTTGCCGCAAGGCTGGAACCAAAAACACATAACTGGAATCTTAACGCATGCGCCGCTGAGACTGTTTAGTGAGTGGGACCACAACAACAGAGCACGTTAGTTTCTTTGCAAAATGGCAACAGCATTGACTGTATAAAGAATGGACGCCGTCTGCCTCCTCACTGGGTGAAGCCAGCCTGAGAACAGCACCCTCTGGTGACAGGCTGATTATTTATTTACAAATATAGCCACAGATGAAGACAAAATCAATCCTCTATGGAAAAAAGCATAAAAAATGGCAATAATCGAAAAATCTTGGCACCAATAATCAAATCGACAATCATTATAATCAAAGAATCAAAGCTCCCATAATCAAATTCAAATTGTGAGGTACACTTGTTGGAACACCCATAATGAGCATCATCTCAGAGCTGATCTGTCAGTGACAGTTTGCACAATAACCCCCTCACTATACAATAAAGAGAAAAAAGCACTGGTTCTGTGCTTTAAATCAATCAACCTGCACATATGAACAATCCGATTTTACTCACACAGCATCAGTCTGAAGTGAGTTGAGGAAACGTCCTTGCTCCAGATTCAGCCTGAACACTTCTGAACTGAAATGAAAACACAGTTTGTTCCAACCAGGTTACTCCTATATGTCTAAAAGTGTCTAAACACCTGTATTACAACAACACTCTTACCTGGTCCCCACAAAGAAGAGGTCACAGGAGGGGTAGTGGTAAGAAAAGTCCCGTCCAAACTTTGGAATACGTGTCTTATAGTAGTGTCCGTGCTGCGAGTGGAACTCTACGTATCGATCACTGTGCAAAAACACCAGCTGCAGAGACACACAGAATGACAGATATCAGGTCTAAACATGAAAGATGCACAATAAATATTATTAAGTATGAGAAAAACAGGAAATGAAGCTGCACTGTCATGGTAAGGCACTCAAAAACACTTAACACATACTCTGAACATGGTACAAAGAGTAGAGCTGAAAAACAGCTTAAAATGACCATTTCGTCAGGCAGTAACAGCAAGACTGCATTCAATTCTATCAAGCTCGCACCACATCTGAACACTAAACATGGAGGCTGCTGCACCAAAGTGACAAACTCTGGACTGAAAAAGGAAGGGTGAATGTCCTTGTTCTAGCGAAAGGGCCAAACAGAGAAGGAGGTTGAATTCAGAGCTCTACCGGCCCCTCTGCAGGAGAAACCTCATCTGTAGGAGCTTCTGATCCACACTATGTACTCTTTAGAGACTGCCTTACCAGAGCTGTACAGCAAAATTCGTGACAACATGTCCAGTGATTTTAAAATGTGATATTAGTTTTAAAATAGTCATTTGGAGCTCTGACATTTGTCTCATGTCATCCCTGAGCATCACGCTCAGCGCTCATACAGCAGAGCACGAGAAACAGATTTATTTGTGAGTTTTACAATGCAAGAGTAAGTTGGCAACATCTTTAGCTCATTCTTCATTTTTTTTGTAAATACAAGCTTTATGTACAGTTCTATTATGTTGAAAAATTCAAGTATGGGATTTGGACTTGGTGTCAGTAGATACTTGTAATCAAAAAACTAGGGGGGCAGGTGATCACGACAAGCCTTGTTTGCTTTTGTAAGAAATAAAAAAGCACCACCTTTCATTTCAGTCAATCTCATAACTCCTTAGAGGTCAATTATATTGTAATATATATTTCTCTGCAATAACATGACATCATACATTATCTGGCCACAACTACATCAAACATAACCAAGGAAAACATGTCAGGTAAACAATACAACAACTCTGGTTTGGGCGGGGAAAGCTCTGTCTTACCTTGGAGTAGTCATCGGACAGGATGTCAAAAGCCACAACTTTAGGGGAAAAAGAGGAAAGAAATTGATTAATATTTGACATAAATGTCATTAATAACACAGTTGTAGCGTATCAGGTGATTTACCATCTGAATCCAGACAGCGCTCAAATTTCAGGGACAACTGGTAGGTGTCATAGCAGCGTATCCTGGGTTTATACGTGCCTGAAATCAACCAACAGCTTAAGTTTTTGCATCTGTCTCAGTTTTAAGAGATGTTTGGATGAACACTCTCTGCTGTGTTAGCTCTTACCTGCTGCCAAGATGAACTGACCATCCCTGGATACTTTGATAGAGTTGCACACTGTGGGCATCTCAAAGTCTTGGATGAGCTCAATTCTGCGCTGGATGTCTGAAGTAGAATAAAGTCATAAAAGTTAAATAATAAAGACTGAAAATTCAGAGCAGATCACCTGTGAGGCTGAAGAAGTTAACTTACCAACATCTTTCTTCTGTAACTGTCTCTTCTTTCGATCTGACAGCCACTGCATAACACATGTAAAGTGTTCAGGGTTGGATATCAAATTATAACACAGTAGACCACAGGTTTATAAATAATGCTTAATTACAAAGCTATGGCTCTTACTGCTTTTACATCAACTCTTGGGAAGGCTCATTTTAGCACTAGTACGTCGTGAAACTTCTTCAACTGACAAACTATTCATAAAAATTAACGCTAATGCTTTAAGACATGATGATATAAGGACTAAAAATACCCTTGTTTAGACTAGGCTTGTTAGCTACAAAGCTAGGTGAAAGCTGAAAACTTCAAATTTATTAAATGTATCTCGGCGTTAAGACATAACTTCAACCCTTACCTCCGGGAGAGACTTTCCATGGCTTAAGTTATAAATCTTCACATCATTCACACTGGATATCTGCATTATAGCAACTGAGAGAGGCTACAGTCAAACATAACACTGTTGCTAAAAACCGGTGAACTACAGTAGACCCACGTTGTTGCTCCAGAGGAAAAATAACAGGAAGTGGAATTGAGTTTTCAGAAATATGTCCGAGTCGAAACTACATTGCGTGCGGGAAGTTCCCCTCTTGTTCGTTTAAAAATGTGAAACAAAATGGAATGTTTTTTTCTGTCCGCTCTTTTATCCAAAAGACCAAAATATAATTTGTCTTGTCTTTCTCATCGCAGCCTCAGTCAAAAATAGGACCAAAGTGCGACTGAGCACGATATCACGGAGGCAGTCGTGGAGCATCTTAAGCATGCCCCTGGACGGTCTGGCGGTGGGGGTACAGGACTTTGGTAAATAATTAGGGACATCCCCACAAATACTTATTTTGTGTGTGTGTGTGTGTGTGTGTGTGTGTGTGTGTGTGTGTGTGTGTGTGTGTGTGTGTGTGTGTGTGTGTGTGTGTGTGTGTGTGTGTGTGTTTCTTTTTTCTTTTTACAAATTATTTTTATTGTATATAGTTTTTTTTTTCTTTTTGCAATCAATTTGCTAATTTCATTCGTAAAAACTTATTCAGCAATAAGACCCCCCCCCCCCCATCATGTGTTTGCTCAGCCCTGCTAAATTCTTGTACATTTTTTTTTGTTTTGAAATTATTTCATTTAAGTGTAATTGGTATGTTAAAAATAAAATGTTTAAGATAATAAATGTAAATAATTTCTTTCCAAAATCCTTGTTTAAGGTATTTATCTGCAGTACACCTTTGACCTACCACCTTTGGCTTATTGAGGATGTTGGCCAGTGCTTACTTTGTAAATCTAGACAAGGTGAGAAATTGGCAATAGCATGGGCAGAAACATTTTTTATGCACAGAACATTGGGCTTTCAAGCTAAAGGTCACGCAAGTAACTTTATTTTTTTGCAAGTTACAATGTCCGACTTGATAGTGTTAAACAAATAGTCTCTGGGATAGATACTGTGTAATTTCCAAGTAGCCTGACCCAGCAGGTTATACCTGCTCAAATCACCTGGAATGATGTAAGCGCTGCCTGTGATCCTAGAGGACAAAGAGCTGTCAGTTAGTCTCAGGTGGAGCTGCTGCTCAGGCTCTCTCACAGAAGGACTAAAACAGGAATGTCATGAAGATAACGTGAAGGTGAGAATCCCTGGTTTTAAATGCTTTTCCTTTTCATTTCTGTGACACATATATTTGTGCCATGTAGACAGAGCAAAAATGAAATGCTATTATGATTTCAGGACATTCAAACTTTGTAAAAACAAAATAGATAAATAAGAAGGTAAAATATTTACCTTGGCTGAAATGTTAAACTGACAATGCCAACATGACTTGATGGATGGTTATGGAGTTGCTTTAACTGGATGTTTGCTTTCTAGGGGTGACAGTGTGTGGGGTGCCAAAGCCTGCCCTCTTCACAAGGATTTTGTCTGGATGTCTCCATGAGCAGCACTTGGAGTCATGACAGAGTTTTGGTTGATTTCTGTCCCTTTGGACAAGACCAGTTTAACCAGTGTAGACAAACTGAAACGGACAATGGCCAAAACCAACCTTGCCTCCTGCTGCAGGTTCTCCATCCCAGAGCTGAAGGTAAGATTATGCGCTTCTTGTTTTTCTGAGGGGCCTGAGAGACCTAAAGTAGAGTAAATATTTGCATGAGAGCTAGACACAAAACGGTTTCATCCTTAAAACAATGAGGAAGACAAATGTTTGTGTATGCTAGTTTTGTACAGTATAGTGCAGCTGAGGAGACTGATGGTGTTTGGTGTCCTTCTCTGGTGAAGGTGCACGGGCTCAGGTTGCTCTCTACAGTTTGAGGCAAAATTTCCACCTGACCCATTTCACTCAACGTGATCCAAGCTCACCTGCTCACATTTTAACAGCAGGCTTTTCACCCGTTGGAAATTCTGAACAGTAAAACCGTTCACACTGAGTTATGAAATGTCGTATGTCGGTGCCCTGGGTTTCATTCTAAAAAAGTCAGTACATGCATAAGTGTTGTTTGTGTGACAAGAGCTCTCTGTGATGTGAAATCGATGATACAGTAACACTAACTGTGCTGTCTGTGCTGTGACCTCAGGTGGGAATATTGGACAGTCTACTCAGCGTGTCAGATGATCTTTCCAGGCTTGACACACTGACTGAGAGGTAAAAAAAAAAAAAAAAAAATCATGATGATGAAGAAAAGTGAAAACGTTGCTTGTGCTCTGTTGAAACTTTCCTGTCTTAGTGGTTAGTTTGTGTTCGTAGCTCAGGATGCACATCAGTCTTTAAATAAGACTTGCAGCTCTGAGCTTGTCTGCAGTCTGCACCATGATTAATTGATGGTCAGGAGTCACTGATGGGTTGTTTTCACTCCTAATTTTAAATTTATTGTTGGTATATTTGAGCTGGAGAGCTTTAAGAGGGGACTTTTGAGCATATTTGCAACATGATTTCCAAACGTGGATAAACCTCAAAGACCTCCCCTCGTATTTCGTCTTTTTATTTTTTTAATTTTGATAAACTGCTGTCTGAATCTGTCTTCAGCTATAGGCTTGCACCTAAATGGATCAACTTGTTCAACATTAATAGTTTATTGTAGGCATTGTCAGTATCAGCGTTGCATGAGTTTGAAGAAATTGTTTGAAATGTATGGCGTCAAATATGTGAAAATTCAGATTTTTTTTTTTCTTCTTGTTATCCGGTCAGTGTGATTAAAAAAACTCATCAGTGTTTAAGGGAGGTGATGGAGCAGTCAGATGACAAAGTGCTGGAAAATGCCTTAGCCAATGGAGGTGAGTCACACACACACACACACACACACACACACACACACACACACACACACACACACACACACACACACACGCACACACACACACACACACACAGACGCTGAGGGTGTTAATTACAGCGTATAGAAACTCATTCAGTAAGTGCACAGAAGCCTTAAGCTACATTGAAATGCTAATGCACTAAGCACTACTGAAAGACAGCTCCGTATGCATGTGTACACACCAACATCCGCTCCCAAAACACTTAACCCTTTACTTGTATTAGCCTCCCAGGAAAGATCAACTCAAACGACGCTAACCCAACTTCTCCTTCTCTGATGACTCTCTATCAGACCACAGCATGACTCAGAGAGCCGTCCTGTCCCCCCTGAAAGCTTACCTCAAGTCTCTGAGGGGTATTTCATCCGCTGAAGTTTGCTCTTTGAGCTGCTGTGTGATTCCTTACATGAGGCATGCATGGTTTTCTGGCAAGGCTGCACCTATAATCAAAGTGTAATCACAAATTTACTTCAGCACAGTGTAATATCCCTATGAAACCACGTGATATGCAACTTTTTTTATTTTTTTTTTATAATGATGATGTTTGTAATAAACTAGCAACCAAGCTGCCAAAACTTTAGTGTAATAAATACAGAGCAACATTTTTGATGAAGGGAAATCAGCAATGTAAACTTCATGGTAAAAGTTAAAGATAAATTTTGTCACAAACTTGTTTTCACTAGAAAAAAAATAAAATAATTTACTGTAAGCCTAACAACAAATAACCTAATTTCAGTCATAACATAACTTTGACATAACATAAACTTTACAGAATTTTTCTGTAGGTCATACAATCGACGGTACATTTCTGTAATGTTGTAATGAATGCAAAAGATGCAGCATTTGCAAGTAATTATTTTACAGTATTCTTCCATTTTTAAACAGTATCAGTGTTTTTAACAGTAAATTAATGTGGTTTTTTTTACAGCCAAAAGATGTCTATTTTACTGTGACAAAAAAACTCCTCTAACTTGTTTTTTCTTTTTTTCTTCATTTACAGTCTTTTATTGACGGGGTATAAAGTTTTTTTTTACCGTTGAATCTACAGACAGTTATTTTCTGCGCAAAATAGTCATACTCAGATATAACATCGTGATTTTGATTTTTAATGTGAAATACAAATTGTAATGCAAAAAAAATGTATATATATATAAAGAACATGTTGAATTAACCGTTAAATAATATGGGTGCAGCACCAGATGTCAATCTTATTGTGGTATGGTTGTGTGTATGTGTTTGTGTTTTTTATTTTTATTCCTCACTTAAACTATGAACTTCTATCTGTTTTCTGATTTTTTGATTTTTTTTTAGTGGATCTTATGAGCTACATGACCAAGTTTCAATGGGACAAAGCCAAGTACCCCACAGCCCTGCCTCTGTCCAGCCTGGCAGATATCATCAATAAGGTACAGACATGTTCATATCAAATTTATGAATTTTTGAATATTCACATTTGATTGTGATATTGTTGCCTTTAGAGCTACACACTGCAGTACAGGGAAATATATACAAATAGACAAACAATTATAAAAAGCCAGCTGCAGTCACAGAAAACACAACAGAACACTGTTTTCCAAATTAAAAGAAAAGTAATTAATAGATATGTGATCAAGGTGATCTTTTATCTAGTTATGAATCATACTTGAAGTTCCTTTAAGAAACTTTTGATTTGCATGTATTTCAGTGCCCCCTTGTGGACAGAGCAGCCTTTACTTTGTCAACATGTGAAAAAGTTTCTGTTTTCGCTATTTATTTTGGTATGCGCACATAAAGAGTATGAATAGAGTGTGATTGAACATTTATGCTCATGAAATGTTTTAGCTGGTTTCAAGGTTTTCACACGCACTTCCAACAGGAAGTCTCCCAGATGGAGACAGAGCTAAAATCCCGAGCTGTGGTTTACAACAATGCAAAAATGAGCCTGCAGAGCTTTGAGCACAAAATAAAGTGAGTAATCTCAGATTGAGGCAAATTACATCTTCATGATTGTATCCACTGTGAAATAAAGATCTGGAGGGTCTGTCTTTGCAGCGGGAGTTTACAAACTCGCAGTCTGAGTGATGTAGTAAAGAAAGAAGACCTAGTGGTGTCAGAGTATCTCACTACTCTACTGGTCATGGTCAGCAGGTCAGTTACACATACACACTGACCGCTTTTCTTACTTTATTACATCAAACAAGTTTGTGATAAAAATTATCTGTGAATGTTTATTGTTGATCAGAGGAAGCTACCTGCAGTGGGAGAGGACTTATGAATCTCTGTCACAGTTTGTGGTTCCTCGCTCCAGCAGGTGAGCTCTCTTTAAGCACTATCTGGGCTGTAAGTGAAGACACTCCACCTGATCAGGGTGCAAGTGCACCTAGAGTCCTGTTCTCAGCATCCAAAAGGTCAGGCTCAGCGACAACAGGTGTTTTGTTACCAGCAGAAAGTAAGAGTACATGTATCCTGGCTTAGCAGGACAGAGGCACATTTGAAACATCTGAAAGCTTCATGTTGTCATGCCAAAACTTGCAGCATGCATAAGCAGGAAAATATAAGGAGAGTACCATGATAGCTGCAGTCTTGGGCCAACAGACTTGGTCTCCATAATTCTAACTGTATCTGACTGCACTTTTTTTTGCCTGAAAACGCAAGAAACTGATGCAGTAGGGCAGTTTTGCTGCATTTAAGACCACCACAGCAGAACCAAATTAAAGAAAAATAGATAACGATTGCAATATGGACGCTTGATGTATCTATTTTGGTGCCCAAAACTACTGTGGGATGCCAAATGGTGCCGAATCAGCTTCAGTTGACATTGTACAGTCAACAGAAAACAGGGAGATATACTTTTGACGGAAAACATAACTTGTGCACATACAGGACAAAAAAGCCACAGATATGATGTATCACTTTGTCCACAGGGGGCGCCAAACCTGGCACATACTAACAGTCCCCTGTCAGAGCTTTAATGATATTGAATATAAAATATATCAACTTTTCTTTCTTTCAAAAAGTTTGATAAAAAAAACAAAAGTTTTATAAGTGTTGTCAGACGACCTTGCGCATGTTTGACAGTCTTATCTCAAGGATTGTGGGCTGTAAAGTTTGCAATCACTTCCCGTATCTAAACTCAATACGACCAAAGTGCTTTCTTGTTTCACTTCTTATTTTTATGCTTGTTGCTTAAACTTTCATTTGTATGATACCCTCAGGAAGCTGTACGAGGACAAGGAGGGAGGCATTTTCTCTGTCACACTCTTCAAAAGAGCAGTGTGTGAATTCAAAGCCAAAGCCCAGGAGAGCAAGTAAGCAGGATGGATTGACAGAGAGTTCTCTATCAATTCAAAGCTGTGTTATCTGTGTCAGATTGACCAAAGTGTAGCCTCTGATCCACACAGGTTCAGCGTGCGCGAGTACAGCTTTGATTTGGAGGAGAGGAAGCAGCAGGAGATGAAGCAGCTCAGCATTCACAAGAAGGAACAATATGTGAGTCAAACCTGGTGTGCTGTCTGAGTATTTAACCAAATCCAAGAAATAATGAGGTAAATCTGTAACAGAGTCACATAAATATGTAGACTAAAAAGACAAATTAATGAAGTGATCACATTTATACCCCAAAAGTATGCAAAAGAGCAAAGGTTGGCTTTATCTAAGATGCCGAACAAAAAGGAACCTGGACGAGACTGTACTCTATTTACAAAGACTTGATGTAAAGATGGGATCAGACTGAGCCCAATCTTGTAAGATCAGACCCACTCCTATCCCATCTTCAACCACATGAGTGAAACACTTTACAACATTTATGAAGCTACAGTGGAGAGGAAGAACTTCCTTTAACAGGCAGAAACCTCGAGCAGAACCAGACTGATGTTAGACAGTCATCTGCTGAGACTGAGCTGGAGCTTAAGAGAGGGGAAAGAGGAAGATGGAAAGCAGTTAGGCATATGTCTGCAGCAGTAATCCAGAGGAACCTGTGACATGATGGAGCACAGGGACTTTCAGAAAAGACTGAGAACTAGAGACTCTGATGGGACATGATGATTCAAAGTTCATGATACAGGCAGATAAAGGAGGGAAAGCTGCTGAATGTGCCAATACTCCTGGGAGTCTATGCCACAACTATGAGCTGGCCTAGAGGGAGGCGAAGTGTTTGACCTTTGCTGCAGCAAGTCATTTGGGAATATTTTTTGAGTCAAATGCTGATTTTTGTTAACTATCTTTGTCTCATATTACCAATTCTGCAAGAAAGAGCGGCATTTGTCTTCATTCTGTCTACAGTCTTATGATTCTTTGACCCAAAGTCAGCAAATAGAGACTTTACTCTTTTTATACATCTTGGGCTGGTGACAGCAAATTATATCTTTAAATCAGAAGCATTGGAACCAAACAACAATGCCATCAGCATACCTTTTTTTTTTTTACACCAGTGTGTACAGAGACTATACAGTATTAGACTCCTACCTCAGCCCTCTGCTTTGTGCCTTACCCAGTTCCTGGGGAGTTTGTTTAGATATGTGTTAGTGCTGAGGTGTTTTACATCATGTCTCCTCTACAGGGGATCTTTGTACGCTGGCTGAAGGTGAATTTCAGTGAGGTCTTCGTCGCCTGGATTCACTTAAAAGCTTTGAGGGTGTTTGTGGAATCAGTCCTCAGGTTAGAGATTCAAACATGACGATTTCTTTTGTCATTAACACAAAATACTGTAACTATGAGAAAAGTACTCATCATGATGTATTCATCAGGTATGGGTTGCCTGTGAACTATCAGGCCCTCCTGCTGCAGGTGGACAGGAAACGGTCAAAAAAACTGAGAGATGTTCTCTCTTCACTGTTCATGCATCTGGACCCCACCGCCCCTGCTGGCAAGACAGAGGTATTATTGAAGCTTCATGTTTCATCTCTTGGTCTTTTTACACCTTCTCTAAAATGCAAAATCATTAGAAAACATTTTTACACACACTTCTACGCTTCAGTGATCCCTCTGTTGTCATGGTACTTGAACCTATAAGAGAGACGGTCAATATTGCATCAGGATTAAAACGAAAAACCATGTGCCGTGGTTGGATAAAAATCCAACCCTCTGCTGACTGACTAATGCCTTTGACTGAATTTGTCACTGTCACAACCAGGGCGCCGTTTATAGCATTGTTAAGTGCAAACCAACAAAATCCTTAGCAGGGGCTGCAGCCATGTGCCACTAAACAACACGAACTCAGAAATGAGGAACTTTTTTTTTTTTTTTATTAATTATCCCATCTAAACAAAGTTGACAGACTGGTTTAAAGTCAATGCAGTCAGTGTTTTTCCCAAACTCACAAAGCTGGTACATCAGTATCTTTGCATACCAGAGAAGAACTTGATTAATCCCCGAAGCGATACATTTTTTGTGTCAAATGATTATTTTTGTAAACTATCTATGTGTTATATCACCACGCAGTATCATAACTTTGAGAATCAATCCAGTACAATTCAGTACATCCCCACACACTACTACGAATTTTATCAATTGAGTTGCTGTGGAAACTTAAAATTATTTTTTCTTAACAGGTAAATGACAGTTTACAGTTATTTTTCCTCATAAATCAATCGAGAAAGTTGCTCAAGTTTTGCAGTCTTGGGGGCCCAGTAGTCAAGGTGCATACCCTTTATACAGGCAGCCTGATTTCTTTGCCTGTTTCCTGCTTCGTCAACATTCCTGTTTTCTCTAGTAAAGACCCCCAAAAGCCTCAAAATGAATTAAAAAAGGCATTTTTAAAAGAGAATTTAAGAGCGGTGGAAACAGCTTGATACTAGACTCTTAACTGTCCCTGGTGAATGGTTTATACTGATAAGTGCTCGACATAACAGCTCCTGCCATCAGTGTATGAACGTGGTGTGAATGGGTGAATGGTGTTTGTAGTGTAAAGCTCTTTGAGTGGCAAAGGGTCCAGAGAAAACACAGTATAGACACAGTCTACTCATCATTTATTGGCTGCTTTTAGTACAAATGGGTTTGTTTTATGACAGATTGTTCTAGCGCGATCTCATGGCTTGTTTGATTTATTGCGTGTTTTAATAGTTTAGATCCAACCAAAGCCAATACAGCAAACAAAGTCTCCAATTAAAGCAGCAGTGGACCAACAGCAGCGCCTTTATTTCAAAGGTCAAAGGTCAAATCTTACTTTTATTGTACCCTCAGGTAAATTTTGTTTACAGTGAATCACATGTATGTCAGTAGACGAACACACAGCACAGAACATACATATAAAGTGACAACAGTGCTCGGGGGTAAGAGATTAAAATTCATCAAATAATCAAATCAGGCCAAATAAAACTCAGTAAAACCAAATAAAAACCAAAATGAAACCCAACTGCTCTCAAGGTTTCTTCCCCTTGTTAATGTGCCTGATGGCTGATGGAATAAAACCTTTTTTGTACAGCTTGGTTTTACAGGCTGGTAACTTGAGTCTCCTGCATGATGGGAGCTGCTGAAACTCAGCTATTTGGTGGTAAAGACAGATGACTGTTTTTTGTCAAGCCCGACTGCTGTTTTACAAGAAGGTCCACCTCTACAGGGATTTTAGCAAATACTTTTAAGAATATTCACGTCAGTGTCTGAACACACATGCTGCTTTTTAAAAATGACATCTGACTCTTGCAAATCCCTCCCTGCACTTGGCAGTCCACAGTGAGACAGATGAGACTGCAGGCTACCATGCATTATGCAAATAAACCTCAGGTGAATAAGACTCTTCTGCACAAAATAACAACCTGCCAGTTAGAATAAGTTCATTTGAATGCTGCACAAAAGAGAAAAACACACATGCAGGGCATAGATTGTTTTCACTGATGCCACACTGCTGTTTGTGTTTTTTCTGTCCGTCTCCACCTGATAGGTGAGCTTTGACATCCCAGGACTGTGTCAGCAGGAGTACTCCTCTGTCATCTGCTTCAATATCAACACCAACCTGCTGGAGATCAGCTAGCAGAGAGAGGTCGCACACAATGACCAAAAGAATGAGGGGACTGATACTCCTGCTCGAACAGTTCCAGTACAGTCAGAAGTGGGAACATTAGGACCCTCGACAAGTGGAGAATTTATCCAAAAATATCTCGGTTTCAACATTTCTTGTGGGCCGGGTAAAAACATGGAGCTTCCCTCGGACAGTGGTGTAAATAATCTGTGAAGAGTGGATGACTTTTGGTGTTCTTTACCAAAATAAGAGCAGTGCATGGAGATGTGCTGCACACTGAACTGTGGAAATATTTAAGAAAAATTCTGTAAATATGTAAGTCAGTGTAAAGCTTAGATGTTTAAAGTTGTTTTCCCTCCAAGTCCACAGGCCATCCTGGAATAATGAAGCACATTTCTGCTCTGTTGGATCACAATTTATTTAACTGTATAGGCTTCTCTATGAAGGCAATCAGATCCCCCACGCAATTAAAGCTACTGACACCCTGATTTAATCAGCAGCGTCGTTTCTTAAGGAAGAAAAACCACACCACAATGGATGGACGGATCCTAATATATATCAGCTGAACCTAATCCAACCTGGGTGATGGTTCGGCTGGTAGTTTAACTGTGGGTTAGTGAGCTTCATTGCTGAGGTTAATGAAGCTGGTAAAGCATGATATGATAAGAAGTGTCAATGTCTAAGTATGCCTACAGTGTGTGAAGATGTTATCAGCAACTGGAGAACTGCAAAGACCCAGCTGCTTCTTAAAAATGGACCAGGACCCAAAACAGTCCCAGTACCTTATCTGACCTTCTCAAAGGTTCCTGTTTGGTGTTGTAAAATGTCATATATTTCCCTCTTAACACACTAGCTGTCAAAAAGTACTTGTTTAACACAAACTCAGTTGATTTTCGCTTTCTTACAGAGTGCTAGTCAGCACATCACCAGCAGAGGGTACTCTATCTCACTCTCTCTTACCATCTAATTTGCAGCATCTATTCTTCCAACATTTAATTTAGCCTCCACACATGATTCTTTAAGAATCAGTCATGTTGAGATAGTTCTTACTGGTAACAGTCACAAACAGTAAAGACTGTTTATTCCTTAATTAATGACACCACACTAAAATGTGGCTTAATCTGAAAATATTCAAATGCAGAACTGAGTCCTTGAGAGAAAGTTTCACTGCAGTGCTGATAAACAACTGAAGGAATCATCTGATACGGTAGCCAGAAAGGGTCAAATGCACAAATATTTCATGAATACAGAAACATGTTTGTGAACACAAAAAATATAAAATTGTAAAATATATAATATAAAATGTAAAATGCCAAAACAAGAGGTGGTGGTGAATCACATAAAGACAGTTCATGAAATCTAAAACAAAATGCCAAAAATATTTCGTAACACACAAAAATATTCCTCAAATGAGAAATAATTTTGTTTTGTGATATAAAAATATATATATATATATTAATTAATATTCTCACATTTCATCATTTTGTCTGGGTTTTGTGAAATGTGTTTATGTGGGTATATTATTTTACCACAAGAAAAAGAAAAAAACATTTTCTTAATTGTTTGCGATATACTTTTGAGTTTCTTCTTCTTTATTTATCTATTTATTTTATTATTATTATTATTTTTTACACATTTTTTAAATTTCTTTTTTGGTGTGTGGTCTACAAATTCTTGTGCAGTTGACCCTTTAGGGCCACTATACAACCAACAGCAAAACAGCCCTCATACCCAAGAGGGAGGACCTGCGACAGCCTTTGTGAGGGAAGGGAAGTGAGAGAGAGAGGGAGAAAGTCAGAAAGAGGGAGAGAGGCGCTCTAGCCGGTCCTTTCAGCGCGTGGAACAGTCGTGAGAGGACACAGTTACGCACCGGAATCATGGATCCTGGTCATCAACGTTAAAGCGCCACTTTTACGCAGCAGGGTGTTTCTAAAATACGCGTTAAAATGTGGACAATCCCGAAGCCAAACTATAGCAGTGGTTTGTGCGCCGAGGGGGAGATTGTTGTGAACATCGGAGGGGTCCGTGTGGTACTCTGCGGGGATGTTTTGAACCGCTATCCGGACAGCAGACTGGCAGAGTTGTTGAAGTGTTCAACTCAGGATCATGAAGTTATCTCATCGCTTTGTGATGACTTTGATCCTGGGAGGAAAGAGTTTTATTTTGACAGAGATTCCGATGCTTTCAAGTGCATCATCGACGTTTACTACTTTGATGAAATCCACATTAAACGCGGGATTTGTCCAATTTGTTTTATTAAGGAGATGGAGTTCTGGAAAATAGATCCCAGTGTTCTCGACGAGTGCTGCAAAAGTTACTTAAGTGAGAAAGAGGAGGAGCTGAAGGAGATTGCTAATAAAGTAAAGATCATTCTGGAGGATCTGGAGGTGGATCAGTGTATCACGCGCGCTCAGCGGTGCCAGAGGTTCCTGTGGAGGCTGATGGAGAAGCCGGGTTCCTCTCTGCCGGCGCGCTTCATTGCCATCGCTTCCTTCCTTTCCGTCCTGGTCTCGGCGGTGGTGATGTGCGTGGGTACCATCCCGGAGCTGCAGGTGACGGACGCGGAAGGCAAACAGGTGGAGCACCCGGTCCTCGAGGCGATCGAGACCGCGTGCATGTCTTGGTTCACAGCGGAGTATCTGCTGCGGCTCGCGTCATCTCCAAACAAGCTGCACTTTGCACTCTCCATCATGAACATCATAGACTTTATGGCCATCATTCCTTTCTACGTGGTACTGTCCCTCACATATCTCGGCACCACATCCATGATGGAGCTGGCTAACGTGCAGCAGGCTGTGCAGGCGCTCCGCATCATGCGTATCGCGCGTATTTTCAAGCTGGCGCGCCACTCCTCCGGGCTGCAGACTCTCACCTACGCGCTGAAGAGGAGTCTTAAGGAGCTGGGGCTGCTCCTCATGTACATGGGCGTGGGAATCTTTGTATTCTCAGCGCTGGCATACACCATGGAGCAAAGCCACCCAGAGACTCTCTTCAGGAGCATCCCGCAGTCCTTCTGGTGGGCCATCATCACAATGACCACTGTGGGCTACGGCGACATCTACCCCAAAACCACGCTGGGCAAGTGCAACGCAGCCGTCAGTTTCCTGTGTGGGGTGATAGCTATAGCCCTCCCTATCCACCCCATTATCAACAACTTTGTGGTCTTCTACAACAAACAGAAGGTGTTGGAGACCGCGGCGAAGCACGAGGTGGAGCTGATGGAGCTGAAGGCTGGCGGGGGCGCGCGCAGGAAAAGCAGAAATTGAGATCAATATTTGAACGCAGTTCCGTAGTTGAAGCTTGAGGAAAATCGAGGGCTGTTTTACATGAAATAAGTAAAATGTAATCTGTTGAATGATACTAAAATCTTGATTTCTGGGCTTTAAATTTAGACAATTGGACCTGCAGACGCGATGGCACAGCTCCATGCAGACTCCTGCGTTATTGTAAATGTAGTTTCTTTGTCCCGATTTGGCAGCAGCTTGATCAGATAATCAGATGATAAATCAGATGATACTGAGCTTTTTTTTTTTCTTTTTTTGGTCATTTTTAAACTATGTTCATGATCCATGTTCATTATTTCTATCTGCTTTTTGCTGTAGAGCCGACTTTAACCCAAAACTGTTTGATCATTGATAGTTACTTTGCTAAATAAAATCACCACACTATTTGAAAGAATCAAGGACAGATATTAGCCTTAAAGGCCAATAAATTCTCTTTTAAGTTTGTTGTATTTATCAAATATATAAGGAAGATCTGCTGCTTTGAAAACTTTTAAACACACATTTAATTATTCTCACTGGTTAGCCGGATGTGTGGCTTTATGGATTAGGACTCTGACACTGACTTTAACATACAAAGACAAAGAGGAAAATCTGCCTTGAAATATCAGGTAGAGGCGAAGTAAACATGCACAAAGAGGGCTCTTTGTTTGTCAGAAAGATACACTTATCAATTTTCTCCTGCATGTACAGTATACACAGTATACACATGCTATAAGGTTTGCATGCAGAGCTTTGTTAGAAATCAGGTAGAAAACAGAACCTGGACTGTAGAGGATGGGACAGGAGAAGAGCTGTCGTGCTGTTTAACTACAGCCTATGTGTTTGTTGATTGTTTTGGCACGTGACGCTAAGGGTGTTATGATATCACATTTTCACCTCACAATAATCATTGCTATGAAATGTCACAATAACTGTTATCACAATATTTATTTAAAACTTGAAATAAAAATAAAAAATATATATATATAGGTCTCCTGTCTTTTCTGTCATAGCTGGGTTATTCTATTTCCCATTGTACAATCAATACTCTTATTTTGACATAAAAGCTTCTTCCAGTAGATCGGAAAAACTAACAGTTTCACCTTCACCACTGACAACTCCTCTATCTCCCCCTCCTCTCCAGTAAAAGATCTGGGTGTCGTCCTGGTTGCCCCTCTGTCTTTTCAAACACACATTAATAATGTCAACCGGTCAGCATACTTCCATCTACGTAACAGCATCCCCTCCATTCTTCCCTCACCCCAGCCAGCATCTCCATCCTGGTCCACTCTCTGGTCACTTCCCGCCTGGATTATTGCAACTCACTTCTCTCAGGTCTCCCCCTCAAGTCCCTCCATAAACTGCAGCTGGTTCAGAATGTTGACGATCATCATTAGGACCACACTGCACCTGTTCTCCAGCAGCCTCACTGGCTCCCAGTCACATACAGCATCACATATAATATCCTCCTCCTAACCTTCAAAGCCCTCCATAACCTCACCCCTCCATACTTGACTAAACTCCTACACATAAACACATCTAGCCTGACTCTCATCATCAGATCATTATCCTCCATCAACCTCACTATCCTTCTTGCCTATATGACCACCATGGGGTCCAGAGCCTTCAGCCGCTCTGCCCCTGCCTCTGGAACTCCCTTCTACTGGGCATCCGTAACATCAACAAACTGTCTATCTTTAAATGACACCTCAAAACCCACCTGTTCAAGCAAGCATACTCACCCCGACTGTCACTCTGCAGATCTTCCCCTTAAAAAAAAAGAAAAACCATTGGGACATCTTTTAACTTGTTTTTTTTTTCACAGTTTGTTTTTATCTGTGCCTTGTACAGTGTCTTTGGGTGTTTTGAATGTGCCTGTAAATAAAATTTGTTAGAATAATAATAATAATAATAATAATAATAATTATTATTATTATTATTATTATTATTATTATTATTATTATTATTATTATTATTATCATCAGAAGTAAAGGTCATGAACAAACTCTATTTGCAGAACAAACAAAAAACAAAAAAAATAAGGTTATCACAGGTTTTTGTAATTTATGGATGTTTGTCTTTGTGTGCCTCTCCACATTTCCAGTTATGGGATACTGTACATTTAAATAAAGAGGGTTTGAAAATGAACTTCCTTTCCTGCCTCTTTTAGCTGATGCATCCTTTACAAAAGGTTATTGGGAATAATGACCCATAAGTCTTTGCACCAACATGTAAAGTTACACCCTCTTAAGGTGCATGACAACCAACCATCAGCATGACAGCAGCTGACTTGAAGCAAGATCAACTTCTGCTGATTTAAGGTGTTAAAGATCCACTCTGATGAAAATCATGTTTTTTCTTGATGTCTAAATGTTCATATGGCATTTTCCTGATGCTACAGGACATATCATGAGAAAACTACTTGTGAAATTGCATTTCTGAGTATTTCTGCATTTAAATCGCTGTGAATCTCTGGCAGACCCAAATGGCAGGTTCACATACAATGAGATTTCCTACATTGCAAATCCAAGCTTCACCCAGGAGCCCCGCTATGCAGGCCAGACTTGGAGAAGTAGAGAGGACGATCATGGAACAAGTGTGTGCGTTACCGGTTTGCAATGCCTGTAAGAAAGCTAATTATGATATTAAATTTCATTATGTCCACAAAGACATTAGTGTCTGAGCGCCAATCAGCTCCTATGTTACCTGCAACTTCCACTACAGCAATGTTAGGCTACAAGCTAGCGTGAAAAGGGGTGTGCTGAGCAGCCCTGTCTCCTCCCACGATTCAGAGATGAATTTCTATGAGCTACTGGAGCTCCCTTGATAATGACACAAGTAACACGATTATGGCCAAAAACTTAACAATCACAATTTAAAGACCACTGAGAACACCTTTATTAAAAAAAATCTGAGTGGGACTTTAATGAAGACACATCTGCCTACAATGATTTACAGCTCCGATAAGGAACTCTCTGTGTTGACTTTGGTGCCCCCTGTGGACAAAGTGGTAAAAAGTTATAGAATAATAGAAGAAGTGTTTCTTTTATCACAGCTGGTACAGGCATTAAAAATCTTGGTGAAAAAGGTCTCATTTGTTTTTGTATATGTTAAAGAAACATCTCTGATCATTTCAGTCTGTTTTATAACCAATCTAAAATCTAAAAAGAGGGGATGGGAGTCATACACTTGTCTGTTCTGTGTCTTCATTTATATATATATAAAGATCTCTGTCTTCATGCTTGAGCTCTGCATATGACACTATCTCAGGCTGCAGTCTGTGAGAAACAGACGTCCTCAGCAGGGGAAGCTTCAAAGTAAAACAACACACACCCACACACTAAACACTCAAACGCTTTAACTCCCCTCCACCCCTTCTTTCTGCCACCACCCCACCCGCTGTTTCCCTCTGACTCCTCTCACTCCTCCATCCTGCCTCCACCTCTTCATCCTCTGTCTCATATGAAGATCTTTTGGCTCTACATGCTGAGCGAACAGCGATCAGATGCTCTGATTTGCAGAATATTGAAGCTGTGAAGAGTTGAAACTCCACACTAACTTTAAAAGGAAAGTTTATCACAGTCTGAAGGTAAAATGAAGAAAGAACATCAATATTCAAGGAGAGGAGACATTAAGTAACAGTGACTTTAACCAAATATAGCACTTCATATGATATGCATCAGCAAGCAGTGCAGGTGATTCAGTCTGACCACTGCTGGTGACACCATCGACCACTGCGTATAATGAGTATAATGACCCTTTACAGTGAGCAGCGGTTGTTTGAACATGCTAATAATGCTCAGTGAGCGTGTTTCTGTGGGTGTCACGATGCTCGACCTGTAAACAAACACATCAAAGATGGAGGAGCTCCCCGTCGATACCTGACTCCCCTTTGTGTGCTTTGATGCTTCACAGGAAGATCTCCCACAAGCTCAACAGTCCCTTGGTGAGCTGGAGGATTTAATAGCAAACAGCTTCTGATTGAACAATGGTTTAACCTGTCATTAGTGCTCAGTTTTAATTAGCTCCCACAGGTGAGTGAGTGTGTAGGTGGCTGAAGATTATGCATTTTTTAGCAAGCTCCATCGATAGACTACCTGCTGTCATGCTACAACTCCCTAAATGAACCACCACACAGCCTAAAGACAGACCTGATCAGCTGAGAGATCGGTTCATAAGGAAACATTAGGACACAGCCACATCCTTGTTATGATTAAGGTTGCCATAAGGGAACTTTTTGTTTCTTAGGCGCCCTCTTGAGGACAAGTCATCTCTTATCTCTTGATCTGTACACGTCAAAGAACAAAAACTTCATACTTTCATCCCTAAACACTCAATCAATCAATCAATTTTTTTAAATAGCACTTTTCATGCAAGAGCAACTGCAGCACAAAGTGCTTCACATGTTAAAAACAGTTAAAAAGTTTTCCTCCCCCCATATCCATCTCTCCATATCTCTCTCTCTCTCTCACACACACACACACACACACACACACACACACACACAACACAATCTTAAAAGCATGTGGAGAAGGCTGAACGCACCAGAGGCTGCCCACGGCCCAGGGCTGGGACACCTCCACCCTGTGCACCTTGCTACAGGCCAGTAAGGGGCCCACAGCAGCAAGCACTGCTGCAGACCATCACCTGGCTGAGCTGAGTGCACACCACGAGGCAAAGAAATCCCAGACAGAGCCAGTCACAGCCCCCAGTGCAGGTGGCCTCCACTGAGGAAACACCGGAGAAACGCAATAAAAACATAAAAACATAAAGTAAATTGGCTAAGAACATCAAACTAAATAAAATGATAAAATACAAATAAATAGCAAAAATATCATTTTGAATAAGTAAATAAATAGAATAAACATAACATGTAAAATGAGGATTAAAATATATAAATGAGATAAGATAAAATATAGATTAAAAATAAGGCATTAGTTAAAAGCCAAATAAAATAGGCCTGCTTTTATAATTATGAACATTCTCTGTGACCCTTAGGTCCTCCAGCAGGCTATTCCATAGACGGGGGCCATAGTGCTGGAAAGATGCCTCACTGTAAGTCTATTTTCTAGCTGTGGGAACTAATAAAAGGCCAGTGCCAGAGGATCTCAGGGTCTGCGAGGGTTCGTATTGTAAAAGCAATTCTGAAAGATAACCAGTATTATTTTCTGTCTGTTTCCCACGCAGTAAACTAAAGCGAACCTAGGTAAAACTCCTTATAGTACCTTGAAGATTCAAAAGTCAAAGTAGAGCAGAAACATTTACACAAGCAAATTGATTTTTTTTTTTTAAATAAATGAACACTTAAAGAGTGTTTATGTTTGGCCAATAATATCATGATAAGCGTATGTCAGTGCTATGATTGAACATGTGGCCCAGTAAATTGAAGATTTTCAGCCTGTTACTATGACAACTTCAAAATCCCTCCGCTGAAGGGTTGCTAGTATATCCAGGGTGGCTGTTTAAACCATAACCTCTGAGTCTTACTGTGATTATAAGCTTCACTCCAGGAGCAGAAAAAGAAATCTTGGTAACACTTTATTGGACTCCTACAGTATTTCTATAACACATTATAAATATGTAAAATGCGTTATGATCACGTTATAATCAAGCAATCAGACTGGAACTCCTGAAAAGTACATATGCAGTAGCATTAGCCAGGAATAATTAGACTTCAGGGAGTCATTAAAGTTATCCCTGCTTAGCTGCACAAAATACTAACGTGATCAGATGTTTTGTGCATGCATTTCTGCAAATTTCATTAAGACAGTGTTTTTCTTTTAATCGATAATAAGCACACTGTAGCTGCCACCTGTACCTCATAAAATGTGCTTGAGTACAAAATAAGAGAATTTAACACATGCAATAAAAGAAGCGACTACTTGCGAAGAACTTCCGATTAAATGGGATGTAATAGTAAAATAATACTTTGACAGAATCAAACTCAGGTGCTTCAGTTTTTCTAGGTTTGCTTTCCGGATCAACATAA